CGCCTCCGCTCGTAAACATGGAAGCCTCGATATGCCTCCTCGCGATGACAGACCACCGACCGATCTATATAGCATCGGCATATCTCTCTCCCTCCAAAAAGCTACTCCGGGCCGACCTCCAAGCTCTCATGGACCTGGGGGATTCGGTAATTATTGCCGGAGATCTAAATTGCAAGCACAGCCTTTGGAGCTGTGCTTATCCGAACCCAAACGGTCTCACCCTGGAACGCCTTTCGCTCTCCATGGGTTTCGACATCCTTCCCCCAGTGCACTTCACGCACTATCCGGCAAACACTGCTCATCAGCCCTCCATCCTCGACATGGCCCTACTAAAGAACGTAGCCTTAAGGCTGAGTTCTATGGAGGTCCATGCCGAACTCATCTCCGACCACCGCCCCGTCACATTCTCGCTAGGCCCACCTGCAGACGGGGCGCCTCAATTTAAAACGGTCACGGACTGGAGCCGGCTCGAGAAAGTCCTCGAGTCGACTAACTCTCCGGTACTGGACCGCATCCCGGACGTAGTCGAATCTATCGAGGAGACGACTACAGCCATTGACGCGCTAACAGAGCACCTGCAGTCGGCAGTCAAGGACTGCTCCAGGGAGGTTCCGGATACGGGCGACCGTAGATGGAACCTGCCTGATGATGTAAGGGCTCTGCTGCGCACTAAGAATGCAGCCACACGAGCGTATGACCGCTATCCCTCAGAAGAGAACCGAACCCGCCTGCGAGATTTACAGCGCGAAGTAAAGAGTCGCATAGCGGAACTTCGGCGAGACAGATGGGATAAGTTCACCAAAGAACTCACCCCCTGCCATACCGCGTACTGGCGAGTAGCCAAAACCCTCAAAACAGACCAGTGTTACTCCGACCTTCCGCCCTTAGTCCGAACAAACAACAGTCCGGCCTTATTTGATGAAGAAAAGGCTGAATGCCTAGCAGACAGCCTAGAGGCCCAATGCATGCCGAGTACCCTTCCGGTGCCCGATGATCATCTAGAGAAGGTAGAATCCGAGGTGGAGCGAATCCTGTCGATCCCTCCAGTAGAGTCACTCCCCCCCGTTACACTGGATGAGGTGCGAACACTCATCAAAGGAACCCCCAACCGAAAGGCACCCGGTGCCGACGGTATCTCTAACAGACTCCTTAAGAGTCTGCCAGAAACCATTCTGCTACTTCTAGTAGCGATCTTCAATGCGGCAATTACCAATGCCATCTTTCCAGATGCTTGGAAAGAAGCCGATGTCGTAGGCTTTCCCAAACCTGGGAAAGATAAGTCCCTTCCCACCAGTTTTCGCCCCATCAGTCTCCTCAGCTCGCTGGGGAAGCTGTATGAGAAGCTAATACTCGCACGCCTGAAAGACTGGCTACAGTCCAAAGGCATCCTGATCGATGAGCAGTTCGGCTTTAGAGCCAAGCACTCAGCTGTTCATCAAGTACATCGTGTAGTAGAACACGTCCTCAACGCCCGACACCTGAAATCCAACGGGGTCACATGTGCCCTGTTTCTCGACGTAGCGAAGGCCTTTGACAAAGTCTGGCACAGCGGCTTGATTTTCAAACTGCACAAGATGGGAGTGCCAGACAGGCTCGTGCACATCATACGAGCCTTCTTGTCCAATAGGTCATATCGCTATCGCGTCAATGGAGTGCGTTCCAGCGCACGACCGATTAGAGCCGGCGTCCCTCAAGGCGCTGTCCTCTCCCCCACCCTCTTCTCGTTGTACACCAACGACATCCCGCGTCAGCCCCGAGTGCAAATCGCCCTCTTTGCTGATGATACAGCCCTATATGTGGACAGCACGTCGGCCGCCTGTGCAGCCAACAGGCTTCAACGGGCGGTGGACGAGCTGGCCTACTGGTTCAGAAAATGGCGCATCGAAGTCAACCCAGATAAAAGCGCCGCCGTGCTTTTCACGGCCAAAAGAAAACCATCCCTTCTCGCCTCTATTCAGCTGTTTGGCACGCCCGTCCCCTGGACGAACGAAGCCAAATACCTAGGCGTGACACTAGATTCCAAGTTGAGTTTCGCATCTCATCTTAAGCGCGTCCGAGGCCTGGCCAATTTTATACTGGGACGCCTCCATCCCTTTATTAACAAGCGCAGCCAATTGTCGCTTAACGCAAAGCTGACGCTCTATAAAGCATGTATAAGACCGGTGATGACGTACGCTAGTGTCGTCTTCGCCCACGCCCTTCCTTCATTACTTCACCCCCTTCAGGTGGTGCAAAATAAATTTCTGCGACGGGCCACGGGCGCCCCGTGGTACGTGCGCAACGTGGATCTACACCGCGACCTCAAAATACCCACTATAAGGCAATTTATGAAGCAAGCGTCTCGACGCTACTTTGCCTCAGCCGAGTCCCATTCAAATCCGCTCATAGTAAGAGCGGTCAAATACAAACCCCCCATAGAGAACGTCGCTCCAAAACGTCGTCGCCCGAGGCACGCACTCTTGGACCCCGATGATCCAACTACGACGGCAAACGCGTCTCCCTCCCTACCTACCGCGGAACCCTCGACAAGAGCCCCTACAAACACACCCACACATCGCACACACCGCCCCCGCCGGCGGGGGCGAAGAACCCTCGCGACACACGGTCCGCGCGCGATCAGGTTTGCGCCCGAGCGCATAACAACCGCGTCGCAATCTCACCCACCCAGACGTACCGACCCTTCGCCGTCCCTCGACGGGGGTCGAAGTGCGGTGGCCTAAGCCGAGGCCGAGCCACTCTGGCGCCCTTAGGCGCACACACACACCGCAGTCCATAAGAAAGAGTCGACACCTCTGTCGCTCCCCTCTCGCGGGCTTGGAGTGCCATCAGCACTCGCCCCTGCATTCGCGTCCGGTGAAGCTGTAAAGGCCACACACGGCCAACAGCAAACACATTCAGAAAAAAAAAAAAAAAAAAAAAAAACGCACTTTGTTTATGATAATTTTTGTTTTTTAATAAAAAAAAATATACAACATAAAAATATTTTTACATTAACTATGCAAATAATGACAAACAAAAAGTATTCGTACACTTATAAAATTTGTAAGTAAATGAATATTAAAAAAATATTAATACTTTGTTGGACCACCGTTAGCATTGATGATAGCTTGGAGTCTCTGCGGCATCGAATCAACTAGTTTGAAAATACATATAAGAAGACGGTATCAATGCCCATTCTTCGCGAAGCGCAATTTTTAGTGTTTCTTTACACGAAATTGGTCGATTTCGAATTTTATTATCGAGATAATCCCACACATGCTCTATAATATTAATATCAGATGATTGAGGAGGAATCTCTAGGTATTTTGGAGCGTTAAACAGGATCCATGCTTTAGTATTCCATGCTTTATGTTTAGGGTCATTATCTTGTAAAAATATCCAATTATTGTTAAAACCCATTTAAGCTGCACTAGAGAGAAGATTCTCTTTTAAAATATTAATATACGTTTTGTGATCCCTAATTCCATCAATAAATGCAAGTTTTCCCACCCCAAAAGCACTCATGCAACCCCATACAAAGACTGACCCACCACCGTGTTTTACTGTTGGACATAAATTTTCTTTCTTATATTCCATATTAGGTTTTCTCCATACCATATGATGTCCATCCGATTTGAAAATATTATATTTCGATTCATCTGAGTAAATAACAGTTTGCCAAAAATGATTTTTTTCATTAATATATTTTTTTGCGAATTCTAATCTTTTTTCTATTAATATCATTTATCCAATACTTTTTACGCGCAGTTCTTCCATGATAATCGTTACTACGTAATACGTTCCGAACGGTACTGACAGAAATATGGCAATCATTGATATTATTAATTTCTTGTAACACTCGAGCGGCACTAATTTTTGGATTTTTTTTACACAATTTAAAATTTTCCGATCCAATCGAGGCGTGATTTTTGATGGACGCCCCACCTCTGGGTTTGTTTTTTAGTGTTTTAGTAATAGAAAACCGATCAATTACAGTCTGTACGGTTGAACGTGGTCTATTGACAAATTTTGCAATTTCACATAATGATTTGCATTGATTATGCAAATTAATAATTATTTTTCTCTCCTCTTCAATCGTTTTTTTTGCTTTACGACCCACTTTTGTAACTAAACACGTCTATACTTGTCACGAGTGCAACTAAAACGTCTAATATCTATACTTACGTATTAAAAATGACCTTGGCATTGTAGGCATATGAAAAATTCTATTGAATAAATGATTTATACAGAATTTCATTTAAAAAAGAATGAATGTACGAATACTTTTTGTTTGTCATTATTTGCATAGTTAATGTAAAAATATTTTTATGTTGTATAATTTTTTTTATTAAAAAACAAAAATTATCATAAACAAAGTGCGGGAATGTTAAAATATTTAACAGTATTGATTTAAATTAAATAAATAGAGGAAAGTCTATCAAATTCGTATTTTTTTTATTATAACCCTAGGTGTACGAATACTTTTTACACTCACTGTATATATATATATATATATATATATATATATATATATATATATATATATATATATATATATATATATATATATATATATATATATATACTCCAATGCGATACTCCAAGAGGGCCGCTGCTGCCTATCCTTCGATCAATAAATTTCCTTTATCGCCTCTTACGACATCCACGGGATAGGAAGGGGATATTTACAATTCCTTAATAAAATTGTAACTAAACGTACTTAGAACCAGAAATGGTAACGTATGGGGGCTATCATGGGCGAAATATACTCTGTTATGTGCATGGTACTGCTCATGGCTATAGGCGACGGTTACCACTCTCCATCAGGTGGGCCGTCAGCTTGTTTGCCATTCTAAGTTGTATAAAAAAAAATTTAAGGGTTAGGTGGAATTCTATTTACCTATGTTACACCAAAGCCATATTTGTGTACAGCATAAACTATTTTTGAAGCCGAATTACTATCTTTATTTCTCGCAAAAACCATCTGTATTGTAGAGCAAAATCTATAATTTACCTTTTAGAATGCGGCCGCGTAACACCACAAGGAGACACCCTCATCATAAATGGACAGAAGGCGAAGAAGGGCGAGCTGCCATGGCACGCCGGCATATACAAGAAAACTACTACACCGTACATGCAGATCTGCGGTGGATCCATCGTGAGGCCGGACGTTATTTTGTCAGGTAATGTCAGCTTTTTGATTTTGAGAAACAGCATCTCAAGTAGCTGTTGTTCGGCCACTACAGCTACTTGAGAAGCTGTAGGCCGAATACAAGGTTGGACAAGTTTATAGTGGACATCATTCTCTCATCTGCCATTCAATCAATCATCTGCCATTTTGCTTATCCATGTTTTGCGACACGTTTACCAGAGGGAGACTTTGTACAAAAGTCGATTGCTTGGATACTTCTGTCCCATTCGTGTTTCTACCGTAAAGCAGTTGGGTTTGCATGGCTGTGTTTCGGTTTGAAGGGTGGGATATGGCGTGAATTTACTGGGTACGGATGAATAACATCTGAGTCCTCAGGAATAGCAACGCATGGGAGGTATCAGGGGCGAAATAGTATACTCTGTTGTCCACGGTACTGCTCATGTTTATAGGCGACCGTTGCCGCTTTTCATCGGGTGGGCCATCAGCTTGTTTGCCATTCTAAGTTGTATAAAAAAAATTGAGAGAATAGAAGCAATTCAAAAACGCTTTGTTACATTCTTGAGCACTAAGTTTGGTCTGAGAAGGAAACTTCATTCGTATGAATTAAGGCTTAATCACTTTAACATTAATTCTCTTACAAATAGAAGATCTATGTCTGATTTCATCACTCTCTATAAAATAATAAATTATAAATGGGACAGTAGCACATTGTTGAGCCTTGTTTCATTTCGTACAGGTAATAAGAGAATACAAAAATTATTTTATACACCGATTTGTAATAATAATGTATCGTATCACAATCCAATTGTCCGCGTGTGCAAAAAATATAACAATGTATGCAAGGAGCTTGATATCTTCCAACGATCCTTGCAATGTTACATTAAGGCTGCCAATTTGTTAATTTAAATTTATAGCCGTCATTCTTTTAATGTATATAATATGGAATGTAATGCAGAGCAGTTGTCGGAGTGCAAATTTGATGCTGTTTCATGTAATATTTATTCTATTAATGTATTAATTTGTAATCTGTTGCCTTGCTATAAATAAATAAATAAATAGACTACAGCATGGGGTTCTTCAAAAGGGGGGTAAAGAGGTTTCTTCAGGGTCGGCAACGCGCGCGTAATACCTCTGGTATTGCAGGCATTTATAGGCTACGGTAACCGCTTACCATCAGGTGAACCGTATGCTTGTTTGCCACCTCAGTGGTAAAAATAAATAAATAAATAACCAGTTATTATTTTGATTTAAAAACTAAACGACTTAACCGATTTTGATAAAATTTCTATAGGACCAATCAATCTGTAAATATATCTTTTCAGATAAAAATAGAATTTTGCAAATCGGTTTACAACTGACGAAGTTGTAAGGTAAAAATAATGCAACCAAACCAAAAAAGAACTTGCTTCTTTAATTAAGAATGCATTTTGTACAGCGGCTCACTGCTTCTGGGACGACGACACCGGAAAACAGCCAGCGAGGAACTACGCAGTGGGCGTCGGCAAGCTGTACCGCGCGTGGAACGATAAGGGGGACAAGAACCCCCAGAAGGCTGATGTGAGTAATTTTGTGACATCCAAAAACACAGAATTACTTCCAGAATTACCTAATTCATCTCATTTTTTTAGTCACGTTACTAATCCCCTTACGTACGCTATCTCTCTCCCCCCTCCCCCTACATTTGCGCTTTATAAAAGATAATGAAGTGGTAACGCCGTGTTAGCGCTATCGAAATACGCTGGCCAGGCACCAATGGGAGATGATAGGTGAGGATAAAAGTAGATCAGTTGGCCTATCGTGATGAATTTAACAAGAATTAACCACGATAATTTTCAAGGTTTCAACAAATTTGTAAGCAATACGGTTGTTAGATCTCATTGTTCACAAACTCTTTCTGGCCACGAGTGGTTTTTTTTTTTATAAAATAAAAATGGAATAGTTACTTCTCGCTGACGGGGGCATAAGTGAGAGATTACAGGTGAGGATGAAGCAGAGCAACTTACCTTTCGTGACGAACTCAGCAGGAATTGATGGTTTCCTTGGAAAACCGTGTGTAGAGGTTTACACTTTATTACTAATAATCCCTTCCCTCCTCCCACATATGTTTAAAAGGTACATCTCCACGTTTATCATCTCTCCGTTTAAATTTGAAGAGCGAAACGTAATTAGTGAGAAGTGAATTTACTGGATATTACACTCAAGAGTTCTTACTCTTGAGACTTAATGAAACACGCGAACATTAGAACGACCATACTTTCTAGAAAAACTGAGAAGAGAGAACAAAGAACTTACGTTAATCGTAAGTATTCATGATAACAAATGTTGATTACAGTTCACAGAAATCAACAATGCCAAAGTACATCGTACATACAGCTATGAGAATTGTCGATGATCCCAAGCTTACAAGCGGTATCGAACCCTTAAGTCTTAGGAGAGATTTTGCCTCACTCTGCGTGTTCTACCGCCTGTACAATGGATTGTGATCAGAGGAATTGTTCAATATGATGCCCACAGCCACTTTCTACCATCGTACGGCTCGTCATCGACAGGGAGTTCATCCTCATGTCCTACAGCCTCAATGGTCGCGTACTGCGCGGTTTCAGAGATGTTTCCTCCCACGAACACTCAGGTTGTGGAATGAGCTCCCTGCCGAGGTTTTCCCAAGAGACTACAGCATGGGGTTCTTTAAAAGGGGGGTAAAGAGGTTTCTTGAGGGTCGGCAACACACGCATAATACCTCTGGTATTGCAGGTGTTTATAAGCTACGGTGACCATTTCGGGTGGGCAGTATGCTTGTTTGCCACCTCAGTGGTATAAAAAAAAGATTATCCTTTTAAAAAGAACACCTTTTCAATTGCCAGGTGAAGTCCATCGAGATCCCAGAAACGTTCCAAGGCATAACGTCGAGTTACGCCCAAGACATTGCAGTGGTGAAACTGAGCCTATCATTCACGTACGAGCCGCACATCGCGCCGGTCTGCCTCGACTTCGACGAGAGCTTCGACAATAGGGAAATCACTAGGAAAGGTGCTAAAGGGAAGGTGAGTGATGATACCATACGCCTGATATTCAAATAAGATCTTACAGATTTTGGCATATTTAAACTTATTTTACAAGAGTTCCACCTTAAAAGACACATTATGTACTTCAAGAAAGGAACATATTCCTTTTTAAAAGTCAGCACACCTGCAATGCCTCTGGTGTTGCGGGCGATCATGGGCGGCGATAGTCACTTACCATCAGATACCCCATGCTCGTGTATCATGGGCGAAACAGTATACTCTGTTATGTATAGTACTGCTCATGTCTATAAGCGACGGTTACCACTTTCCATCAGGTGGGCCGTCAGCTTGTTTGCCATTCTACTCGTAAGTTGTATAAAAAAAAAAGTCATATTTTTGCTTGTAATTCAAAGCTCCTCTCTCATCCAGGGATGGGCAAGTATTTAAAAGCAGCTTCGATCAAAAAAGATTAGGTAGTACTGGGAAAAGATATAAAAATCCCTTTAAGACAAGAGCTGTACCATGAACATCAAAGAATCTATAACGCACATGGTCTCGACCCCTCGTGAGGTGCTATTTCTAACCAATAAGGTTAATTATTAAAGCTTACGTATCCTGTAATTTCAATGCCATATCCCATTTTTCAAGCAAGCAAAACACAGCTGCTTTGTAGCCAAAACTCAAGTAAGATAAAGGTGCCTCTGCAGATAATGTGTATGTATGTAGTCTCCTTCTGGCAAAACATATAGACGCGTTCTAAGAGCCGATAAAAGAAGAAAACAAATATGTAAAGATAGGATCTTTTTGATAATGGATGATAAAATGAATGGCTTCCCAGTTTTCGATCATTAGATTCCCTTCGTCGCCTCTAAGGACACTCACGGATAAAGAAGGGATTTTTTAATGGATGATAATGGAATGGTAACCTCGCCTGCGTTAACAGCATACACTGGCAGGACACCAGTGTGGGATGATAGGTGAGAATGTAAAGGCAGGTCAGTTAGCCCATCGTGATGGAAACACCTGAAATTCAGCGCATTAATTTCGAGAGGGGACCACATTGTGATCAACCTGACAAGGTATATTGCTAGCAATGGGGCTGGTAGTCTGCGTTACTAGCAATCCTTTCTGTAAAGATCTCCCAACCCAGTGCTCCCAGCCTTTAGTTTTCTGTGGTTATCTTGTAAGGAAATTGGCATAAAGTTTATCTCCATTGGCACAGGTAGCTGGCTGGGGTCTTATAGCTGAAGACGGGAACCCGTCTCCAACGCTTCAGGTCGTGGAACTACCCATCATACCGTACGGTGACTGCAACGTACTGGCGCCTGAAGACTTCAGACGATACCTCACATATGACAAAATTTGCGCTGGTTATATAGACAAAGGTAAGACTATTTTACTCAGCATAGAATGAGTCACTCTTCAATAGGAGCCACAGACAGCCCTCTATGTCGAGGCTGTTTCCATGCCGAAGAAACGGCTGCTCACGTAATCCTGGAATGTGAGGCTGTGGCCCATCAACGTTTAGAAATCCTCGGAACGGTGAGGTCGCTCCGTGAGGCCTGTGAAGAACCCAGGAAGCTACTGCGCTTCTGAGCGGAGCTAGATTGGCTGTACTAGCCACGACTCATACGCACAACGGCCCAAATGAGAGGCTAAGCGCGGAAAACAGAGTCTTTCTCACATTCACACACATACACACATGAGTTACTCTTTCTTTTCCCATAGCTGTCGTAAGATTCGACTAAGGGAACTTAATGGTCGAGGATTTTTTTTAGATCATAAAGGAATGGTAACCCCACCCGCGCTATCGGTATACACCGGCGAGGCACCAGTGTAGGATGATAGGTGAGTATGAAGCAGGTCAGTTAGCCCATCCTGACGAATTCAACGAGAATTGTTCACGATGGTTTCCAGGGGGAACCACGTGGAGGTTGACCTGATAGGGGGGCATACTGCTAGCAATGGGGCTATCAAACTCCATTGCTAACAATCCCTTTCCCCCAATAGTCGAGGGTTAGGCAGCAGCGTCTCTCTTAAAACATTATCAAATCCAATCCGCCTGCCAAGCGTAGCAGCTACTGGCAAAAGCCCCTAAGGGGGAGGCCTATGTCCAAATATGAAATAAAATTAAATGAAATGAGTTTATTTTGCTAGAATGCAGGTAATTTTAGATGATAGAGGTTTATATTTCCCGTGTACATTCTGCCTCTATGTCGGCGTGCAAATTTTAACAATATAATAAATTTATTTATATATATATTCTATATTATATTTCCTTTCGTTAGTCATATAATATATTATTATTATTTATTATAGTAAACGGAAAATAAAAGCCTGTACAATAGTTGTCGAAATTAATAAAATATTTCAACAAACTGTGATATTAATTAGTGCATAAGAACAGAAGCATCAATGGTATATCTAGTGTAGGTTGTGAAGTGCATCTGTTTTTTTAGCGAAATATTCATTAATGGTATAAAACCCATAGTAGACAGTTAACGGCTCATTTTATTTAAAGATGATCAAAATGTTATGCCTCCGTAATCTACCTATAGGTAATTTCGTGTTATTGTTCATACCTAAATCGGTCCAGTAAATGGAGCTTAACATTTCGCTCGGCATTAATCTCACCGTTAAAAGTCCAAAGGAATGATATTTTAACATTTTTAACATCTTTAAACTGTATGTATTATGTAATTTTAACATCATATTTGTATTTCGTTCGGGCCCGAAATTTCGTTAAACGTTTCATGGTAGGCCCTCGGGTTAACGACAGAAATACGTAAGCTGGACATAAGTATGAAATCATATGTGTACATGGCGGACTTAATGCCTGATGGCATTCTCTACCAGTCAACCGTTACGCTCAACAGAGAGAGCAAATGGCGGTATCGTGTTTTTTAGCAAATAAATTATATTATTATTATTAATAAATATACGAACATATAGAATAATATACTATCAAAAAATGTACATACATAAATGACATACAATACATATATAAATAACTATACGAGTACATAGTATATATTAAATTAATGAATATATAAATCATAACAAATTATAATTAATCTGGCCATAAATACTGTTACATAATAACTTTTCATTTTTGTACAAAGTTTTTTTTTATGCAACTTAGAATGGCAAACACGCTGACGGCCCACCTGATGGAAAGTAGTAACCGTCGCCTATAGACATGAGCAGTACTATGGACGTAACAAAGTGTATTGTTTCGCCCATGATACCCCCCACGCGTTGCCATTCCTGAGGACTCAGACGTTATTCCTCTGTACCCTGTAAATTCACTGCCATATTCTACCCTTCAAACCGAAACACAGTCATGCAAACACAACTGCTTCACGGTAGATACACGAATAAGACAGAGGTGTCCAAGCAAACGACTTTTGTACAAAGTCTCCCTGTGGTAAAATTTTGAAATTAGTAAGATTGCAAAACCATATCCAATACTTTCACAGGTACAGCAGTTTGTCACGGCGACAGTGGTGGGGGCTTGGTGCTGCCAGCTCTGGAACGTTCCATAGAACGGTACTACTTACGCGGCGTCGTGTCGACCTCCCCGAGGTCGGAGGACCACAGCTGCAACTCGAGGACCCTCTCCACGTTCACAAGAATCCTCAGCCATGCTAGTTTCATTAAGAGATTTATTTGACACAAATAAATTGCTCAATCCACTAGTGTCACTTATTTACAATAAATGTTACTAATGCGGACTACCAGTTCTATTGCTAGCAATATACCTTGTGCGGTCGACCTCCACGTGGTCCCTACTGGAAACCATAATGCTGAATTCCAGGTGCATTCATCACGATGGACTAACTGACCTGCCTTTTCATTCTCACCTTTCATCCCTCACTGGTGCCCCGCCAGCGTATACCGATAGCGCAGACGGGGTTACTATTCCATTATCATTCATTAAAAAAACCCTTCCTTTCCCATGGATATCGTAGGAGTTAATTATAATTAGATGAATTAACTTTATATAAAATCAACATTCTATATGTAGCACTAAAAATTTAGCTGAACTAATATTATACTATGTAATAAACTTATTATAACGTTAAACTGATCCAAATGTACAAATGAATTCGTACCTACTTTTTCTGTAATTTCCAGTGCTGAGTTTGTTACAATCATGGTTATGCAATAAAGTTATTATTTATTATATATATTTATACGATCAAATCAAATACGATCAAATTTCTACGAGATCAATGAAGAAATAAAGAAAGAAATATTGTTATTCAAGTTAACTTAGTTTTAAGCGTTTTTGAATAGTCATAACCTCGAAGAAAAGAACAGCTTTTTAAGTTTATTGAGTTAATAAACTTAAGCTAAAAAACTGTATATATATATATATATACGAGGTTTGTCCGGAAAGTACGTATAAAAGTTTTTTAAAAATTTTATTTTACAATTATTCAGGTAAATCAATTTTATCCCCTTCAAAGTACTCCCCCTGTGACATAATGCACTTGTGCCAACGCCGTTTCCACTGTGAGAAGGCTCCTTGAAAGTCCTCTGGTTGTAGGTTTCTCAGCTGCCCCGTCGTAGCTTTTTTTATCTCATTTATGTCCCCCAAATGCCGCCCCCGAAGTACCAATTTGGTTTTTGGGAACAAGAAGAAGTCACACGGGGCCAAATCCGGCGAATAGGGGGTGTTCGGTCACCGTAATGGAATTTTTACTCAAAAACTCACGGACAACAAGAGAGGTGTGGGCAGGGGCATTGTCGTGGTGAAGAATCCAACGCCCCTCTCGCGCCAATTCTGGACGAACTCGTGCCACACGAGCTTTGAGGCGTCTGAGCACATCGACGTAGAATTTTCCATCAACTGTCTGGCCTGGAGGGACGAATTCTTGATGGACAATCCCCCGAACATCGAAAAAAACAATCAACATTGTCTTGACATTTGAGCGGGATTTTCTTGATTTTTTTGTTCGTGGTTCCCCGGATGTCTTATCGAATTAGATCGGCAAAAATTTCACGGCCATTCTTGCCGAGTTTCGAGAGAAACTTGATTACGACGCGCTGCTCTTCAACGGAAGCGGGCTCCATGCCGACGGGGTTTCGTTAAGAGGTAACTTCACAGATGGCGTGACAAGCCAGTTCGCACCGCACGGCGGTCAGACCAGAACTGAAGCATTGTTAGGGACATAAGGAAGGGGTCCTGCGCTTACCTGGCCTCCCCACTCCTCTTTCTCGCATTCCAGAACACTTTTATACGAACTTTCCGGACAGACCTCGTATATATATATATATATATATATATATATATATATATATATATATATATATAAATAGATAGCTTACTTATTACCATCAGGAACGCAATTTCAGCCAAGAAGAACAGGCAAGAAACTCAGCTGTAAATATATCCTTTCAGATAAAAAAAGAAATTTTTAAATCGATTCAGAACTGACAGAGTTATAAGATAACAAACATAAAAAAAAATACGACCGAACTGAGGAATTCCTTTTTTAAATCTATTGATAATGAGGGCATTTGCGCGGCAATTGGACATTAAATTGACTGTGGAAATATTGTCCAACAAATTATTAAGTATTTCAAATTATCTCCTCCCAGCTCAGCCCAATTTAATTTTATTTTCCCGCCACTTCGTACGTATGGATTTCTAAAGTAGGAAATCAAATGAAAAAGATCGCATCTAGATGGCGTATCGAGATCGAGAGATGAAAGACTCCAGATATCAAGTTAGATATTGATGAATACGACTATACAAACCACATTCTAATTGGTACAGTTTATGCGTGATACCGGAACAAATATAAAAATAGGCAGACAAAATTATAAAAAAAAAAAACTTGGCATCTATTGCTGTTATGGAGATGTCATATCAATTTCTCTTAAGTATCTTTCATGTACAGACGTCGCCTTGATACAATTTTATTATATTAGAAAAATCTATTTAGGACAAATACATTGCTGAAAATAAAGGACCCCGCAAACGGTCAAACTGTTTGACTCCAACATTTCATAATTTTATGAAATCATTAGATTTCAATTTGAAAGCTTATGATATGCTAATTACTGCTCATCAGGGCAAAATGTTATGCTTTATTAAGCGTAGATATGTCTACGATCGGTGATTCGTTTCATGTTGGCGGTGGCGATAACGTCTCTATCGATAAATTCGTTTGTCACTTATCCAGTTGAGGCTGGGTGTTTTCGATCTGTCAATATGCTATGTCTTCTTTTATGTAACTTGAAATCTGCTCTATTACATTTGTAAATCCGAAAGTTTCTAAGAATGTATGTATTAATAGCTAGATAATTTATTCCCAATAATATTTGGTTTACAAATAGATTATATTTTAACTCATTAACTCAACTTATTTTATATTTTATATATTAAAGTGCAGCTAGTGACAAATATATTAAAAGCCCACTTAATAGAAAATGGTAACCGTCACTTATACACAACAGCATGGACATAAAAACCGTGTATAAAGTTCACTGTGACACCCAGGCGTTGCTGTTCCGAAAAACTAAACTTTAATCATATAAAACAAAATATTAATTTCCACTAAACCAACTCCTTTGTTGTCCTAAAAACAAATATGTATTTATTTTTTAAACCGAAGTGGCCGTGTTATTCCGGCATAGAATAGGCCACCCCTTCCCTTCCCGTGGGTGTCGTAAAAGTCTACGGCGAGAGATGGGCGGTAGCATCCCTCTTAAAACATCTCTTAAGCCTGACTGCAGTTGCCTATCCGCCTGCCAAGCGTGGCAACTACTGGCAAAAGAGGCTTATGTCCAACAGTGGACGGTGAAGGGCCGATATGATGATGATTTAAACTCTTCATACGTGACGGTTGTCACTATCCATCAAGCGGATGAAAACCCACTACGCAAATAAACTTGAATGAGTAGTTTGACTCAATCAAAACTTGTTTAACATAAAGTTTGACCGTCTCAAGCAGACTTAGAATTGCCATTTTATTTATAATCATAATCATAATGACCCCTTAAACGGGTTATTGAGCAGAGATAAGGTCAAAGGCGGATCTAAAATCATTTTATATTTCGTACTCAATTTGGTCACATCATTATAATAATAACCAAAATGACGCTAATATTTTTGCTCTTTGCTACTCTCTTGACTAATATTAACTGTGAAAACAACACGATTCTCGCGCCATCATTGTTCTTGAACCATGGAGGTGGCCCATATCCCGTATTAGGCGAAGAATTTAATAAAGAAATACGCGATTCTTTGAAGAATGTGTCCTCTTTTGTTGATTTGAAACGTTTAAACGCAGTGATCGTGGTCACAGCACACAGAGAGGAAGATGTAGTGACGATATCATCAGGTGATCATCATGATATGTTGTATGATTATTACAATTTCCCTCCAATAAGTTACACGTTCAAGCATAACGCGCCTGGCGACCCAGTTTTGGCGGGAAGAATTCACGAGGCATTCAAAAAGGTTGGAATACCTTCTAAACTTGATAGCGTTAGAGGTTGGGACCATGGAGTTTTTATACCTATGATGCTAGTCGATCCAGATGCAAATATACCGATAGTGCAAGTATCAATATTGAAGAATCAAGACGCGGCGCAGCATTTTGAAATTGGAAAAGTGCTGTATCAGTTTAGGAAAGAAGGTGTCGCAGTTTTTGGTTCGGGTATGTCCTATCACAACATGGGTGAATTCAAGAAAGCGGAAAGTGATGATAACAGACTGATAGTTAATGATAAATTTGATGAATTTCTGAATGAAGTGTGCACTGGAGATGCTGATGAAATGAAGGATCGTTTGACTACGTGGATGGAGGTACCGGGCGGTTTGGAATCTCATCCTCTCGGTGAAGCAGATCATTTGATGCCACTAATTGTGAACGCCGGCGCAGGCGGCGCTCATCCAGGCACAAATATTTTTAAATCTGTTTTCATTTACAAATTCAGACTCAGTGGATTTATTTGGGATAAAGAATGAGAAATGTTTTATGTGTATAATTTTTAGTTTTGGTGTGGTGATCTTTAAAGTTCTCAAACCTAATTTGTAATGGGAAAGGAAGAAGTTGTAGATGCAAGATTTTGCAGAAAGAAACAGACACTTTAATAGTAACAGAATCATGTAATAGATCGATAAAATAACACAATAAGTATTTTTTTTTCAATAAGCACTTATAAAAATTCGTTGTTTTAATACCTGTTTCTCTAAGCTTAATATGAAAATACAGAATAACTACATTTTTAATGCTTTAGTACCATTTCAAAATAACACATATTTTTTTACAATAAACTTGTTATTTAATAACGACACAGAACATTTTATTACTGTAAATAAGTTATCATTAATAAAAATAATGAAGAACAATTTTTTTGTATATGATTTAGTTTTGCTCTAAGAAACTAAACGTCATTATTCCATATAAAGCCACTTAGTTTAAAATTAACTTTGAAGATAGAATTAAATATATTTCTCCTCGGTTGCGAGCCTCCAGCGCCAGCTGCGACAATCAAAGGCATTAGATGGTCGGCGTCTCCCATCGGATGGGAGTCATAAGCACCAGGCATTTCCTCCCAAAGAATAATTTTCTTTCTCTTTTCTCCATCACCAGTACAGACGTCGTTCAAAAAATCATCAAATTCAACATTGACAATACCCAATTTTTCGTTAGGTGCTTTTCTAAATTCCTTCATATTGTGATAAGATAATCCGGACCCAAAAATTGCAACGCCGTCTTTACGAAACTGATACAAAACTTTTCCCATCTCGAAATGTTGTTTAGCGTTCTGATTTTTCAAAATTGATATTTGAACTATTGGGATATCAGCAGAGGGATTGATTAACATCATTGGAATAAATACTCCATGATCCCAACCTCTTTCGGTGTCTAACCTCGACGGGATACCCGCGTTTTTGAACGCTTCGTGAATTTTTCGCGCCAATTCTGGTTCGCCTTTAGCGCCATATTGTAATTTGTAGCTTTCAGGTGGAAAATTGTAATAGTCGAATAACAAATCGTGGCGCTCACCAGCCGATATCGTCACAATATCCTCTTCCCGGTGCGCAGTTACCAATATAATGGCCTTCAAACATTTCAAATCGACGATATTTCGCACATTCTTCAAAAATTCCGCGATCTCTCGATTGTCTTTTTGACCTAAAACCGGGTTAGGTCCGCCGCCATGATTGAGAAATAAAGATGGCGCGAAATATTTAACATCACTCGACATTCTCACAAATTAAAATATTATTATATTTTAAGAGCAAACGACCAATAACCTAACTAAATAATTACTAAATAAACGCTGTTAGAACTAAGTATTTAAAAAACAAGACTTCGATAGAATTTTACCTAGTAACTTAGATGCAATGTAGTACAATGACACAGTCAAGGTTGTATGAAACACGCTTAGATTCTCAGTAATACAAGTAAGTACCACGATAATAACAATATTTCCTTGTAATAACGCTGTGTCATTTTAATAAACAAGTGATCGTACTATATCAAGATAGTCTGAAAACGAAGAAGTCACACTATCATAGGCAGTGATAACTATTCTATAATAGCTTTTACCCGCGACTTCGTCCGCCCGACCGGGATCAAATGTAGCCTATACCCTTTTCCATTCCATGTAGTTTGTGTATACTAAATTTCATAGTGATTGATTAAGCTGTTAATGAGCTAAGAGGTAACAAAAATACTTACTCATTTTCAAATTTAGGTATAATATTAGTAAGACTACAGATTAGGTATGCATGTTTTTGTTTAATAGCTGATAATGGAATGGTAACCCCGCCTGCGCTAATAGTACACCCTGGCGGGGCACCAGTGAGAGATGAGATGAAAATGACAAGGCAAGTCAACCTATCGTGATGAATACACTTGGAATTCAGCATGATGGTTTCCAGGGGGGACCATCTGCTAGAAATAGGTCTGGTAGTTCGCATTATTAATAATCCCTTAGATTATATAGATAGAGCCTCGAGTCTAGAAAATGGGTCACCTTTTGCCTCAGCTAATTATCAAATTAACTGACTAGTGTTTTTTATCAGTGTTCTATATACTTACTTACGCATACAATGTATCTAAACGTATTATTTAATAAATAAAATGAGAAATTACGCATTAAAAAATTTTAAAAACTATAAGAAAAATAAATATAAAATTGTAATCACCTATGACTATTTATCACGCAAAATTGTATGAAAAACTTGACCCGCTTTTCTCGAAGCACTTTATATGGAGACAATTTATCTATATAATCAAGATTTTTACTAATCTAACTTTATTTTCACCTATCTGCGTACACTGGTTAACCCCGCCAGCGTACGAGTTTTTTTTATAACACAGGGGGCCAACGAGCATGCATCTCACCTGATGGTAAATGATTACCGCCGCCCATGATCACCCGACCCGCTACACCAGAGGCATTGTAGGTTTGCTGCTGGGCCTTAAAAAAAAAATGTGTTCTTTTCTTGATGGTTAGGTACGATGTCTTATCGGTATTACGCTATCTAGTTTTCGTAGTGATCTATCTATTTCTATTGGATTTTCTACGTGTACGAAATAGCGGTAAAAAACTAGTTCAAGAACATTTAAATAAGGATATCCACGCAATAAAATTCAATATTTATAACAATATAATTTATTCATCAATGTATAAATTAATCAACTTTTAATGCTTATAAAATAGTTTAACATTTTGATTTTTTTTTATTTATCTAACATTAATATACCTGGTCCCAATGTCTCGTTAGTGCCTTGTGACAGATTTTAGTTATTTTGGCAATTAGAATCTAATCTATACAAAAAAAAAAAAAACAAAAAAAAAAGCAATGTGAACATTAGTATGATGACGATAAAAGTGTACTACAGTGTAGTGTAGTTTATTGCATTACAGATAATAGAGAAATTAATAGATAGATACTATTTATTGTTTCCTCCATAATATACAATACTATAAGATTACAATAGTAAACTTATCATAGATACAAACAATTACAAAAAAATTACACTGAGAAAACGGGAGGCCTTATCTAATAGCGATCTCTTCCAAGCAACCTTTGGATGGCGAAGAGTAATCATAAACAGTTTGCCTGAAGGCACGAAACTGTTCATTTTTAGATACATATAGAAATATGTATACGTACAATAATGTGAATATATAAATATATATTTTAAGTTACTAATACATACTTAAATAAATACATATATATATATATATATATATATACATATATATATATATATGTATTATATATGTGCGGGTGAGTTGTGTATTAATTGATGAAGTCTGCTGCGGCATGAAAGACTGCAGAGCAGAAACTATGAGAAAATACATTTTATTACTTTTACATTGATGGCAATATTGTTTTTAATCTATACTAATTATTTGATTTATTGTATTTGTAATAAAAAAAAAAACTTGAAAATTACTCAACCGATTTTAAAAATAGAAAATTACATTTCCAGTAACATAGGTTAAATATAATTTTGAATATAAAAAAAGTTTAGCTATTAGCTGATATAAAATATAATGATATTTTTCTATCATCTACCTATGCAAAGCTGGGATGATTCATTAGCTTTTTATACAATTTTATGTTGATAAAATGGATTGTCCCATCCTAAAATATTGGGTGGGACAGGTTATCAATGTAAGAGCGTTATGACCGGTCATTATCACTAACATAGGTTAAGTCAATTTATAATTAACAAAATGGGCTTTGTGTAGTCTGATTATATTATTATTATTATTAAATGAATATATCATAAGGACGGCTATGTTCCAAATAATAATTGCAGTAATAAATTATAAAATTGATTAAATAAATCATAACTTTATGTACAAACTTCACTTTTAGAAAAATATTATAAAACCAACAGGACGTAAATCTCATTTGAGACCTATAAAATCAAAGACAGCTAAATCCAAATCTGTCCAAAAGGAAACTACAAAAATTAATATTTTGTCACGGATATGAAACAATACTTTATATTTTAAAGTAGATTAAAGAAAATTTGAATATTAGTAATAATTTGAATTTTAATTAGTAAAACTCCTCTATATTTGAGAGTACAGGGTGATTTTTTTTTATACAACTTAGGATGGCAAACAAGCTGACGGCCCACCTGATGGAAAGTGGTAACTGTCGCCTATAGAAAATGAAATCGATTTTATGGCATTCTGCTGCCTTCGATTTAATAGGCCTCATTTCATTCATATGACTATTTACTTTGCCAAAATGAAAGAATATACCACAGTGTACTAAAACAAACACACTTTGTTCATACGGTAACATAAAAGGTTTGTTCATACTAAAACCTACCAAAGTATGGCAAAGTTGCAATTATCTATCAGTATCCAAAAATAATTGAACATATATATATATATATATATATATATATATAAAATACAGCAATTAGTTAATTAGTTTAACAACATGTTAGCAAGGGTGGGCTTATCTCCAAAAGAGATCTCTTCCAGCCAACCCAATGAGAGAGAAAATAATTAGCAAGTAATATAGTGCAGGAAAGGTACAGGGAAAAAGATATACAAGGTAAATAGAATACAAGTATTATATATATATACATATATATAGATGAAAAATATTAATATTTTTAATTTCTCTGCTAGGAAGTCCAAAAGATATATTAAAAATTTAAGAAAGAGCTATGCCAATTGGGTTTATTCCAATTTACCATTATTTCCAATCTGATTATTATTTAAATAGTGCTCAGATAGCAAACTAAAACTGTAATCATTAACAAAATGTGCATAAATTATAGATGTAGAGTGTGGATATGATTATTTACATATGTTTTATCATGAGTGTTTTTCTTTTTTTATTAATTACTGTCTTTTGCTTGTCTACTGTACACAAATGCTGTCTGAGAGATTACTTTAGCGATAAGAACACCTTAAGTGTAATATTTATGTATTATATGTGCATTTCTTATGTGTATATTATATTTATATTGTATATTGCCTTAATGTGTTACTATAATTGTCACATATTTTTCACCAAATCTGCCCTTCGTACACTTTCTGTTTTTACCTAATGGTTAGCTGGTAGAGAATGCCATATGGCATTAAGCTCGCCATTCGTACAAAATTTTATTGTGCAATAAAGAATAAATAATAAATTATATATATGTACTTCATAAGTGTAATATCTTTGTATTATTCTTTAAGTGGTGCAATAAAGAGGAAAATAAGTAAATTTGCCAATAAAATATTTTGCACCTAATTCATATTTTACTTTAGAAATTTTCAAACATATCTTTCAATAATAATACAATAATAATCTTATTAAATGATTAAAATTTAATTTACTATTAGAAGCACTTTTTAAACAATTAATCATAAATATTTAAAATTATAATTTTTTTTTTAAATGACACAATTCTGATGTTGCCATATTTAAGTATAACCACCTTTCAAGGTACACACACATCACTCATCTTTCCAAATAAACCCACTCAATCTGAAAGTCCCACTCATATCCCAGTTAAAAACCCTTTTCCCCGCCCGTGAGCCTCCTGCTCCAGCAACCACCACTAATGGCATAAAATGCTCAGCTGCTCTTACTGGGTGAGCTTCCGTCGCCCCTGGCTGCTGTCTCCACGATAAGAAACCTTCTCTCCTCTTTGATTCATCCTCTGATGTGCAAATGTTATATAAATGATTGTCAAACTCCTCATTAACAACTTCCCCACGACTTCTACCATACATAAACTCCCTCATGTTATGGTAAGACATCCCTGAGCCTAATATAGCTACGCCTTCTTTCCTAAACTGATACAAAGCCTTCCCCAATCTGTAATGTTCCATAGGATCTTGATTAGACAGCACAGATACCTGCACTATAGGTATATCGGCGGCGGGATTAATCAACATCATTGGAACAAAAACTCCGTGGTCCCAACCTCTTTTCGGATCCAATTTGGAGGGAATGCCTTCTTTTTTTAAAACTTCGTGAATGCGTGCTGCCAGTTCTGGGTCACCGGGTGTGTCGTATTTATACTTGTATGATTCTGGCGGGAATCCGTAATAATCGAAGTATAAATCGTGGTGTTTACCTGACGATATCGTCACGACACTCTCCTCCCAATGAGCAGTCACTAAAATTATTGCTTTTATTTCCTTAAAGTTTATATGTTTTTTCACATCATCACGTAGGAATTTTGTCAAACCAGCATGGTCCTTGTCGCCTAGAAGAGGCATAGGGCCTCCGCCGTGGTTCACGAACATCGCTGGTGCTATCAAAGCCATTTTACGAGCACTACTACTGAATTGGCGTATTATGTTCATAGACAGCAATGATAAAAACACAATGAATGCTACGTTAATGAGAATGGACAACGTATTAAGGATCAGCATGTAGGTGAGCCAAGTTTCTAGGTCAAGAAGTAATTATTTAACATGAGATTTCAAGGTCTAATTATTATTACAATAATAAAAAATACAATGAAAATTGGAAACGACCACAATGAATTGATCATTGAATTGACATTGGCAGTCATATGCCTTTGACAGTTACTGGCAACAGAAAATTTGACAGTTATTTATGGTTTAATTAGTTATTAAATAAATAAATATTTCTGGTTTTAGCTTGTTTGCCATTCAATAATTATTGAATGTAATTATTAAACAATTTTTGCTATTTATTATTTCTGGTATTGATGACAAAGATAATGGGCATATTCTTAAACTCTATTTCAACGAATACTTATAGAAGATTGTATGTATATTTGCATCTTGGTGGACAGAAGAACTGTTTCGTCTTCTCTGTGTTAAAGACTGCCTTAGATTTGAAAAATAATTTGAAATTTCAATTATAACATAAAGTTATTAATATAAACACGAATTTACTAATAATAGTAAAAGATTATAAAACAATTGTTAATCATCCCAAATTGTCTATTTTTTTTATTTGAAAGTAAAGTAGTCCGACGACAGTCCATTTTTATCGTTGTAATCAAAATAGCATTGAAAACTATTTCCGAACGAAACATATAAAGAAAAGAGATGACTGTACGAATAATAGAAAGAGAACGCAATAATTTTGAACAAAAATGGCGTCTCTGTGAGTTGTCCTTTTCGCACTGACATAATTTGAAATAATTTTACAATTTAGGATATCTTATCGTAATAAAAATTTATATTTACGTATCATGTAGACAGTATTTACACTAATAACTATAGTGTTAATGGACTTTAACAAATTGTCTTTAAGTAGGTTTATACTAGAATAATGTCGTCGCTTGGGCGACGCTTTTTTCCCGTGTTTCCACGACAATGTATTAACAACAACCCGTGCCGGCGTGTTATTTGCGCGTTTTAGTGCAAGATACAGGTGCAAAGTGCAAAAATGGACAAGAAAAATAAAAAGAAAGTAGTTATTAAGAGGAAAAGTGACGAACCAGTAGACAGTGAGAAAAAGGCCAAAATGGTGAACCGGAAGGCTGATGGTGATAAGGAGAAAGTGGAAGTGGTGAACCAGGTTGTGGAGGTGCCTGTGGAGCAAGGCCAGCAGATAGTGCACACGGGACAGCTGGTGGAGGGCAATTTTGAACAGCCAGTTTTTGTCAACATGAAAGGAGAGCCAGTACAATTAGGTCAGTTTTGGTGTCTTATCCTTAATAACTTCACCGCGGCAATTTCAAACTTATAACTAGTCAATTAAGAACTATTCTTTGTACACGATTTATTTTGCAAAAAATTTGACCTAATTGCTCAAATGTTGTTGACCTAAAACAAAAATTTTGTATTTATTTATTTGTCAAGGCACACTAAAAATATATATAATATATATTTTTAGTATAAAGTAAATTATACTAAAAATATATATTATGTTATTTTCTGTATAAAGTAAAATCTAATACAAGTGCACATAAAAGGCGCGCACATCATTTATACAACAACTAAAACATAAAGTAAGAATCCAATAAATCTTCATTATATAAAAAGAAATATAAGTAAATAAATTTTTTTTTTATACAACTTAGAATAGCAAACAAGCTGATGGTCCACCTGATGGAAAGTAGTAACCGTCGCCTAGAGACATGAGCAGTACCATGGGCATAACAGAGTATACTGTTTCACCCATAATACCCCCCATGCATTGCCATTCCTGAGGACTCAGGTGTTATTCCTCTGTACCCAGTAATTTCACGCCATATCCCACCCTTCAAACTGAAACAAAGCTATGCTTCACGGTTAAACACGAATGGGACAGAGGTACCCAAGCAATCGACTTTTGTACAAAGTCTCCCTCTGGTAACAATCATAAATATTTCATTCATATTTATCATCATATCAGCTGTTAACAGTCTACTGCTAAACATTGGTTTTCCCCATTTAGAAGATTTTTTTTAATCAGTGATAATGGAACAGTAACCCCACCCTTGCTGTTATATACACCAGCAGGGCACCAGTGAAGGACGATAGATGAGGATGAAGCAGGTCAGTTAACCCATTGTGACGAATTCAACAATAATTGTTCACAATGGTTTCCAGGGGTAATCATGTGGAGGTCGACCTAATAGGGCCATTTGGAGGAATTAGCCAGTAGTTGCCACGCTTGGCAGATAGGTAGACAACTGCAGTTAGGTTTTAAAGGTATTTTAAGAGCGACACTGCTGCCCATTCCTCACCCTTCCTTAGTCGCCTCTCATGACACCCACAGGCAAGGAAGGGGTGACCCGTTTTATGCTGGTGGATCATACAGCCTTGTGTTAATTGTGTATTGAAATTATGTAATTATCTGTAAATTTTAATTTGAATAATTTTCAATGTTTCTGATTGTTTTTTTTTTTTTAATGCTTGGTTAGAAAACTAAAATATTCATTATAGAATATATTTCATATAAAATAACTTTTAGAATGTTTCAAATACACTTTTACCCTCAATATTTAAATTTTCAGTAACAATTTGATAAATATTATTAACATTTTAGGTTAGTTTAATGATTAAATTAGGTTAATGAGTTTATTTAGGTTAAGTTAGGTTAATGATTGATTATTTAAAAAGTTCTCTGCTAGGGAACTTTTTAAATAATCAATCATTAACATAGAAAGTTGTTCAGTTATTTTTTTTTTTAATTAAAAAACAATTGGATGATGCCATACTTTGTCATGAAAGCTCCTAAAGAACAAGGTATTCTAAAATCTTTGGAGAGTTCCTAAGTATAATATTAGGCCAGAGAGGAACATTACATTTTGTAAAGTGGCTAGTTGGGAAAAAAAAGTGAATCTATAAATGTCATTAAGGCCAGTATCATTTTGTGCTACTAAAATTGTTTTCTCATATTCAAATACAAAATAAGCATTATTTAAAAAATATTAATGTAATATAAATTGGACTCTCTTTTCCATGCTTAACCTATCATTTGGGCTGTTGAGTGTATGAGTCGTGGCTAATACAGCCTACCCAGCTCTGCCCTGAAGCACGGAGGCTTCCTGGGATCTTTACAGGCCTCACCGATCTGATGATTTCTAAACGTAGATGGGCCACAGCTGCCTCCATAAATAGACTTATATATAACTCTTTTAAATCCTCATTTTTAATACAATTTTGCTATAATTTTAAAAAAATATCCCTATATCTGTTTTTCTGAATGTATATATTATACTAAATTTCTGAAACTTCTTCTGTGGAACTGTTATAATAATATTGATCTTAATAAATAATCTATATATATACTTTTATAATAATATTATATTATAACAAAGTTCTCCGCAATATCTGTTTGTCTGTCTGTTCGCGATAAACTCAAAAACTAATGCACTGATTATCATTCTGGCTTCACCAATGGATAGAGTGGTTCTTGAAAAAGGTTTTAGTATACAATTTAATAATATTTACATATATATACATACATATACAATATATATACATTAGCTAAAATTCGACCAGGCCTCGCAGGCTCCCCATGACCCCACATGTAAAGAACCCGTGCGAAGCTAGGAGGAATTGCTAGTAATATTATAGAGGTAAATTTATGAGTTTGGATGTTCAAGGTAATCTCTGGTTCTACTGATCTTATTTTGAAAGTTCTTTAACTAGTAGACATACCTTATATTATCCCTGAGTGCTATAGGCCACTCTTTAGTAAAATCCCCCGTTTACTGAAGCTTTGCAATTCGAAAACACATCGATTACTCTCTCCAAAAATATTGAAATCCTTGGTGTCTGTTTGCACCTTTCCCTTTTGTGTGTATAAATTTATGAGTGCAGGAACTCTTCAATAACTCCTTTATTTTTACTTTTGTGAAATATAAATTTATTATAAGAAATATTATTAGGATCATTCCTTTGCTAATTACAGAGAGCGAGTGAGTGAAGTTCATGTCTATCACCGCAGTAGCAGACCGTCGAAGTCTCACTTCACTCCGTTGACGTTTTATCCATATGAGTGAAAATGGTATGGTAGCCCCGCCTGCGCTAACGGGATACGCTGGCGGAGCACCAGTGAAGGGCGGTAGATGAGAATGAAAACAGGCCAGTTAGCCCATCATGATGAATTCATCAGGAATTAACCATGATAGTTTCCAGGGGGAACCGAGAAGAGGTCGACCTGGTTGGGTATATTGCTAGCAATGGGATTCTCAGACTCCATAACTAACAATCCCTTGACCCCCTATCTGTGGACTGTAGCACCTGGTTACCAATTTGATTCTCTCGGTTCAAAGACATGCAATGAGAATTATCGATGATCCCAAGCTCAGGGGCAGTATCAAGCCCTTAAGTCTAAGGCGAGACTTTGCCCCCCTTTGTGTTCTACTGCTTGTATAATGAATTGTGTTCTAAGGGAATGTTTGAAACGGTACCTACAGCCACCTTTTATCATTGCTCCGCTCGCCATGGACAAGGATTTAATTCTTATATGCTTTAACCTAAATGGTCCTGTACAGTGCGGTTTCAAAGTATTTTTTTCTTATGAACGCTCAGGCTGTAGAATGAGCTCCCTGGTGAGGTTCACCCTAAAGACTACAGTATGGGGTTCTTCAAAAAGACTATATTAAGTTTTCTTCAGGGTTGGCAACGCGCACGTGACACCCCTAGTGTTGCAGCCGTCCATAAGCTACAGTGATAATTTTCAATCATATTGGCTGTATGCTTATTACAAAAGTGACAAACCTTTATAGTATAAAAGAAAAGATATCTGAGGGCACATTGTCTAAGCCTTAGATTATAAAGTATATAAATTGGCAGTGTAAAAGAGAGGAAATCTAATAACATGTATGTTAGAGTGAGATATAAAAGCAAGACATTAATTTATACAATATATGCTCGAAGCTGATTTGGCAAAAGTGTCAACAAAATTAATTCTTATCTATTATTTGAAAATTTTTGTAAAATGGTTAAAGTTAAATGTGTTATACCTGAATACAACATAAAACAGGAAAATAATTAGCTTATATATTGAAATAATTAGCCTTTCCCTATCTTAGGGATATTGCTAGCAATGGGTTTGTCAAACTCCATTGCTAACAATCCCTTTCCCCCCTCATAGCTAGGTTAGAGTATGCATATAGCTGTAAGTATAAAAACGAACTCTGTGCTTTTGTACAAACTGCAAAGCAGTTTTGCGGCACTACAACTATTTCTTGTTTATATATCTGTTGATTTCAAATCAACAAAAAAAAAAAGAATTTAGAAAAGTTATTTACCAAAATTATATTTACCAGGAATCAAATCTGGGACCTCATAAATGCTAAGCAAGTTACCTACGACTCCACTATTGAGGCAGTCAAATATGTATCTATTTTACTGAGTCTTATATATTTTTATTAATAACTTTCAGGTCCAAACACAGTAATTCTATACGAGCAAAGTGGTAACCCATCCAACTTTGCCTTTGGTAGTATGTGGACCATGGACCCTTCAGGGCGAATCGTGATGGCGGAAACAATATACGATGTGAAGGGCGAACCAGAGGAGGAAGGCAGTACATATGTCCAGAATACGACTGAAGTTAGCAACGTAAGTAAAATAAGTACTAACGTAAAAAGGAAAAGTAGAGGGTAAAAGAGGAAGGGGAAGACCGAGGAATAACTACATGGGACAGATAAAGGAAACATTAGGTGACAAGTCCTATAGAGAAGTCAAGGATATGGCCTGGGATAGAGCTGGCTGGAAAAATACATGAATTAGTTGTACCGACTAGAGAAAAGTCGTAACCGTCGCCTATAGACATGAGCAGTACCATGGACATTACAGAATATATCGTTTCGCCCATGATACACCCCATGCGTTACCATTCCTGAGGACTCAGGTGTTATTCCTCTGTATCCAGTAAATTCACGCCATATCCCACCCTTCAAACCGAAACACAGCCATGCAAACACAACTGCTTCACGGTAGAAACACGAATGGGACAGAGGTGGTCAAGCCAGCAACTTTTTTACAAAGTCTCCCTCTGGTAAAATATTAATAGGATACTGCCATCAAAGTGCTTTATATTATTCTCAATTTCGTGTATAATATAGTATATGTCATACATGTGTAAGTACATGTGTTATTTATATATATTTATTCGTTTATATATGTAATTTTAGTATGTATGTATATCAATAATTACTAGTACCGCATTCGAGTATTCTGACACTTCTCTATGGTTGACTGGGAGAGAATGCTTTTAGCATTAAGTCCGCCATGTACACATATGTACTAATGAATAAATAAACGAATAGTTAGTTATATAAGTGAAAATTCTCCATTCCAGCAACAAGTAGATGAGCAAGGCAATACGTACCAACAGTATGAGCTGAGCAACAACGCCCAGGTGGAAGGCCAGCAAGAGTATGAGGTGGCGATTATAGAGAATCCAGTGGCCGAGTCGGCGAACAGGTGGGACTGGTTTTCACTTGGTTGGTTGGTTTGGTTTGGTCATTTGGAGAGGATGGATGAAAGAAGAATTATGAAAGAGATTTATCTAGCAAGAATGAATGGAGATGTCGGTAGGGGTCACCCTAGACGGACGTATGTTGAACAAATAGGCGACGTGCTGAAGAAGGACCAAATTAAAAGTACCCGTAACCGGCGAGCGTGTATGAAAAGATTGATGAATGTGGAGGAAGCGAAAAAGGTTTGTTTGTATCGAAGCATTTGGCGTTCCATTGTTTCTGCCTACCCTAATGGTAGACAGGCGTGACAGATATGTATGTATGTATGTATGGTTTTCACTGTATTTTTTTTAATAGATGATAATTCCTTTTCACTCAGGATTTGCTGGAAGAGAACTCTTACAGACTTAAGCTCGCCTGTTGTACATCTTTATTTTATATATATTATATGTTGTAATGTTTGTGTGTAATCATTTATTTCTTTATACTTTATTGTATAAAGTATAAATAAATAAATAATTTAATGGTAGACAGCCTACGCTATCGGTTATACGCTAGCGTGGCACCATTGAGGGATGATAGGTGAGGATGAAGCAGGTCAGTTAGTCCATAGTGGTGATTCACTTGGAACTGAGTACAATGGTTTTCAGGGGTAACCGCAAGGAGATTGACATGACAGTGTGTATTGCTAACAATGGGGCTAGAATTCCCCATTACTAAAAAAATCACCCCCCCCCCCCCTAATGTTCACTGTATTTGTCTTAATCGACTTAAGAAATTACATATATTGTTCATATTTAAATGTAACAGCCACGGGTTTAACTTACTTGTAATTTAGTCGAGTAAGCATAACTAGTTTCGGGTCCATTCCGGACCTTTAGTCTTGAGCGGTGACCTTACTCTTTCCCCCTCTATATTATATAAACCTTTTTTTTTTCAGAGAAAACGATCCTCAAGTGATAACTACGGAAGAGCAGTTGGTAGCCGCAGGCGTGGCCGCGGTGCGTTGGCTCAACCAAAAATATGACTTTGTTGTGAGGAAGTTACAGCTGAACTATGGTGAGCTTGTCCTTCCCAAGGTTACATTTTTAACAATACGAAGTAATCTCTATGCCATGACTTCGTTCCTTTGTCACAGCTAAATATGGAAATTATTGCTACATTTAATTCATTATCATTTTTAATCACAGTGATATCATATGCTTATGCTTGCTTGGGTACCTCTGTCCCATTCGTGTTTCAACCGTATAGCAGTTGTGTTTGCATGGCTGTGTTTTGGTTTGAAGGGTGGGATATGGCGTGAATTTACAGGGTACAGAGGAATAACACCTGAGTCCTCAGGAATGGCAATGCATGGGGGGGTATCATGGGCGAAACAGTATACTCTGTTATGTCCACGGTACTGCTCATGTCTATAGGCGACGGTTACCACTTTCCATCAGGTGGGCCGTCAGCTTGTTTGCCATTCTAAGTTGTATAAAAAAAAAATATGTGACAAATCACAGAGTGATTTTCACTCGCTGTTACTTTATACGTACACGTTACTATTTGCTATTGAAAAATGTAATATGAAATTGATTACTTTGGTAAGAGCGAGCGAATAAACGCTTTAACGCATTGTGATAAAGTCTATTTGCTTATCTTCTATACTTACAATAAATCTGTAGAGAGGTCAATTCTGTACATGAAATATATTTCCAAAATAACTATCAGCGGGTGATTACTGATCGATACTGATGACAAAAATGCAATCAGTAAAATTTTTGTATGTCTATGCCTTGTTTATTATTTATTATTGCCAATGTTTATATTTGACGGCCTTATTACTGGTTGCAGATGCTGGAGTGAAGTTACTGCACTCGGCGTCGGGGTGCATTCAATGCGTATACCTGACCACGCCGAGCATGCAGCTCGCGTTCAACGCGGTGCCGCAGTTCCTGTGCATCGAGACTGGTAAGTAAGGTCAAGGTCGGGATCAAGGTCAGGTCAGGTCAAAGGGGGAACAATCCTCTGTAGCTCACATTAGAAGTGATACCGTAATGTGTCTACATTGATAGTCAAGACTGGTATATACATATAGGTCAAGGTCAGGGTCAAGATTAAGGTCAACAGTGACAAATCCTCTGTAGCTCACATTAGAAGTGATGCCGCAATGTGTCTACATTGATAGTCAAGACTAGTATATACATATAGGTCAAGGTCAGGGTCAAGATTAAGGTCAACAGTGACAAATCCTCTGTAGCTCACATTAGAAGTGATGCCGCAATGTGTCTACATTGATAGTCAAGACTGATATATACATATAGGTCAAGGTCAACACTGACTGCCTACCTGCAACTAGCGTTTAATGAAGTGCTGTCATTTCTAAGCACTGAGATTAATAAATGTATGTATTGATTTATTTATAACTAGCGGCCCGTCCCGGCTTCGCACGGGTGGACATTTTTAACATTTCCCTTCACTGCTCTGCTCCTATTGATCATAGCATGATGAAAAGTATATCTATACTTACAATAAATCTGTAGAGAGGTCAATTCTGTACATGAAATATATTTCCAAAATAACTATCACCGGGTGATTAGTGATCGATACTGATGCCAAAAATGCCATCAGTAAAATTTTTGTCTGTCTGTCTGTATGGTCGTTATAGAAACAGAAATTACTCGACGGGTTTTAACGAAACCTGGTACAATTATTCTTCATACTCCTGGGCAGGTTATAGTATACTTTTCATCACGCTACGATCAATAGGAGCAGAGCAGTGAAGGGAAATGTTGGGAAAACGGGAGAAGTTACTCCATTTTTAAGCTTCCGTCGCGGGTACAGCCTTAATGGCCACTTTTTAAAATGTAAAAATGTCCACCTGTGCGACGCCGGGACGGGCCGCTAGTAAATAAAAAAAATGATTTCTCTCTTTCTTCTTTCTTTAAATTTGTACCTTATTTGTACAGGCATAGAGTTCAACAGCGGTATACCGATAGTGAGCGGCTCGGCCAGTCCCAGCGTCAAGCACAACGTAACTCTGTTCCTTGCGGAAGACGGCAATGGGAAGTCGGTCATCGTCAGCGCTGGTGAGTGGTCATATATGATGGATATTCTCCATTCGTCTCGTGTTTCTACCGACTTCGAAAAAGGGGTAGTTTCTCGATACGATTGTTTTTTGTTTTTTTTTTTTATACAACTTAGAATGGCAAACAAACTGACGGTGCACCTGATGGAAAGTGGTAACCGTCGCCTATAGACATGAGCAGTACCATGGACATAACAGAGTGTACTGTTTCGCCCCCTGATTGCAACGCATGGGGGGTATCATGTGCAGAACAGTATACTCTGCGGTTGCAACTTTCCATCAGGTGGGCCGTCAGCTTGTTTGCCATTCTAAGTTGCATAAAAAATTTGATTAAAATTTAAGAATGTTGGTAGAATAAAATATGTCTTTATTCAATTATCTTGTTTAATTGTAAAGAGTCAACATATATCCCAAGCTGGAACACCCTTAATTACCTCTTACGACACCCACGGGAAAGGAACGGGTGGCCCATTCTATGCCGGGATCACACGGCGATGTAATATAGGCGACTTTTTATACAAAGTCTCCCTCTGGTAATACCTACATGTAATAGTTTAAAAAAAAAAAACTTCAGGCATATCAACTTTGATCGGCGAGGAGGTGTCCTGGCTACTGGAGACGTTCAAGTCCTGCAACCCCGCCTGGCGGCAGGTGCGCTGCGTTGTTGCAGATCCCGCGCGACATCAGGTACATTTATACTGCCAGTGTTGCCACTTGATAGATAGATAGATACTCTTTATTGTTTCCTCCAAAAGATTACAATAGTAAACATATTATAAATACAGGCAATTACATGAAATGATCACAGTGAGAAAACTAGTTAGTTTTATTTTAACGAATGTTCGTTTTTGCAAAAGTAAACTATTCAATAAAAGAATTATGTTATATTTTTGCCATAATCCTAAAAAAATCTCGATGTTTTAGGATACTGTACAAAGTCTGGATCCAAAATGCCCTTAAACATTTCTTTAAAGCATTACACAATAGTTCCTTTACCTATCTATATGTGCACATTAAAAAAATTCAAATTCAAAAATGGAACGTGACGTCAGGCGGCTCGAGCGGCGTTCCCGGGCGCACACGTAAGCAGCTCAGTGTGGCAGGCGGCGCGGGCGGGCGCGCGCGCCTGCAACGAGGCCGCGCGGCGGGACGGCACCGCGCTGGCGCCAGCACTCGCGCCAGCGGACGTCGCCGCGCGCTGCAAGACGTACGCGCTGGCGCTGCTGCGCGGCGAGCACACGCCCGCGCAACTACTTGTAAGTCCACTACACGTGGAACTTGAATTCGCCAACATACATATCGTCATATTTGTAGAATACTGAAGGATGTGCCGGTTATTACATATCAAGATCGGTCAGTATTCTACGACTATGACGATATACTACCTGTGTATGTCGACTTAAAACCAAGAGACCCCCGGGGGAAACGGATTATTAGTAAGTAAGTCCTATCAGGTCGACCTCCACGTGGTTCCCCCTGGAAACCATTGTGACTAATACTTCTTGCATTCGTCACGATGAGCTAACCGATAGCGCAGACGGGGCCACCATTTCATTATCACCATTAAAAAAAAATAAAAAACCAAAGGACCCGGTGATAGCCTCCGGAGTTGAAGATAGGCCATCCGGCGGGCAAAGAAGACCTGATTGATTGAATTCGCCAAAAAAAGACTATAAAAAAATCGTCTGATTAGGTACTACTGTTCCGCTCGTGTTTCTGCCGTGAAGCAGCTGTGCTTGTATGGCTGTGTAATGGGCAGGATGTGGTAGTGAAATTAAGGGTACAGAGGCATAATAAAAGTTGAAATTAAAGCAAAAATTAATAAAAGAGCTATGTCTGAATCGCCGGCAAAATCGATCAACAAAAGGATTGCATGTAATACCAAGGAAGATGTAAATTTTAGTGATAAGCAACTAGGATTTTTTTTATTTGTTTAGCCCATGATACCCCCATGCGTTGCCATTCCTGAGGACTCAGGTGTTATTCCTCTGTACCCAGTAAATTCACGCCATATCCCACCCTTCAAACCGAAACACAGCCATGCAAACACAACTGCTTCACGGTTGAAACACGAATGGGACAGAGGTATCCAAGCAATCGACTTTTATACAAAGTCTTCCTCTGGTTCCCAGCAGTCATCTGTAGAGAGAGACACTGATAGTGAACATGTTATAAGAAATAGACTAATAGATAAAATAAAGACTATAGACTAGTAGTGTAATGTTTTTTTTTAATGGGTAAAAATTAATTGGTAACCCCCCCGCGCTATCGGTATACACCGGCGAGGCACCAGTGAAGGATGATAGGTGAGAATGAATGCAGGACAGTTGGCCCACCATGATAAATTCGACAAGAATTAAACATGATGGTTTCCAGGGGGAACCGCGTGGAGGTCAACCTGAGGCTATTAGACCCCATTACTAACAATCCCTTTCCCCCCTGACAGGCGGTTTGTCAACCGCATTTAGACTTTGGTGATGTTATAAAATTATTTTTAATTCTTAATTGTTTAATGTCGTAACTGGTCCATTACAGGTATTAAAACGGGGTATAATAGGTACCGGGGCGGGTACGCTGCGGCTGTGGGACCTACTCACGCGGCCCGGCGGCGCAATTTCCAAACTCGACTCGTGGCTTGAACCGGACAACTATACTAATATATTGCACAAGGTAAGCCTGCTTGGTTTTTTTTTTTATAAACTTAGAATGGCAAACAAGCTGACGGCCCACCTGATGGAAAGGGGTAACCCTCGCCTATAGACATGAGCAGTACCATGGACATAACAGAGTATACTGTTTCGCCCATGATACCCCTCACGCATTGCCATTCCTGAGGACTCAGGTGTTATTCCTCTGTACCCAGTAAATTCACGCCATATCCTAACCTTCAAACCGAAACACAGCCATGCAACACAACTGTTTTACGGTTGAAACACGAATGGGACAGAGGTGCACAAGCAAACGACTTTTGTACAAAGTCTCCCTCTGGTGGTGAATTTTAAACTAACAATCAGTCAATAATATATATATATATATATATTTTTCAGCCCTATAATGGCATGTTTGTCGGCAGGGCCTGGAGCGGCTAGTGGCCAAGTTCCAGTCGGTGGTGCGGTCGTCGATGCAGCCGGACGAGTTCGTCTCGTTGTTCTTCAACATTGCCAACCAGCTGGAGGACGAGAGGCGGAACTTCGCCATCAGTAGGCTCAGGGTAAGGTCATCATAACAGCTGATAGAACATAGGTGGATTTTCTCAGTAGTTGCCACACTTGGCAGAAAGATTAGGATTTATGTTTATTTATTTAAATATACATCACACTAAAACAAAGTCGCCCCGGGGGGGGGGAGGAATTGTTAGTAATGGGGTCTAAGGTCGACCTCTACGCGGTTCCCCCTAGAAACCGTCGTGGTTATTTCTAGTGGAATTCATCACGATAGGCTAACTGACCTGCCTTTTCATCTTCACCTGTTATCTCTCCCTGGTGCCCCGCCATCGTATCCCTATAGTACAGGCGGGGTTACCATACCATTATCAATAAAATTATATATCATTAAAAAGCCCGTATATGATAGACTAACATCAAATTCAAACCATCAAACTGGGTACAGAGGAATAACACCTGAGTCCTCAGGAATGGCAACGCATGGGGGGTATCATGGGCGAAACAGTATACTCTGTTATGTCCGTGGTACTGCTCATGTCTATAGGCGACGGTTACCACTTTCCATCAGGTGGGCCGTCAGCTTGTTTGCCATTCTAAGTTGTATAAAAAAAAAAAAATATTCAAATGGACTTGTTTCAAAGCATTTTTAAATCGTCATTTTTTAAAATCTACTGCAGGGTTCAGAAAGTTATTATCTGTTGTGAAGAGCCCGCAAGAAACTGAACAGTTACTCTTTTAAATCTCTGTTAACGTTATGTGTATTTATTTAAATGTACTATGTCTAAAGTTACATGGTCGTTAACAGCCCGTGCATGATCGACTAACACCATGCACGCTTGTCATTCAAGTAATCGTTTAGTGTGTCAATAAGTGTTTTTTTATAACAGTTTTAAATTTATTAAAAGGCAGATCCGAAATATCCTTCGGTGTCTTTATATATATACACACACATGGCCATATATATATGACCATGTGGTCCCAGCATAGAATAGGCTACCCCTCTCTTTCCCGTGGGTGTCGTCAGGGGCGACTAAGGGAGGGCGAGGGATGGGCAGCAGCGTTTCTCTTAAAACATATTTAAGGCCTAACTGCGGTTACCAACCCGCTTGCCAAGCGTGACAACTACCAGCAAAACCTCTCAAGAGGGAAGCTTATGTGGGCAACTCTTTCTCGTATCCAACTGTCCAGTTATGGAACAAACTCCCTTTCCACATACAAGAAAGTCCCTCTATTACCTCTTTCAAGAAGAGGTTGAAATCACATTTTCTTTTCCTTGAGTAATATTTTTTTTTTTGTATTTTTCTAATTGGAACTGTCAAATCCTAAAATCATTAATCTAAGTTTCTAATATAAGTAGTATATTAATTTATTTTAACATTTATTATATAAGTAGGTAGGTATTGTATGTATTTATGTAATATTTTATTATATATTTTAATATTTTATTTAACTGTATATTTGTTTATGTATTAATAGTTGTAGCACTTCAGCTGCCCGCTAACGAAATGCTTTCTCACTGTACTGGGTTGACTGGAAGAGATCTCTGTCAGAGATAAGTGCACCCTTGCTCACAACATTTATAAATACATTATTTTATATGTAACTTACAAGTGCAATAAAGTATATATATATGTATATATGTATATATATATATGTATATATATATATATATATGTATATATATATATGTTCAGCAGTAGATAGTTAATGCCCATTCCCACAAAAGACCCATCAACTTTTTCTAAATGATAACATATAATTTTCGTTCACAGGATACGGAGACGCTGAAACAGTCGCCAACGGACACAATAACCCAATACGCTTACAACCTGATGAGTCACCAGACGAAGCTAGCACAGAAATGTCTTGACGACAGAGCGGGCAAGTAAGGATGAACCCAATACCTATGAAGGGGGGGGGGGGAGGGATTGTTAGTAATGGAGACTGAGAATCCCATTGCTAGCAATATACCCAACCAGGTCGACCTCCTCGCCGTTTTCATTCTCATCTATCACCCTTCACTGGTGCTCCGGCAGCGTATCCCGTTAGCGCAGGCGGGGTTACCATACCATTTTCACCCATCAAAAAAAAAAACCTATGAAGGGGGGATTGTTAGTAATAGAGAATAAAGTTCCCAACCTCATAGAATAGAATAGAATAGAATAGAATAGAATTTTATTGCTAACTGTGTACATACATATAGCAGTAACTATTGCTTTGAATTTGACATCAGTATCAACAGTTATACCCTATCGGGCATGCAACAATTTAAGAACAGGTAATTATATTAACATCGAAACATTCAATACTATTACCATTACTTGATTACAAATAAATATGAAATATTATACAATACAATTAACAAGACAAAGAATAATCATATACAAATTAAAATAAAATAAACATAATTTCACTTACATGTCAATTATTATTAATTATTAATTTAATTAGTTTTAAGATTGAAGTATTCATTTAAATTATAAAAAACATTATCAAAAAGCCAGGCTTTGAGTTTAATTTTAAACATATGCTTATCCTGACATTTAATGTTTAAGGGAAGATGATTAAATACTTTAATACCCATTACAATTGCACTCCTTCCATATGTATAACTATTTATTGTTGGTAGACAAATATCATATTTGTATTTATTACGTAAATTATTTCGAATATCAGATTTATTAACAAAATATGTCATATTATTATTAACAAAAACACACAATTCCATAATATATATGTTAGTCAGGCTGAGATATTTTTCATTTTTAAATATATTTCTTAAAGTCTCATCTGAATACATATTATAAATAATACGTAGACATTTCTTTTGAAGTAGAAAAGTCGATGCAACATCTACAGAATTTCCCCAATATATAATTCCGTATGTTAGTAAAGGGTACACATTACCAAAATAAGCGGACCGAGCAACAGTAGGCGAAGAGTTTTCCACGAGTATAGAAAGAGCATAACAATAACTTGATATCTTTTTATTTACTTTATCTATATGCGATTTCCAGTTTAGATGACAATCTATGGTAACACCTAAAAAGTTATGTTCGTTAACTTCCTCGACTGTTGTATTTGAATGATGGATTTTCAATTTTAAAGAATTATTTTTATAGTTGCGAAATTGAATAAATTTTGTTTTCTTAAAATTTATTTTCAGGTTAATAGTTCTGAGCCACTTAACTATTGTTTGTAATGTTTCATTTATTTCATTTTCAAACACGTCATTATCACTGCTATTATCTGTTATAAAAATGGTCGTATCATCTGCAAACATCACACAGAGATGTTTTGTGATTTTAGGTAAGTCGTTTACACTTACCAGAAAAAGAAGTGGACCCAGAACACTTCCTTGAGGGACTCCTACAATTGTTTCTGCTTGAGTAGATTTAATTTCCTCAACAGTATTATTGTTTTTATTATATTTGTCAATAACTGTGTATTGTTTTCTATTCGTTAAATATGATTCAACAAGTTTTAATGCTATACCACGCACACCCATGTTTTCTAATTGTATTAAAAGAATGTTATGTTTTATACAATCAAATGCCTTTGACATATCCAAAAATAAACCAACACCTGCAGTTTTAGTTTTCAATGCATCCCATACGTCTTTTAGTATTCTAAATATTGCCGAACTTGTTGATTTTTTCTTTTGAAATCCAAATTGATTACTATCAAGTATGTCATTAATTTCGAAGAATTTAATTAGTCTTAAGTAAATTACTTTCTCAAATATTTTAGAAAACGACGGTGGTAAGGCTATTGGTCTATAATCATTTATATTTGATCGCGTACCCTAAGCATAAGGGGATCGCGCATAAGGGGGGGAAGGGATTATTAGTAATGGGATCTAACTGATCCATTGCCAGCATTACACCCTATCAGGTCGACCTCCACGTGGTTCCCCCTGGAAACCATCGTGGTTAATTCTAGTGAAATTCGTCACAATGGGCTGACTAGCCTGCTTTCATCATCACCTATTATCGCTCACTGGTGCCCCGCCAGCGTATACCGATAGTGCAGACTGGATTACCATTCAAATAACACCCATTAATAGGGGGGAAAGGGATTGTTAGTAATGGAGACTGATAATCCCATTGCTAGCAATATACCCAACCAGGTCGACCTCGCGGTTCCCTTCTGGAAACTATCATGGTTAATTCCCGATGGGAATCATCATGATGGGCTAACTGGCCTGTTTTCATTCTCATCTAATACCCTTCACTGGTGCCCCGCCAGCGTATCCCGTTAGCGCAGGTGGGGTTACCATACCATTTTCACCCATCAAAAAAAACCCCATTAAAAGACCTCATGAGGGGAAATGGATTTTTTTAATTGACGATAATAGAATCGTAATCCAAGCCTGCGCTCACGGTATACGCTGGCGGTTACAAAAGGGACGCTGCTGTCAATCCCTCGATTATTAAGTTCCCGTAATCCCCTTTTACAACACCCACGGGAAGGAACACCCACGGGGTGACCCATTCTATACCGAAACCGCACGACTATTTTTTAAATAATCAGTCATGTTAAAATATGTCAAGTAATTGTGATATTTGCCGTGTGGTTCCAGCATAGAAAGGGCCACCCCTTCCTTTCCCATGGGTGTCATAAGAGACGACTAAGGGAAGACGAGGAATGGGCAGTAGCATCCTCTTAAAACATCACCAAAGCCTAACTGCGGTTGCCAACATGCCTGACAAGCGTGGCAACTATAGCAAAACTCCCCTTATACTGAAGTCTCATGTCCAGCAGTGGGCAGCTAACGGGTGAATTAATAATAATAAAATTGCGACATTGTCAGGCTTCGCCAAGCTAAAGTTATGAACACCAAAATGGCGGCTATGACGTCACAATATGGCGGAAAGTCTTGACCTGTTTTGTCTGTTTGCAGACGTCACAGCAGCTCGGCGATATGCAAGTACGGAACGTCTACACAGGAGTGCTCGTGCCTCTTCAGCAAAGTGTTCCGGCTACCCTGCAGACATATCCTAATGCTCACCACTGAACTGAAGGTATTTATTCGTTAAACCTCCAATGTACTATGCCTTACTAATGACATTTGTTTAATTTTGTATTTTTGGACAACTATTATTGGTCTTTTTTTTTGATGGGTGAAAATGATATGGTAACCCCGCCTGCGCTAACGGGATACGCTGGCGGAGCACCAGTGAAGGGTGATAGATGAGAATGAAAACAGGCCAGTTAGCCCATCGTGATGAATTCATCAGGAATTAACCATGATCGTTTCCAGGGGAACCGCGAGGACGTCGACCTGGTTAGGTATATTGCTAGCAATGGGATTCTCAGTCTCCATTACTAACAATCCCTTTCCCCCCCCCAACTATTATTGGTTATTGTTAACCGTTCGTAAAATAACAAATTGAAATTAATCGTCCGGCAACAGTTATTAGTGGTAGGTAAATAATGAACACAAGAGGATAATGAAGGTGGAGACCACTGACCTGGAGCTTTGTAGTTAGCAGGATTCGGTTCTGGCTTTAGGCTTCCCAGTACTTCTGGCTCGTTCGAACTTACCCTCAGATCCGGGTTACCTATCCACCGCCTTGAACCGACCAGCAGTGCAATGCCCTCCTCTCAATCAGCCTCTCGGTTATGTGTTATATAATTAAAGCGATACGAAACGATATATATTAATTGGTACGTAATTCGCGGCAATATATGCACGCGCGCGTTAATAATCGAAAACGAGAACGACGGCAACGAACGCGCGTTCTACCGACATATTCGATAACCATAGACAAGACTTTTTTTTTCTTTTTTACGATATTGTTGCCAGGCGAAATTTATTAAAGCTACTATTCTTGTTATAACAATTATTTTTTGTTACTTCATACCGTTTCTGTTTTATTGTAAAGCTGTTTTATGATATCTTCTTGTTATGTATAAAAAATATTCAAGACAATTTAGTATTGTTGCGAATAAATTGAATTGAATTGGAACGTCTGGTAGTCTTTTTTTTTAAAGTTTCTTTTTTTTTATACAACTTAGAATGGCAAACAAGCTGACGGCCCACCTGATGGAAAGTGGTAACCGTCGCCTATAGACATGAGCAGTACCGTGGACATAACAGAGTATACAGTCTTATTAGGTTTTTGACTCGCTACTTCGTATGTGTATATTTCAGAAGTAGGAAAACCAGAGATAGAACACTTATCAAGTAGTACCAGAGGGAGACTTTGTACAAAAGTCGATTGCTTGTGTACCTCTGTCCCATTCGTGTTTCAACCGTGAAGCAGTTGTGTTTGCATGGCTGTGTTTCGGTTTGAAGGGTGGGATACGGCAGTGAATTTACAGGGTACAGAGGTACAACATCTGAGTCCTCAGGAATGGCAATGCGTGAGGGGTATCATGGGCGAAACAGTATACTCTGTTATGGCCATGGTACTGCTCATGTCTATAGGCGACGGTTACCACTTTCCATCAGGTGGGCCGTCAACTTGTTCGCCATTCCAAGTTGTATATAAAAAAAAAAATCTTATGTTTGTGGTCGCCAGGTGAAGACCCACATTCCGTTCGAGCCGCGGTGGACGGTGCAGCACTGTCTATTCGGCTGCGACTCCAGCACCACTGCCGCGCCCACCACCACGCCTGCAGCCACCCCCGCCGGTAAGACCGAGTTGAGGACTTAGAAATACCTTTACATCCCTTCAGGGATATTGTTCATTAAGAAAATCTGATAATTTGATGAGAAAAATAGATTATACCTTGGCTTGTTTGTTTTAATGGACGACTAACTGATGCCCGCGACTTTGTCCGCGTGTTACTTTCTTTTTTTTAATGGGTGAAAATAGAATGGTAACCTAGCCCGCGCTATCGGTATACACCGACGAGGCACCAGTGGAATATGATAGGTGGGAATGAATGCAGGTTAGTTGGCCAACCATGATGAATTTAACAAGAATTAAACATGATGGTTTCCAGGGGGAACCGAGTGGAGGTCAACCTGAGAGGGTATATTGCTAGTAATGGGGCTATTAGACCCCATTACTAGCAATCCCTTTCCCCCCGTCCGCGTGTTACTTGTTATTCCTGTTTAGTACATATCGATGTATGTGCCCACCTATTTATTATGTTCGGGGGAACACTGGACCAAAATTAACAAACGACGTATCGTTCTCTCTCTTTGTCTTAGGTCGAAATGACTTTACTTAAGTAGGTCCTGTACTTAGCTGTATAAGTTACTGTAGTTTTTTAACTATCCCACGGGAACTCTTTAATTTTCCGTGATTAAAAGTATCTGTGATTAAATGTTGACCGGGAATGTAAGATGTGGTACCTTACATCCCCGGTCATACATGCAAAATTTCATTTAAATCGGTCCAAAAGTTCCGGAGATTAAACCGTAAAAATTGACAAACAGAAACAAAACATTTGAAATAAAAATCTGGATATAGAAAATAGGCCATCCCTTTACTGTGGGTTCGGTGTCGACTGAGAGTAGGCTAAGGATGGGCAGCAGCGTCCCGCTTAAAACATCACCAAAACCTAACTGCGGCTGCCAATCCGCCTGCCAAGTGTGGCATCTACTGGCAAAATCTCCCAAGAGGTAGGCCTATGTTCATCAGTGGACAGTTAAAGGCAGTTATGATGATAATTATGAATGCTTACAGGAAGCGGTGGCGGCAGCGGGTTCATGGAGCAGGTGGTGGTGGAGACCACCGACGGTCACCGGCAGACGATACAGCAGCCGCAACAAATTCACCAGGTAACAATGTTTCCTAGCCTTCCATGCTTCAAAAGGAACATCGGATCCCTTATGGAATCACTTTGTTATCCAATGAGGTTCCTTCAGGGTCGGCAACGCGCGCGTAATACCTCTGGTATTGCAGGTGTTCATAGGCTACGGTAACCGCTTACCATCAGGTGGCCGTATGCTTGTTTGCTACCTCAGTGGTATAAAAACAAATCTGTTAAGGCCCTTTTTGTCAACGTATAGAGGCAAATGTCAAGCTTAAGTTAAGCTAAAATGCGATTTTATTATTATATATAATATTATTTTCCAGAGGGAGACTACAAGTCATTTGCTTGGGTACCTCTGTCCCATTCGTGTTTCTACCGTGAAGCAGTTGTGTTTGCATGGCTGTGTTTCGGTTTGAAGGGTGGGATATAATGTGAATTTACAGGGTACAGAGGAATGACACCTGAGTCCTCAGGAATGGCAACGCTTGGGGGGTATCATGGGCGAAACAGTATACTCTGTTATGTCCACGGTACTGTTCATGTTTATAGTGGACTGTTACCACTTTCTTTCAAGTGGGCCGTCAGCTTGTTTGCCATTCTAAGTTGTATACCGTTACAACTGACGGAGTTATGGGGTAACAGACATAAAAAAAAAACAACCGAATTGAGAAATAATTAAAAAGTGATGAAGTCGGATACGTCTATTTTTTTTTACAACACAGGGGGCAAACGAGCATGCGTCTCACCTGATGGTAAGTGACTACCGTCGCCCATGATCACCCACAACACTAAAGGCATTGCAGGTGTGCTGCCGGCATTTTAAAAAGGAATATGCTCTTTTCTTGAAGCTTATAATGTCATATCGGTTCGGAAATAGTGCTGCTGGAAGTTGATAATAATAAAACAAATGGTAATTCCAGGTAAGCGGCGTCCGACCACAGCAGTATGTGCTGGCGGCGCCGGGCCAGCCAGCCACGCCGGTCTCGCAGGTACCGTATGCTACATTCCTCTAATCAGATCTGGTTCTATCCTTAAGAGCGTCCATAACGAAGTCTAACGGCAAATATCTGTCAATTATAAAACACCATGTGGTCCCGACATAGATTGGACCACTACTTCCTTTCTCGTGGATATCGTGAGAGGCGACTGAGGGGGAGCGAGAGATGGACTGCAACATCAAAACATCTCCAAAGCCTAACTGCGGTTGCCTATCCGTCTGCCAAGCGTGACAACTACTGGCCAACCAATGCAATAGGGATTACCATTCCATTATCATCCATTAAAAACATGTTTTCAGGTGATATTCTGCGGCGGCAGCGTGGGATCAGTTGGATCTGTAGGATCGGTAGGATCAGTGGGGTCGGTGTCGTCGGTGGGCGGCGCGCCCGTCATCACGTCGGTGCTGCCCCCTGGCGGCGCAGTACTCACCCCACACCACGCCCTGCATCAGTAGCAAACGGCAACCAACAATAATTAATATCCACTCGTACGTACAGTAACCGATCAACAGTAAGCGGTAAACGTATATGAGAATTCACAATAAGTAACTCAGGGTCACCAGTGTCTGGTAGCTACTGATGAACTGTTTGAGATCAACAGTAACTTTTATACTAAGATTCAATTAAACAATAACATAAAAGGCAACCAGTAACAGACATAAATAGCTAATTATTCATATATAAGAACTTACAATCAGAATATACAGGATGGAAGGGACAGGTTGGCCAAAGCGAGCACAGCTGATTCAGATGAACGGTCTGAATCAGATGATCACAGCCATATAATTAACGATTCTTAGTTTTGACGCCGAGCAATGTATTTGAAATTTTACGATACACACGACGCGTGATACCAACACTGCGCAATCAATGGCGCTTCTTCGTAGGTAGTTTTTGTAGGCCTGGGGCGTTAACTTTACACAGCTGATTCCGCGCGTCGCGATAGATTTTTAATACAAATATTTACATTGCAGTTTTTGGCGTTTCATACTATTACATTATAAGATTTTATTTCTTTATATTATGACATAATGTAATATAAAGAAGATAACATAATTTTAAATTAAAAAAAACTGGAAAAAGAATTGAAATTTTCCAAAAAGAATTTCCACCGGCTGTCAGTTCAAAATGATGGTCTGAATCCACTGTTTTAGTTTTTGCCAACCTGTCCCTTACACCCTTTATATACTCGTTAATATTTACAGACTAATATGAAAGAGTTATCTAATTAGAAATGGGATGATCGCCAAAGAAAAAATATATATATTAAAGACTACACCTGAGTCGTCAGGAATGGCAACGCATGGGGACACCGTGAACGTTATAAAATTGCTAACATATTCATACAAAGTAATGGATACTAAATTTATTTAAATTCTAATGTAATATTTTTCCTTGTTTTTTTTTTTTAATGTTTTTATTACAAAATATTATGTATAATTTTTGTGATTCCAGAGAGATATATTTTTATTTATTACATAAATTATTAAAATACTCCTCTAGTATGCAATTTACATTTGGAACTTCTATACAACCGGTAAACCGTTACACATCCGGCTCGAAGGACCACATATTAAATGGTCCTTCGAGCCTATGTCAAACAACGAACTATATTTCAATAGAACTTAATGAGAAAATTGAAGTTTTGTTTAAAATTATCACAGAAACACTCTCTCTATGAAATTGGTAATGAATTGAATTTATCAATCAATGAGTTTGTTTTTTTTTTTTAATTTAATCGACTATTAAATATCAGCTCGATTGTTTGTTTATATTTTAAATTCTAATAAAATGGATTATAACTTCATGTAAACAATATACGAAAAGCGTATCTGATTTTGTACATATTTATAGAGAAGAAAAATGTAATATTTACTGCACTCCTGGTAAAATATCTAATTTAATTAATAAATATATCAATATTGTTTTTAATGAATCGTCCACCTAATAATTTAAATAAATAAATGATTTTTTTTTTTTGTAAAGGTAACTAGGACTTACACAATTTTTGTAAATTATTAATTTGTACTAAATCCGAACCATTAACTCTTCTTCGCATAATGGTGGAAATTTCCATCACCACACTGAATGCCCAAAAATTATATAAAAGACCAAGTTCACTTTAAGTTGATCGTGTCTGGATACCTTTTTAATGTCCATTGCAGAAAAAAAAAAACATAGCTGTCAAATTTATTTTTTTAACCATTTTTCCTTTAATTTTGAACATGAATTATATCACCTTGATTTATTTCACCGATAAATATATATATATATATATATATATATATATATATATATATATGTAATTTTTTTCACCGCATATTAAAATTTCTGTTTAGCCAAAGGTTGACTAGGAGAGAATGCTATATAGTATTAAGTCCGCCTTTTGTACCAGACATTTTTTTGTAATGTGGTCAAAGAATAAATAAATAAAAAAAAAATCATGCAGAGAAGGGTTAAATTAAATTATTAATATGTTAAAGTAAATATTTATGTTTGTTAGCCCGCATGTAAATCATACTACAATGATTCACATACTGGCAGTGTGGACTGTCTACAAAAACCCTAAAAATAGTGTTAGAGCTGGCCCGGACAAAGTAGTGTACCGCTTTCTCAATAGTAACATAAAAAATTTAAGATTTGTTTCTATAAAATTTAAACCAACTTTAATCGTGATCAAACCAATTGTTTTTGTTTACAAAACTAAACTACTGATCCGTTTTTGGAAAAGTTTCTGTGCGTCGAACCTGGTAATATAGCCTTTCAGATAAAAAAAAAAAAAACAAACCCCTTTGTAAATGACGAAGGTATGAAGTAAAAATTAAAAAAAAAAAAACCAATTCCATACATACATACATACATACATACATACATAGAAGTAAATACATAGTAATTACCTGATAAATTTACAATTTTGTGTTTTTTTTTCTATTTTTTTTTTTGTAGGCTCATACAATATACTTAATTCTAACTAAATATACTCATTTAAAACTAATTCGACTTCAAAAGGTATTATTTATTAGAACTTGGTCAAACTCTCGTCAAATCCACCAGATAAATTTACCAGAGGGAGACTTTGCACAATAGTCGATTGCTTGGGTACCTCTGTCCCATTCGTGTTTCAACCGTGAAGCAGTTGTGTTTGCATGGCTGTGTTTCGGTTTGAAGGGTGGGATATGGCGTGAATTTACTGGGTACAGAGGAATAACACCCGAGTCCTCAGGAATGGCAACGCATGGGGAGTATCATGGGCGAAACAGTATACTCTGTTATGCCCATGCTACTGCTCATGTCTATAGGCGACGGTTATCACTTTCCATCAGGTGGGCCGTCAGCTTGTTTGCCATTCTAAGTTGTAGAAAAAAAACCGCTTCGAGCATATATTGTGAAAAGTAACATCCTATTATCTGTCTCGCTCTAACAGATAGGTTAATGTATTCTCTCTCTCTCTCTTTTTTACATTACCAATACTATATACTTATTGTTACTACTTATTATTTATTGTCTTTTCTCTAAGATCTGTTATTAAGACATGATACTGCTTAAGAAAAACAGATTTATAATATTTGTATAAAAAAAAAACAGATTAGATATTTTGCTAAGAGCACTTACTGTATATTTATAATTTATTCCAATAAAACTTAATAAAAATGTAACCTAAATATTTTTTTTAAATGGATGATAATGGAATGGCAACCCCACCCACGCTATCGGTATACACCGGCGGGGCACCAGTGAAGGATGATAGGTGAGGATGAAGCAGGCCAGTTAGCCCATCGTGACGAATTCAACGAGAATTGTTCACGATGTTTTCCAGGGGGAACCACGTGGAGGTCGACGTAATAAGGTATATTGCTAGCAATGGGGCTGTCAAACTCCATTGCTAACAATCCTTTCCCCCTAACTCAAATATTGGCAAATTTATCACAGAGGCACGATGGATAAATTTAAATTTAACATCGGATCGATTCGTCATTTTTTTTATTTGTACTACTATCTGAGATCAGCGGATTGTCTTTAGGTATGTGGAATGTGGATACCGATGCGATATCTATATATTGGGTGCCTCTGGACTTTGATGGCGGCAAAAAGGTCATCAGCCATTTCGATATCGCCCATACCGGTCGGATATCTGTTATCGAATATGTTAAAAGTCTGTTATCCAATATATTCGTATATATATATATTATGACAGACTTAATATTTTGTTATTGCACCAATACATAGATATTGTAACTAAAATATTGCAATATATTTTACCAAAAGGAGACTGTACAAAAGTCGTTTGCTCGGGCACCTCTGTCCCATTCGTGTTTCTACCGTGAAGCAGTTGTATTTACATGTGTGACATTGAATTTACAGGCTACAGCGGAATAACATCTGACTTCTCAGGAATGGCAACGCATGGGGAGTATCATGGGCGAAACAGTATACTCTGTTATGTCCATGGTACTGCTCATGTCTATAGGGGACGGTTACCACTTTACATCAGGTGGGCCGTCAGCTTGTTTGCCATTCTAAGTTGTATAAAAATCTATATATATATACATATATATATTTACAATATATAAATATGCATTTTAATGTCTGTAAACTGGTTATTCATACAAAGAGAATAATTTTAACCTCTTTTCACTATAAATGTTTGTATCTATCCAAATTTCCATTACTCGATTGTTTATTACATTATTGATTTTGTTAAAATAGTATCATTAAGTAACGATTCTGAGGTAATGTTCTCTCATATCCACTTTATAAAGCGATCGATGTAGGCTATTAGATGTAAGTTTTGTAAATATTTTAGTCGTATTTAATAAATTTTGTTAGTAAACTGATTATATAAAAAAAGTGTGTTTTATTTTATTTTTTATAATAATAATAATAATAAACTCTTTATTGCGCACAGTAGCGATATATACAAGGAGTATTTATACAGAATGTGCATATACAAAAGGCGGCCTTATCGCTAAAAGCAATCTCTTACCATATTCTGAGAGGTTGAGAGCGGCCATACTTGAGATTTTTTTTTCGTTCAACTTATACCAAACTAAGAACAAGGAATTACATAGAAAATGTTTGATATGTCAATTATTTGTCAATGACAAATTTTACATTACTAGATTATATATTGGACAGTTTATGTAGAAAGTATGCAAGCAGGTTGTATCTGAATTTGGTAGGGTTATACGACCATATAACATATTCTATACACTAGCCTGTTATGAATTGACAAAAATAGCAACTGATAGTGTATCTTTCGTCCTCTTTTTACTAATTATATTTGCATAAAAATAAAGGAGGCAACCATATGATTCACAGTTTTTATTTTATCATTCCTTCTATGTAATTCCTTGTTCGTAAGATTATAAAAAAATTATAAAGACGGCAGCGAAGTATAGCCTTGACTGACGTTAGCTGATGATCGACAGGAAGTGTTCGGTTTCACGATAGGGTCGAACAATTAACAGGGCTGTTTAATCTACCTCAATATTGTTAGACTACGATCAACCTTTCCCGTGGGTATTGTAAGAGGCGACTAAGGGAGCTTATGGTGGAAGAATGGGCAGCAGTGTCCTTTTTAAAACATTACCAAAAGCCAAACTGCATTTTTTTTATACAACTTAGAATGGCAAACAAGCTGTTGGCCCACCTGATGGAAAGTGGTAACCGTCGCCTATAGACATGAGCAGTACCATGGACATAACAGAGTATACTGTTTCGCCCATGATACCCCCCATGTATTGCCATTCCTGAGGACTCAGGTGTTATTCTTCTGTACCGTGTAAATTCACGCCATATCCCATCCTTCAAACCGAAACACAGCCATGCAAACACAACTGCTTCACGAGATATTAAAAAGGATCGTTAAAAATTTCGGTATTTTGTTTAAAAAAAACCAATAATATTTTGGTTAATTTTTAACACTTCATCATGAGGTAAATATATGTTTTAAAAAAGAAACCAAACCATAAACAATGGGATCTCAATCATAATGAAACTCCAACTAATTTAGAAGAGTTTTTAAGAACGTAACGTTTTTATTCATCAAAAATTTTAATACATACATACATGCATAAATAAAAACATACAAAAAATATAATTAAATTACTATATTGTGGCACTGACGATACCTAAGAACAAGGAATTACATAGAAGGAATGATAAAATAAAAACTGTAAATCATATGGTTGTCTCCTTTCTTATGCAAATATAATTAGTATAAAGAAGACGCAAGATACACCATCAGTTGCTATTTTTCTCAATTCATAGCAGGCTAGCGTATAGAAAATGTACGGCCGTATAATCCTACCAAATACAGATACAACCTGCTTGCATACTTTCTACATAAACTGTGTCGAACATGTAAACTAATAAGTAATATAAAATTTGTCATGGACAAATAATGAACATATCAAATATTTTCTATACACTAGCCTGCTATGAATTGAGAAAAATAGCCACTGATGGTGTATCTTCCTTCCTATTTCTACTAATTATATTTGCATAAGAAGAAAGGAGGCAACCATATGATTTACAGTTTTTATTTTATCGTTCCTTCTATGTAATTCCTTGTTCTTAGGCCGATTCACTCAATACAAAAATAATTTTAAAAAATTATACTTTTAAAACACGTTCGGATACCTACATGTACTAAATCTAATTTACATACAATAGATTTATTAACCCTCTGACCAGGCATCCAGCGATATCCCCGTGCAGTATCTACTAGTTTAATTCAACGCATTCAGCGATTTCGACGTGCTCTAATTTTTTACGTTTATTGACGTTGTTATCCCGCGAATTTTGTTTTGCTAGATGGATATTGTTTCTCAGAATCTCGCTAGATGGCTAAATATTCGTACGGCTATTTGTTGTCAAAGCGATATTTTATTATTGTGAAAAAAAAAAAACGCGCTCAGAGGGTCAATGACACAGTTAAATGGAAAAAAAAAATCTATTTATTAAAATCAAAACCTTAAGTTATATTTTTGATATATTTTAAATTAAAACTTCTTTACGAATTAATTGTAAGTACCTATATCTATTTTTGGAAAAAAAATATAGTTTCACTAGAATCGAATTGACTACTCGATTGTATCGAAAATCCAATCGATATTTAGATGATTTTTGATTCGATTAATCGTAATAATGTAGAAAATAACAATTTATTATGAGCATTTCAGATGACTCGGCTATTTTCTGCATAACTAGCACCAATTGACTATTTATAGCAAAACGTTGCAGTGAAACAATGTACTTGTCTATGGATCCATACCATCAATATATTTCTCGCAAAATATGTAAAAGATTTTCAAAATAATTATTAAATTTAAATTTTAACCTCGATCTTATACCATAAGAATAAATAATCCGGTAGAATAGACTTCCGTGAATCAATAATGATGTCCAGGTCGGACGGATCACGTTCACGCCCAATTCGCGCCCTATCAGTCAGGGCTAGCAACTGCTAGCTATTTCTATCGTAATTTAGTATCGTAGTTGTCTAGTACGCATAATACAAAGTCTGTTTGCTGCTCGAACTAGATGGTGTTGTGATATATATCCAATGATTATTTATTTTATTTCCTCATTCTCCCATTCTCTTCTCCCATCAATCCTTCAGTCACCAGAGGGACAGTCACTTTGTACAAAAGTCGATTGCTTGGTACCTCTGTCCGATTTGTGTTTCTACCGTGAAGCAGTTATGCTTGCATGGCTGTGTTTCGGTTTGAAGAGTGCGATATGGCGTGAATTTACAGGGTACAGAGGAATAACACCTGAGTTCTCAGGAATGGCAACACATTGGGGGTATCATGGGCGAAACAGTATACTCTGTTATGTCCATGGTACTGCTCATGTCTATAGGCGACGGTTACCACTTTCCATCGGGTGGGCCGTCAGCTTGTTTGCCATTCTAAGTCGTATAAAAAAAACTTTCTTTCTTCAAAATTTTCCTAATTTTCCTCGATCCTTTCCTCCATACCGTGGGTGACCGTCAATAAATTCCCAAGGAGGATTGACGTCAGGCAGGCGGCCGGTCGTAAAACTATAAGCCGAAACCTTGACTAATATGGATAACAACCTATAACGCCTATTGGAGATATGTACTGTGATATTTTACCGTGTGGTCCCGGCATGGAATGGGCTACCCCTTCCCTTCCCGTGGATGTGGTAAAAGGCGACTAGGGGAACTTATTTCTCGCGAGATGGACAACAGCGTCTAATTAACAACAGCTAATTGCGATTGGCAACTCGGCTGCCAACCGTGGCAACTACTGGCAAAACCCCTAATTCAGAAGTAGACAGTTAATGATGACTAGGATAATGACAGGAAAATGATGTTGATTGTCAAATGAAACTAAATGAATGTCTCTTCCACTTAGTCTATTTATTCTTATGTAACTATATATTTATAGTTTATTTTAATAAAATTTAATGAAAATATATAAAAAAAAATTATACGATACGATACGACCATAAAACACTCTGTCGATGTCCTGTAGTAGTACAAATCCCAAATCGGATTTTATTTCATCTTTTGTAATTCGGGGGGAAAGGGATTGTTAGTAATAGAGACTGAGAATCCCATTGCTAGCAATATACCCAACCAGGTCGACCTCCTCTCGGTTCCCCCTGGAAACTATCATAGTTAATTCCTGACGAATTCATCATGATGGGCTAACTGGCCTGTTTTCATTCTCATCTATCACCCTTCACTGGTGCTCCGCCGGCGTATCCCGTTAGCGCAGGCGGGGTTACAATACCATTTTCACCCATCAAAAAAAAATCTAAAATCGACCAATTGATTGCACGTTTCAATTAGTCATGAATAATAATAGTGCGTAATATATAAATGCAAAACCTATATATTGTAGTTACAATATCTATACATATAAATCGCTTATCAATAAGGACGCCTTTTGTATTTTTCATTAATATTTTCTGTATTTTATTATTTCGTATTTGGTACAAAAAAAAAGTGTAGAAATAACGCCCAATAACAGATATATTAACTATCGCCATCCAATATATGATATCGAAAATAAGAACCCGTCCGTAATGAATATAGATATCCGACTGTTATGGGCGATATCGCAGTGGGTGGGCATCAATGTCTACAGAACTCGATATATAGATACCAGATATTACCCATGTCTAATGAGTAATATCAACATCACTTCGACATCTGTTGGGTTTCTCAGGGCAATGATAGCGGCAAAAAACAGTTACCCATTCCGATATCGCTTACACTAGTTGGATATTACCATTTATTACAATCTGGTACTTTATTGGAATATTATATATATATAGACAACTGATATTTAACATATCTTATGTGAATTGTTTCTACGCTACTATACGAAAGCGGTGCACGTCTCTGATGCGTAGGGTCCGGGACAGCTCTAACGCTATCCTTAGGGTATTTGTGGACCGTCCAGACTGCCAGTATTTGAATCGTTGCAGAATGATTCACATGCTGGCCAACATACAAAAAAAGTAGGTTAAGACAATGTTATTTATTATAAGTGTCAAAATTTGATTTAATAATTTATATCTGGTACAAACTAAGATTGTTAAAATTTTGTGGGCCCTGGTTGCCTTGATTGAAGAATTTATTTATTTATTTATATCTTTTATTAGGCTAGTATATAGATATTGTAACTGCAATATATAAATATTAATATACATTTATCCATCTCTAGTCTCGATTCGTTACCAATCAAATTTTATTAGTGTTTTTGTCACAATTTCAACAAAACTTGCAAAATTTTTCATTAAATTCTATTAAAGCAGACCTTAGCGTCGTAATACCTATAGAACCTACTAAAAAATGGCGCGAGACATAAATAAACTGATTAATAGAGTTACAATGGAAAATACAGTGCGTACAGCCAACCCTGGAGCTGGCAGAGGTGTGGCTGCGCCCGTGCACGACTCTAAATGTCTGAAAAGCTCAATGTAATTTCTAGCTGGCTCGTGGTTGGCTGTGGACGAGGGTTCCGTGATGCCAATGGTGGTGTCCTTGAAGAGGAGGTCGCTGGTTGAATCGAAGGGTGAATAGAGCCGTAGATTAATGAGCTGAGTGTTAGGATTGTATCCGAAGAATTTATCTAGAGTATCGAATAACGTGTTCACGCTGTTAGCCACTGGATCGTTCCTGGAAATTGTAAGAAGAAATAAATTTGAAAAAAATAAATAGAGGCAGATGTCGCGTAAAGAGTGAAGCAATAGGTGGCGACAGGGGGAAAGGGATTGTTAGTAATGGAGTCTAGCTCACTCATTGCCAGCAATACAGCCTATCAGGTCGACCTTCACGCGGTCCCCCAGGAAACCAGCGTGTTTAATTTTAGTGGAATTCGTCACGATGGGTTAAGTGACCTACTTTCATCCTCACCTATCATCCCTCACTGGTGCCCCGCCAGCGTATACCGATAGCGCGGGCGGGATTACCATTTCATTATCACCCATTAAAAAAAATCGCTCGGTAGGGATTAGTAGAAACAAGTTTCTATTCATTCCTACCAGTGGAAATTTATGGAATAAAATTCCATTCTTATATCTAGTGGGGAAACGTTTCGACAAGTTGGCACCAGAGGAAGACTTTGTACAAAAGTCGATTGCTTGGACACCTATGTCCCATTCGTGTTTCAACCGTGAAGCAGTTGTGTTTGCATAGCTGTGTTTCGGTTTGAAGGGTGGGATATGGCGTGAATTTACAGGGTACACAGGAATAACACCTGTATCCTCAGGAATGACAACGCATCGAGGTATCATGGACGAAACAGTATACTCTGTTATATCCATGGCACTGCTCATATCTATAAGCGACGGTTACCACTTTCCATCAGGTGGACCGTCAGCTTGTTTGCAATTGTAAGTTGTATAAAAAAAAGTGGAAGTGGCCACTTAATTCATGTATTAGACAAACTCACCTCCTGGTCAACACTTCAGCGTCAACTACGTACGCTAGCAGGCAACCGTCGTCGATGTTCACCCCAGTAGAGGCCGCTAACGTATTGTTGCGGCACAGGGCTCTATAATTGTTCGGGTTTAACTGCAGTGCACTCAATTGGGCTGAAATAAACAAAGACAAATAAATATAGTAATAATAATAAAGCATTTTTTATTTATTTATTTATTCATTAGTACATATATGTGTACATGGCGGGTTTAATACTAAAAGCGTTCTCTCCCAGTCAACCGTAGGGAAGTGTCAGAATACACGAATGCGGTACTACTAATTATTGATATACATATGTACTAAAATTACATATATAAACGAATAGATATATATATAAATAACAAATATACTTACACATATATGATATATACTATATTATACACGAAATTGAGAATAATATAACGCACTTACTGCTCGGATAAAGTAAAAAAGTGAGCGTGAACGTTTTTTTTTTTGAAAGGCATGTGTTATACCAAGTACTAAGAACAAGGAATTACATAGAAGGAATGATAAAATAAAAACTGTAAATCATATGGTTGCCTCCTTTCTTCTTATGCAAATATAATTAGTAAAAAGAGGACGAAAGATACACCATCAGTTGCCATTTTTCTCAATTCATAACAGGTTAGTGTATAGAAAATGTGTGTGTAAAATTTTTGTTTTTGTGAAAAGATTTGTCAATAACAAATTTTACATTACTAGATTATATATTCGACACAAATTATGTAGAAAGTATGCAAGCAGGTGGTATCTGAATTTGGTAGGGTTATACGGCCAATAAAACCAAATGCATATCTTGATGAATTTGACTTCTACGAACTAGTCAAAAGGCAGTTGCGTTTTTATATGTCTATCCCTAATGTATAAAATATAACGTTAAAAAGAAAAAATGTTGGGACACTTGATACGACACGACGAACTTATGAACATTATAATAGAAGGTAAGATAGAAGGAAGGAGGGGGAGAGGGAGACCGAGACATAGTTACATCAGGCAGATCAAGGAAGCAGTTGGTGTCGTGTCGTATCAAGAGGTGAAGAGACTCACTGAAAATCGTAGTGAGTGGCAAGAGCTCCACCGACAAGAGCGCAGCTCTTAAATAGGATAGATAGATAGATACGTTATCAGAGGGAGACTTTGTACAAAAGTCGTTTGCTTGGGTACCTCTGTTCCATTCGTGTTTCTACCGTGAAACAGCTGAGTTTGCATGGCTGTGTTTCTGTTTGAAAGGTGGGATATGGCATGAATTTACTGGATACAGAGGAATAACACCTGAGTCTTCAGGAATGGCAACGCATGGGGGGTATCATGGGCGAAATAGTATACTCTGTTATGTGCATGGTACTGCTCATGTCTATAGGCGACGGTTACCACTTTCCATCAGGTGAGCCGTCAGCTTGTTTGCCATTTTAAGTTGCATAAAAAAAAAAGTTATTAGGTTAGCAAATAGATATTGTAATAACACTAAATATATATTGCTATATATTGTTCCTTCTACATGACTATGGTAGTCATGTAGAAGGAACAATATATACCAACTTACCAGCAATATTCTCTGTCTCGACAAAGACCACGTCAGTGGCGGGGTCGGCAAGGCACAACAGTGAGCCATTGTTACCGAAATACAAGTTGGTGTTGTCCCACGCGCACGTGTCTGTAATTAAAAATAAAAAAAATTATCACCTACTTCAGTCGTAGCAAAATCAACTAATTTCATTTTAAAACTACGGAATCGATTTTCCAATCTGAATATTTATATCTTTTTAGATAAAAAAGAGATAGATAGATAGATACTGTTTATTGTTCCCTCCATAAGATTACAATAGTAAACTTATTATAGATACAAACAATGACAAGAAATGATCACAGTGAGAAAACAATGGGCGATCTTATCGCTAAAAGCGATCTCTTGCAGGCGACCTTTGGATAGATTAAAAATTAATAGTACATTACTGCAGCGGCCAGCAACTGAGGCACTGATGGACGAACGTTCAAATGTGGACCGAGGCGCAGCCGAGACACACATAAGTAAGTGGCCAAGGCTTGTATAGTACTTTTCTCTAACAATGCGCGGAAATCAAAAACACAATTTTACTTATTAAGTTCAATGACGAATAACGATCAATAATAATTTTTTACACGCCATAATGTTCGTTTGTTTTTTTTTTTCAATAAACGGCTTTCTATTTGCAAGCCAGTTCAAAATTTAAATAAAACCTTTTATTAGTTACCTCCTTCGTAGCCATGTTTCAAAGGAAAAGGTCATTCTATTTTTAAATTATAGGATGAGTTTATGAGTTTACATAGTAATTTATCTGGCCGCAAAACACGACAGATATGGATTTTCATACAACTTTTGCCGGCCGCTGCCCGCATGTATCTGGCCAGTACGGTAATTTTGATTTATCTCTAAGAAGATTGTCAAAATAATGCTCACATTTCCAAGCATGTTTGAGAAAATGTAATTATTATTAAAGATTTCTAAATTTGTTTACAAGATGAAAAAAAAAAGGATTGTTAGTATTAATGACGTTTAAAAATACCCATTGCTGGCAACAGTGGGAGGCGAAAGATCAACTGTTAAGCTGCAAATTAGGTATTAATAAACTCTTTAGTGAAATTTGAAAATAGATAATGAAAAATATTATTGCCTAGTAACCTTAACATTTGTCATGTGTCTTTATGAATTGACTCGTGTCTGAGGAACTGTCTTTACAAATTAAAATAACGTTTTAATACAACGTAGTACGATATAGCGGTTCGTGTATTTAGCGCGTTTTGTGTTTCTTATAAATGAATTGTCAAGTTACTCCGACTAGAACTGAATCTGTTGTGTTCGGAACAAGTGCTACTACTGCCTTCACGCTGGTCTACCCTTCCATGTGTATCTGTTAATACTTTTTGGTTTGTCCAAAATTTAAATGCGGTGTGACACCTATTGCGTGTGTTGCCTAGCAATTGTTGACCGTCGTTTATTACGAAAATAGAAAATTAGTAGGTGATTTAAATATTATTTTATTTAAACATCAAGTGATATTGTGTGTTCGTATTATATATATATATATATATATATATATATATATATATATATATATATATATATATATATATATATATATATATATATATATAATATAATTTCTGCTAATTCTTACTACCAATCTTTGAAGAGTTCTCTTACTGTTCAAGGAACAAGGTTCAGGGTATCTAAATACCTTTAAGTATATCTACTTCTAACAACGTGGGTATTCAGATGCAACTCTATCATCAAAGATAGAGAGCAGTATGGAAAAGATACGCAGATATCCGCGGTTTCTAATGTTCGATCATTTGAATCGGTACATTCGATCATTTACCAGAGGAAGACTTTGTACAAAAGTCGTTTGCTCAGGCACCTCTGTGCCATTCGTGTTTCAACCGTGAAGCAGTTGTGTTTGCATGGCTATGTTTCGGTTTGAAGGGTGGGATATGGCGTGAATTTACTGGGTACAGAGGAATAACACCTGAGTCCTCAGGAATGGCAACGCATGAAGGGTATCATGGACGAAACAGTATAGGTACTCTGTTACGTCCATCATACTGCTCATGTCTATAGGCGACGGTTACCACTTTCCATCAGGTGGGCCGTCAGCTTGTTTGCCATTCTAAGTTGTATAAAAAAAAATTTTGTGCTTTATGTATGTCCATTCTAGTATGTAATAAAGAATTAAATAAATCAATTAATAAAATAGATAATATAATACGTTAAATAAATTAAAAAAAAATGTAACTCACATTCAGATATGCTGGAATTGGCAGAGGAGGAGGACCTGCACGCTGAACATAGCGAGGAAGCGTTGAAACTCTGAAAGCAAGATAATCATACCACGTCAGCCGTTAACTGCCCACTACCAAATATAAACCTCCCCGTATTGCGTTTTGTCAGTAGTTGCCACGCTTGGCAGGTGGATTGGTAACTAGAGTTAGGCTTTAGTGATGCTTTAAGGGGGACGCTGCTATCTCTCACGGTATATCCCTTCAAATCATGATAATAATATCTGAAACTTATCAAAAGAAAGAATTAGATTTTGGATAAGTTTCGACTCCTTGTGATGGGGTTAAATTGCATTTCCATTCAAAATGTTTTTCGATTATAAAAACGATGTATTGAAGCGTGCAAATATTTAATAATACACTAATAACATTTTATTATATTATATATTATAATAATTATCAATTGCAATAAAACACATTAATGTATTATTGATGTCTTGGTCCTACGAGGATAAAGAGAAAACTTTAAAAAGCGCATTATAATTTGCAGGACGCACGCACTCGCAACACGCACACGCAGGTACACGCACGCACGCACGCACGTATACACAAATACAAATATGTACAAACACACGCACACGCACACACGCATACGCATATCCAAATACACAATTTTTTTTTTTTGATGGGTGTAAATGGTATGGTAACTCCGCCTGCGCTAACGGGATACGCTGGCGGAGCACCAGTGAAGGGTGATAGATGAGAATGAAAACAGGCCAGTTAGTTCATCATGATGAATTCATCAGGAATTAACCACCAAATACACAATTAACGTTATATATTTAAATTAATCCTGTTCGCCGCACCATAACTGTTAAATTTCTTGCTTTAACTTCCACGAGACAGGCCTTGCCTAGTGTGGGGTCATAGCTATGTTGTACCATAGGCTAATTTTGTTTAAGGAAATAATTATTACGGCCTGGCTTCGCACGGGTATATATATATATATATATATATATATATATATATATATATATATATATATATATATATATATATATATATATATTTCAATAATAATAAACAGCCTATTTTACTCGCTGATTATGTAGTTTTTTTTTTAAATGAAAACATTTTGAAAATCGGTTGAGTAGTTTGAATTTATCCCTTATAAAGGAACAAACAATCAAATATATTCTCTTTATTATATTACAATACCTGGGATACCAGATACCTGATGGTATCCCAGGGAAGGCAAACGGAAAAGAGGCAGACCCTGCATAAGATGGGATGATGACATCAGGGAAGTGGCTGGAAAAATGTGGGACAGAGTGGCTCAGGATAGGCGAGAGTGGAAACGGTTAGAGGAGGCCTTTGCCAAATGGCAAACAGATCTTCAAAAAATAAGCAAAAAACACAATTATTAGAATAAGTTATTTTAAGTTTTTTTTTTATTTTATTTTATGTTTGTTTTTAAGGTATTAAGTTGATCTGAATAAAGGCTATATTATTATTATTATTTATTTCGATTTTTTTTACTCAACGTATAGTTGGCTTTATTGCTACGAGTACGAACTGGCTGCCAAGTATCTCGTAGATTGTCCAAATAATTAATTTTGATTAGATGTTAAAAATCGCCGAACAATGGAACAGGTGTTTAGTATTATAGACTTCTGCAGTTCGATGTAAGTGTAGCACGGAAGGTCAAGTGTTCTAAGTGATAAGTGTAGCTGATTCGGGATTACTCCTGTAGTAGATAGGACTATTGGAACTATGTTTGCGAATTGCAAACGCCACATGCGGGTTATTTCGTCCTTTAGATCTGTATATTTTGCCAGTTTTTCAGCTATAGTGTTCTGTACATTGTGTGTATTTGGGACTGCAATATCGATAATATATGCTTTGCGATTAATTTTATCTATTATTATTATATGTTACAATACAATAGACAGTTTAGATATATTGATTCAAGCAGGCGAAGCCGCAGGACATGAGTAGTGAATAAATAAATGCACTCACGGAATCCTCGTAGACGGTGTGCGCGGCGTCGGTGGCGCCGGGTGCGCAAGCGCCGCTGAAGAACTCTCCCACCGCGCGCGCGTAGTCGCACTCGCTCGGACTCACCACCTGCCTCTCGTGCGCCGCACGCACGAACGACACGTACGCTGCCGGCGCAAACAGGGGGCTTACCATGAAACGTTCTCCGAAATTTCAGGATCGAACGAACCACAAATTTGATGTTAACATTATTTATTATTTATTTATTTAACTCTTCATTGCACCACAAACCAAAATATACAATGACAAGTGAATAATTCAAGTGAAATACAGTAACATAAATACAGATTGAAATATACACATAAAGGTACAAAAGGCGGTCTTATCGCAAGGGCGATCTCTTACAGGCAACCTTTGATTTATTACATAATTAACACCGTTTTAAAAATATAAAAAAATGTTAAAATATCGTTTGTTTGAAATCTTATAGTACGATTTATGACGAACGAAATGTTACGCTCCATTTACTAGGCTATTTCGATATAAACGAAAATACGAAATCGAGTCTAATAATTCGAAATTTCATTTTAAGGTAGACTTTCAGGTTATGGGCCCAGTGCAGTCAACGCGTTCACACAAGCACACGTATACGGGTTCGATTCTAAGGCGCTTTTTCTCTTAACCAATCTTCTATGCAAGATACAAATGAATATATCGAAAGAGTCGCTTCGGTCAGTGATTAAATGAGATAGAACAAGACAGCGCACGTCACACAGCAGCATCTCTTTCTATCTCTTACTACCATACTCAAAGCCGTCTAATGATTTTGAATTAAGAGGGTACAGAGAAATAACACCTTAGTCCTCGGGAATGGCAACGCATGGGGGGTATCATGGGCGAAACAGTATACTCTGTTACGTCCACGGTACTGCTCATGTCTATAGGCGACGGTTACCACTTTCCATCAGGTGGGCCGTCAGTTTGTTTGCCATTCTAAGTTGTATAAAAAAATTAAGGAACTCCTTAATACAGATTAAAAACAGTCGCTCTCAGAATCAATTAATGAATCATTAACGGTTGTAAACAGCAATTATTAATTTAGTTAACATGTCATTTAATAATATTAATATGTCACTTGTTTTTGTAAAACTATAGGCCAAATCTTTTTTTTTTTTATACCACTGAGGTGGCAAACAAGCATACGGCCCACCTGATGGTAAGCGGTTACCGTAGCCTATGAACGCCTGCAAAACCAGAGGTATTACGCGCGCGTTGCCGACCCTGAAGAAACCTCTTTACCCCCCTTTTGAAGAACCCCATGCTGTAGTCTCTTGGGAAAACCTCGGCAGGGAGCTCATTCCATAACCTGAGTGTACTTTTTGTAATAAGTGTAAAAACATATTACGCCGACCGATATTTTAAACAGACTTGTTTTATCGTAAACACAATACTTGTGTCTTAACAGGATGTCGCTTATCTTGTCTCACTCACCAATACCGCCAAACTCCGGGAAGCAGGCCACCTTGTCGCGTAAGTTCTCGAAACGCGTGATGTTCGCTTGCGCCGAGGTTTCCTTCACGAAGGCGGCCACTCTAGAGGCGGACGTGCGGGTGTTTTGTACCAACTTCACCGGGGAGAGACGGTAATGCCTGAATAAGGAAACCGTTAACAAACTCAAATCATGTTTAATCAATTAGACTTATTTACAAATACTTTTAAGTCGTTTTTTTATGAATTCATGGTTCGAAAAGCTGTTATCTGTTGAGAAGAATTCGTAAGAAATTTAACAGATACTCTTTTAAATCTCTGTTAACGTTATGTGTATTTATTTATGTGTAAAATTACATTTTCGTTTGAATCCCGTGTATGATCGACTAACACCATGCACGCTTGTCATTTAAGCAATCGTTTAGTGCGTAATAGGCTTTGTTCAATAAGTGTTTTTTAATACAAGTTTTAAATTTATCAAAAGGTAGATCCAAAATATCCTTCGGTATCTTATTACAACATTTAATTCCCGTTCCCATAAGAGACCTATTAACTTTTTCCAAACGATCCTTCGGAACAGTGATTTTGTATTTGTATCTAGTGTCAAGATTATAGAGATCGCTGTTTTTAGGATACAGTTGAAGATTCCTGCATACGCATATTTTTTCTTAAATCTATGCACCGCTATTTACTCTCTCTGTGTTGAGCGTAACGGTTGACTGGTAGAGAATGTCATCAGGCATTAAGTCCGCCCTGTAGACATATTTTAATGTGTGCAAAAGTATAAATAAATAAATAAAAATATACAAAATGTTTGCGTATAGGTATATTTATATATTTATTTATGTACACTTTATTGCACCATTTATAAAATAGTAAACACATTTAACCGTAATAAGAAATGATACAAAAGGCGGCCTTATCGCTAAGCAATCTCTTCCAGACATCCTTTGGGTAGAGGACATTGAGAAAAGAAAGAAAATGGTATTATGAAGCTACTGTGAGAGGATTTGCTTCTCTAAATTTTTCTCTTAGTCTTTCATAAACTTTTTGTTTTATATCTCAATGTATTTTACCAGAAAATACCAGAGGTTCTAGAATCTGATGCATATTGGGAACTTACTGTCTCGCAAGGAAACCATAGTGAGAGTCCACTGAGGAGAAGTCAGCTTTTCCCTCCTTGATATCATTAAGGCAGTCGAAGACGCCGTTCCTCCTCTCGCAGCTGATTGTGGGCTGGATGCCGAGGGTGTACGCTGCTGCTGCTGTCCACTGACACTTGGTGGTCTCTAATGCGGAGATGGTGCACCAGCGGCGAGGAGTCAGACACGCGGCCGATGTGGCAATATCCAATGGACGAACTATAAAGATTTTTTAATAGTTTTGATACATACTCGTGTGAATGCCACTGCTATTGAGCCAACTGTGGAGGTTGGAGAAGAAAGGGATTGCCAATGATGAGATCTACTCACCTCATTATATCCTATCAGATTTATTTTCACGCAGTTCCTAACGGGAACCAACTTAGTTAAAATTTTTAAAGAATTTGTCACGGTGGACCAACAGACCTCTTTCTATACTATATATATATACTGTCCACCATGTGTCGCCCATGGTACTCCTCATGCGTTGCCTAAGAACTAAATTTATACCTCTGTACTCTGTAATTTCACTGCCATATATACCCATGCCATATATAAACGGAAACACAGCCATGTGCCAACTGTTTCACGGCAGAAACATGAGTGGTACAGAGGTATATATATATATATATATATATATATATATATATATATATATATATATATATATATATATATATATATATATATATATATATATATATACCTCTCATGATGTGAGAAATCCGGTTGAAATGAATATATAGGTATACAACTAGTCTGGACGATATCGGAATGATGATGGCGGAAGGTGATGACCTTCTATCTGTCATCAGTGTCCACAGAAACCCAATATACAGATATCGGAATGGTAATGATATTACTTTTTTTTATGCAACTTAGAATGGCAAACAAACTGATGGCCCACCTGATGGAAAGTAGTACCCGTCGCCCATAGACATGAGCAATACGATGGACACAACAGAGTATACTGTTTTGCCCATAATACCCCCCATGCATTGCCATTCCTGAGGAGTCGGATGTTATTCCTCTGTACCCTGTAAATTCACTGCCATATCCCACCCTTCAAACCAAAACACAGCCATGCAAACACAACTGCTTCACGGTAGAAACACGAATGGAACAAAGGTGGCCAAGCAAACGACTTTTGTACAAAGACTCCCTCTGGTAAAACTATAGCCAATATTGAACGAAAGCGGCATACAAGATGTTACCACCAGAGGGCGCCGTAATAGTAGTCATTAAACTTACTTTGAGAAGAATAGTTCAACGGCGTGGTCAAACTTTCCCCCACCACTCTGAAGTTGGAGCCACCCACCAGACTCTGGTAGAGCGCTGACTGCCAGCTACCGCTGCCTGGGTCAGTGCCGTCCGTCCACCATATGTTCAGTTTCGAATTGATTTCTGATGCGGTTAAACTGAAATTAATTGTTTACAAGCAATGTTTTTTGCGCCGTGTGGTCCCAGCATAGAATGGGCGAGTCCTTCCTTTCTCATGAGTTTCGTAAAAGTAAGGTGACCAACTATTTTTTGTTCAAAAAGAATACACTTTGAAAGTATTTCATAGGTTAAAAGAAAGAAAAAAAAAACGATAAAAACTTTATTTTCTTTTAAAAACCTATTTCTCTTCGAAGTGGATTTTTTTTGCTAAATGAGGATGTTCGTCTAATAATGTAGCCAGATTCGAACAACTTTAATTTTGCATATTTTGTTGACTGTTAAGATGGCAGATAATGTTTTTACAGAAAGTTGCGACTTCCCACTGCTCCAATACTCATTCACCAGTGAAAATGCCCTTTCATCAGCAGCATTAGTGCCTGGTGGACAACATAAGGAAATTTCTATTAAAACTTTTAAATTTTCACGTGGGATATGCTCTACTGAATTTCTAATGAACTAAAAATCACTGTCAAAAGAATTTTAAATATTTAATTAATAAAAGTGAAATAAAATATTCTAAAAAAAATTTTTACAAATTATTGAATGTTGGTCTTATTCAATTTATGTTAGCTGAACTTAAACCAGAAATTTTTGAACATCTCTGTAAATTATTGATGCCAATTAATTCTTCTCTTTCCGCGTCTAGGGAAAGTAGATAAAGTTTTGTTTGAGAAAACAGTTCAGGGTACGATAGGACTGATATACCTGAAGAAGGTCAAAGCCCTTAAAATAATATTAAAAAAAAAGAATAAGTATAAAATTATACAAATGAGTACTTTCAGAGTACAGGATTTGAAAAGAGTACGGTTTGCGAAAAAAAAGTACAAAACCCAGTATATGAGTATAGTTGGTCACATTAGGAAGAGACAACTTCAATTCCTTTCGACTTAAAAAAGAAGAGGTTTCTCAATTCGGTTGTATCTTTTAATATTTCTCACCTCACAACCCCATCAGTTGTAAACTGATCTGGAAAATTCCTTTTTTACCTGAAAGGAAGTACTTACAGATTGTTCTCACAGAAATTTTATTAAAATCGGTCAACAGTTTTGTTTCAATATCAAAAGAACTGGTTTTGCCAGAACTGAAGTTGGTTTTCTTACTCCACCTGCGCTAGTGATTTACGTTGGTAGGGACTAATAGTTTCCAGGGTGCGATACATCCTCGCGTGGTACCTAGCAGGATGCATTGCAGTAAAGCCACTATTTCCCATTATTAAAAAAAACTCTCTACTACTTCGGTTGTCTAGGAGGAAAAGTTCTTACTTTGTAGAATATTGTGGGGATCGCCCCACAAATCTACAAAGTAAGAACTTAGACAACCCAAATAGAGTCTAAAGATCTCTCTGCCAAAACCTTATTTACCTTAGAACTTAGACAACCATACTTGGGGTTTTTTATGCAATTTAGAATAAGAAACAAGCTAACGGCCCACCTGATGGAAAGTGGTAACCGCCGCCTATAGATGTGAACAGTACCATGGACATAACAGAGTATACTGTTTCGCCCATGATACCCCCGATGTTCCTTTTGAGGCATGGAAGGCTAGGAAACATTGTTACTATATATAATATATAGGGTATAATAGATGCGCCTATTATACCCCCATGCGTTGCAATTCCTGAGGACTCAGGTGTTATTCCTCTGTACCCTATAAATTCACTGTCATATCCCTTCAAACCCTTCAAACTGAAACACAGCCATGCAAACATAACTGCTTCACGGTAGTAACACGAATGAACCAGAGGTGCTCAAGCAAACGACATTTGTACAAAGTCTCCCTCTAATATGTCTAAGTTCTAAGATAACTAAGGTTTTGGAAGGGAGATCTTTAATAATGCTAACAACCTAGCTGTGGGGTTTTTTGGAGCTCAGGCATTATACCCCATCTGGTCGAGCGCCTTGCAATTCCCTATAGACACCATCGTGGTTGCTTCCCGGTGAATTCATCACGATAGGCCAACTGATCTGACTTCATCCCTACCTATCATCCTATACCTTCACTGGTGTTCCGCCAACGTATACTAATAACGCTGGCATTCATTTCGATGCCATGCTATCGCTATTTTTCATTTTCATTTCGAAAAGTACATACCTTGAAGCGACAATAGCCCTCCAGGGTTGACGAACAGTAGCACAAGGTGACACAACCTGGCCTAGAACGTCTATGGAGAGGGGCTGCAAGCTTCCATTTGGACACAGCAGAGAATACGCGTCCACGTGTTGAGGATTCCTTTTCTGAAAGAATGAGGATAGATTTAAACAAGTATACGCCCATTCGCTGACCTGGACAACATTTTTCAACGCCCACCGCCATCTACCCTTACTGTTCCGTGGGTGTAATAAGAGGCGTCTAAGAGAATTTAATGTTTAGGGAATGGGCAGCAACGTCCCTCTTAAAATATCATCAAAGCCATGGCATTCATGGCCCATCCGGCCCCTCCGTAAACATTTCTATGACTATAACCATTGTGGTGCTTTAATAGAAACGGAAAACAGAAGTACCCAACTGAACGTTTTTTCCATCATCGGAGATTCAGAAATTTAAAAGCCAAATAAATCCTCATATTTTTAGCACGAAACTACAGGATACAAAGACTCATCTTAGTACTCACGAATGGCAACATATTAGGAGTATCGTGGGCTATACAGTATACTCTATTATATATATGGTACTCTTCATATCTATAGGCAACAGTAACCACTTTCCAACGGGTGAACCATCAGTTTCTTGGGCGTTCTAAGTTGCATTAGAAAAACAGCTTTTTTTTCATGAAAGTAACTTACAAGGAAGAATTCCTGGACATGCTGCCAGGCGGCGAAGGCGACGGTGCCGTTCGTCACCAAACAGTCCAGGGCCTGGATGTGCCTGTTATTGTTGTTCACACCAGCCACGTTTACAACTGATGCTGTGCTGTAACCGGTGCATCTGCCATCTTCACACATGGAGCATAGAGACGAGTAGCGGCTCTCTGTAGACAATAAATCAATCATTACCTTTTTTATAATAGCCGTCCTGAGGGAACACAGACATAATAGTGAAACCAATTCCCAGATAGCAAGGGGACGAGATAGGAGTTTACCAGAGGAAGACTTTGTACAAAAGTCATTTGCTCGAGCACCTCTGTCCCGTTCGTTTTTCTACTGTGAAGCAGGTATGTTTGCATGGCTTTGTTTCGGTTTGAAGGGTGGGATGTCCGTAAATTTACAGAGTACAGAGGAATAACACCTTAGTCCTCAGGAATGGCAACGCATAAGGGGTACCATGGGCGAAACAGTGTACTCTGTTATGTTCATAGTACTGCTCATGTCTATAGGCGATGGTTACCACTTTCTATCAGGTGGGCCGTCAGCATGTTTGCCATTGTAAGTTGCATAAAAAAAAATTAAAAAGGAGTATATCAGATGAACCTGGGCCTTCGCTGTATTTTGAGAAATCAGACTTGGAACATCTAGGGGTATCATCCAGAATACCCAAATTCAAGCCAATTTTGAAAAGTTCGTTTTCTGAATTGGCTCGGGCCAATTCAGGAAACGAACTTTTCAAAATCAGAGAATCGAATCCGGGACCTCATTATGCAAAGTAATAAGAGTCCCCTGCCCTACAAAGGTTTTTAAGAATAATTTGTTTTACAATTTAGAATGGCATACAAGCTGAGAAATGTTTTCAAAAATTTTGATACTCACTAAGATCAGCGTCAACTGTGGTGTTGTAGCTCCAAGGGCCGGGCCTGCAGGCTGCACTGAAGAACTTGCTCAGCTCCTCCACCTCCAACTCTTCAGCAGTCTTAAAATCGGTGGTCGCGCCGGGGCAACGGTCGCTACGGGCTGCCTGCGTCGTAAAAGATGTCCATTATAGAAATATTATGAAAATATGTATTATTCATTGAAACATTTCAAAGTGGGAGAGTTTTGTATTTGCACATTCTACATTATGCCGGGGTTAGTGCTCTTAGCAAAGGAGCTATCGCTTTACTAGACGCCCGTTCGAAATTACCAATCATTCATCATCATCATCATTATATCGGCCGTCTACTGTCCACTGCTGAACATAGACCTCTCCCTATTGAGGGGTTTTACCAGTAATTGCCATGCTTTGGTGGTGTTTTAAAAGGGACGCTATTGCCCATCCCTCGACCAATAAACTCCCTTAGTTGCACTTATTCTCAAGTATTAGCCACCTCTCGATTAGCCAAAGGGTGGGCAGTAACGTCCCTGTTAAAACATTACCAAAGCCTAACTGTGATTGCCTTACTGTGATTGCCAAACTGCCCGTCAAGCGTGGCAACTACTGGCAAAACCTCTCAAGGGGAAGACCTATGTTCAGCAGTGGACAGTTAACAGTTGATGATGATGATGATGATCAAATTGAAATATTATGAGACAGACTTCAAGAATGATACCTCGGAATCGGTGTCATAATCTAAACAAACAACTGATAGGAGATTATTAAATAGGTTAATTCGAAATCTATCTGTTAATTTAAGAATAAAGATAGGTAGAATTCGACCACTTTTATAATGATATTTAGAAAAACTGCGATTAAAAAATCGAAGACCCAAAAGTGCAAGTTTTGATTATCGAATCGAGATCGGAAACCCTAATTTGTATGTAAAATCACAATGAGAAGAGAAACTTACGCTAAGCTCAAGAGCCTTCAGCACTCTTGGCGACCACCTGAGATCCGGCGAGTCGAGGCCGGGGTGACAGTATCTGCCACCTCTGAGACCTTCCAGGCCTCCAGAGTGATTGTTGGGCACAACTGTGACAGCTTCGAACGCGTACTGAACATCTGGTATTACAATTATAACAAATATTATATTACAAGCTTTTACCATTGGCGTATTACAAAGAGTGGGAGGGGGGAGAATGTGCCCGCCCCAGGACAGGACAGAAGTAACTGTTATACTGTTAAATTCGTGGTCAGCCTGACGTCACAACATTGTTTAATAAAAGTTCGCTTTCTAAAATATATATTAAATTCCCAAAGGCATTTATAAAAATTGGCTGTGTGGTCCTGGCATAGAATAGGCCACCCCTTCCATTCCCGTGGGTGTCGTGAGAGCCGACTAAGGGAGCGCGAGGGATGAGCAGCAGCGTCCCTCTAAAGCCTGACTGCGGTTGCCAACCCGCCTGCCAAGCGTGGCGACTACAGGCAAAACCCTCCAAGGGGAGACTTATGTTCAGCAGTGGACGGTTAAAGGCTGATATGATAAGAACAGTCCCTTCCAAGACCTAATTTATATATACCTTGTTTCTCTGTGCTCCTGATGGTAGCCACCACCTGAACATCAGGTAGCTGCATCTGTCCCAGCACTAAAAGTTCCTCTTCGGAGAACGCTCCAAAATTCGCCTCGCCACGGGCCAATTTGATGGCACAGTCTAATCTGAAAGATAATATATTTTACAGTTTAATATATGGTACCTACTAAAAACAAGAAAAGAAATGCCTCCCTCTACAGGGTGGTCCAATATTGAGAAGATGAAAGCACGGAATCCAGCTCCTATAACAACCTAGGGCAGAACGCCTTACCGCCTATGTATAGAGGGGATAAGGGATTGTCAGTAATGGGAATTAGTAGCCCCATTGTTAGCAATACACCACGTTAGGTCGACCTCCTAGCGGTTCCCCCTGGAAACTATCGTGCCTAGTTCCAAGTTAATTCATCATGATGGGCTAACTGCCCTACCTTTTCATTCTTTCTCACAGGTAACCCTGCCTGCGCGAGGAGGAGAGATTGTTAGTAATATAGACTATCAGTCCATTGCTTGCCATATACCCTATCAGGTCGACCTCCACGTGGTCCCCCCTGGAAACCATTGTGTTAAATTCCAGTCTGTTAGTCCAGCTCAGTTAGCCCAACGTGGTGTATTCATCACGATGGACTAACTGACCTGCCTTTTCATTCTCATCTATCAACCCTCATCGGTACCCCACCAGCGTATACCGTTAGCGCAGGCGAGGTTACTATTCCATTATCATCCATTAAAAAAAAACCCTGTCTGTGCTATCAATATACACAGGTGGAGGACAAGTTTTCAATAAAATATATAAATATATAAAAAAATTAAGAAAATATACCTGGTTTCCACTCCCACACATTCAACTTCGCTGCCATCTTTGTCCAAGTTCTGACAAGTCGACGTATCTGACCGGAGCACGCATACTTTATCTGTAATTAAAAAAAATAGTCATTAGCGTACGAATCGACCAGTAAATTAATCAATTAAACACTGCGCAATACGCGCGCATTCAACGAAACACTTTGAAATACGCGCACATTCAATGAAACGCTGTTAAACACGCCCGCATTCCATGCAACGCTGTGAAATACGCCCGCATTCCATGCAACACTGTGAAATACGCCCGCATTCCATGCAACGCTGTGGTATACGCACGCATTCCATGCAACGCTGTGGAATACGCCCGCATGCTATGCAACGCTGTGGAATACGCCCGCATTCCATGCAACGCTGTAGAATACATATGCATTCCATGAAACGCTGTCAGTATTTATAATACAATATATATATGGGGGGTATTATAGGCATTGTTTTAATCAATGGAGTACAAAACTACATCACTACAGTATGAGACAAATGTAAGAGGAGCTTAAACTATCTAAAACTAACGTAGATTATAGATAGATAGATAGATAGATCATCATCAGCATCATATTATCTCTTTATGATCCACTGCTAAATACAGGCCTCCCACTTGGGGGGATTTGCCAGTAGTTGGCACCCACAGTTCGTCTTTAGAGATGTTTTAAGAGGGACGCTACTGCCCATCCCTCTCGTTCATCCATCATTATACAAATATACTACAATATGGTACGCATGGGGGGTATCATGGGCGAAACAGTATACTCTGTTATGTGCATGGTCCATCATCCATCCCTCGCCCTCCCTTGGTCGCCTCTTTTTTTTTTTGATTGGTGAAAATGGTATGGTAACCCCGCCTGCGCTAACGGGATACGCCGGCGCAGCACCAGTGAAGGGTGGTAGATGAGAATGAAAACAGGCCAGTTAGCCCATCATGATGAATTCATCAGGAATTAACCATGATAGTTTCCAGGGAGAACCGCGAGGAGGTCGACCTGGTTGGGTATATTGCTAGCAATAGGCTTCTCAGTCTCCATTACTAACAATCCCTTCCCCCCCCCCCCCCTTGGTCGCCTCTTACAACCTCTGACGGGACCACATGACCATAGTTCGATATTGTTCTTTGAGGGGACAGAAATTATTAGTAATGAAATCTAACAGATCCATTACTAGCAATATACCCTAACAGGTCGACCTCCACGCGACTCCCCCTGGAAACTAACGTGGTTAATTTTGGATGAATTCATCATGGTAGGCCAACTGACCTGCTTCATCTTCACCTATCATCCCTCACTGGTAGCCCGCCAGTTTATACCGATAGCGCCGACGGGGTTAGCATTCCATTTTCATCCAATAAAAAAAAAGATATTGTTCTTTAAAATTGATATATATTTATATAGCACTTTATTGCACTAACAGGAATTATTGAAGGATATACCGAAATAAAATAGTATGTAATAACCGTTTTCCTTATAAAGATCATAAAAAAATGATTCAGAATCAGTTGTCATATGACTTCATATCTATATATGTACGTTTAAATGATAATATTATATTTATCCACTTTAATATAATACCTATCTACTGATAAGGCGGCCCGTACTAAGTCAAACCAGCCAAAATATAACTCAACATATTTACAGATAGGTAATTCCAACTTTAAATGTTACGGCGAAAACGATAGCATTAAAAAGAAAATAGTCTTTAAAAAAAATTTGTTCGAATTTCAAATACTGTAGCGGAAACGGTATATTCCTTTAAAATAAAAGTCTAAATTCCAAATACTATAACAGAACCGGTGGATCTCTTTTAAAAAAAAATAGTTCCAATTTCAAATACTACGGCGGAAATGGTGGATCCTTTTAAAAATAATTCCAATTTCTAATATTACGAAACAACGGTGGATTTTTTTTATTAAAAAAAAAAAAATAGTTCAAATTTCATATACTACGGAGAAAAGGATAGATCTTTTTTTTTTAAAAAAAAAAAAAAGAATGGCGCGCTTTTGCTTAAAGCGTAAAGTTACATTGATATTTTTAAACTGTTTTTGAACGTTCTCATAACTTCTAATGTGAGTAATATACAGCAATATCTATATATTTTAGTTATTTTTTTTTATGGGTGAAAATGGTATGGTAACCCCGCCTGCGCTAACGGGATACGCTGGCGGAGCACCAGTGAAGGGTGATAGATGAGAATGAAAACAGGCCAGTTAGCCCATCATGATGAATTCATCAGGAATTAACCGTGATAGTTTCCAGGGGGAACCGCGAGGAGGTCGACCTGGTTGGGTATATTGCTAGCAATGGGAATCTCAGTCTCCATTACTAACAATCCCTTCCCCCTATATATTTTAGTTACAATAACTACATACTGGTGCAATAACGAATATGTTAAAATAATGTTATTTAAAAAATATTGGATGAAACTGACTTAGCATATTTCAAAATAGATATACGTGTCGTACGTATGGGTGATATCGAAATGGGTGATGACCATTTTCCCGCCATCAATGTCCAGAGAAACCCAATATATAGCGGGGGGAAAAGGGATTGTTAGTAATTGAAACTGAGAATCCCATTGTTAGCAATATACCCAACCAGGTCGACCTCCTCGTGGTTCCCCCTGGAAACTATCATGGTTAATTCCTGATGAATTCATCACGATGGGCTAACTGGCCTGTTTTCATTCTCATCTATCACCTTTCACTGGTGCTCCGCCAGCGTATCCCGTTAGCGCAGGCGGGGTTACCATACCATTTTCACCCATCAACAACCCAATATATAGCTATCGGATCGGTATCCATATCATCCATGCTTAATAACTACAGCTTAGTCAAGTGTGGCAACGTCGCAGTTTTCTGTCATTTTTTTAAATCAATTTAACAAATTTCAAAGTTTCTAATTGTTTGTAAAATTCTCTTCGGGCGAACTTAAATGTTAATCTATCTATACTTATAATAAATCTGTAGAGAGGTCAATTCTGTACACGAAATATATTTACAAAATAACTATCAGCGGGTGATTAATGATCGATATTGATGTCAAAAATGCAATCAGTAAAATTTTTGTCTGTCTGTCTGTATGTTCGTTATAGAAACAAAAACTACTCGACGGATTTTAACGAAACTTAGTACAATTATTCTTTATACTCCTGGCCAGGTTACAGTATACTTTTCATCACGCTACGATCAATAGGGGCAGAGCAGTGAAGGGAAATGTCGGGAAAATGGGAGAAGTTACTCCATTTTTAACCTTCCGTCGCGTGTACAGCCTTAATGGCCACTTTTTAAAATGTAAAAATGTCCACCCGTGCGACGCCGGGACGGGCCGCTAGTTATTCAATAAATTTCTTATTAAACTATCTCTAAAAACTAAGAGTTTAATGACATAAATACTTTCCGAAACAAAATATGAAGTAAATGCAAAGTTTTTTTTTTTATTTATACTTTTCGCACACATTAAAATATGTCTACAGGGCGGACTTAAAGCCTGATGGCATTCCCTACCAGTCAACCGTTACGCTCAACAGAGAAAGGAAATGGCGGTGCATAGATTTAAAAAAAAATTGTTATTAGTTTACATTTGTATTGCAACGAATTCTATTATTTACCTTTCAGTATGCTAGCGAAGCACTTTTAAAATAATTGGCAACAAATGAAACTAGGCGTGTAGGCCTTAGATTATATAGATGGAGCATCGAGCCTCAAAAACGGGTCAATTATTGTCAGCTAATTGTCAAATTGTCAAATTGGATGAAAATAGCATGACAACCCCGCCAGCGCTAACGGAATACGCTGGCGGAGCACCAGTGAAGGGTGATCGATGAGAATGAAAACAGGCCAGTTAGCCCATCACGATGAATTCATCTGGAATTAATCATGATAGTTTCCAGGGGGAACCGCGAGGAGGTCGACCTGGTTGGGTATGTTGCTGGCAATGGGATTCTCAGTCTCCATTACTAACAATCCCTTTCCTCCCTGGTAAGCGGGTTAGCAAGTAGCAACCCCGTTAGGTTAGTAATGTTTTAGAGAAACGATGCTTTTTTTAATGGGTGATGAAGATATGGTAATCCCGCCCGTGCTATCGGTATACACTGGCGGGGCACCATTAAGAGAGGACAGATGAGGATGAAAGCAGGTCAGTTAACCCATTTTGAAAAACTCAGCTTGAATTAACCACGATCGTTTCCAGGGAGAACTATGTGAAGATCGACCTGCCAGTGTATATTGCTAGGGGCCGGCGAGAAAAAGTGTATCTTTTCAAATATATTATTAGTACTTTTCTCAAACAATGCGCGGAAATCAAAAACACAATTTTACTTTTTAAGTTCAATGAAGAATACAATAATAATTTTTCACGCGCCGTAATGTTCCTTTGTTTTTGTTTTTTCAATAAACAGCTTTCTATTTGTAAGCCAATTCGAAATTTAAATAAAACCTTTTAGTAGTTACCTCCTTGGTAGCCATGTTTCGAAGTAAAAGGTTATTCCATTTTTAAATTACAGGACAGATATAAGTTTACATAGTAATTTATCTGGCCGCAAAACACGACAGATATGGATTTTCATACAACTTTTGCCGGCCGCTGCCCGCATGTATCTGGCCAGTACGGCAATTTTGGATTATCTCTAAGAAGATTGTCAAAATAATGCTCACCTTTCCAAGCATGTTTGAGAAAAAAGAATTTTCCAAATCGGTTACCAACTGACGTGAGGTAAAAAATAAAAAAAATATAACCGAATTGAGAACCTCCGCTTTCTTTGAAGTCGGTTAAGAAATATATAGATAAGTACGCAAGCCTCTATTTATAGCCACAGGAAATGCCTTAGGTCTTATCTATGGCAGACATTTTATTTGCTAGTTTTTGAAGTGTGATAAAAAAAATAATAATAAAAAACAAATTTAGGCGCGAAAGTAATTGAGCCAGCAAACGAATGATCCGCGAAAATGTAAGAAAAATTATGAAGTCCCACTGTTTTACCAAATTGTGTAAGAAAATATATTTGGACAGTGATGGAAAAACCGCAAACAGATTTATTTTTCGTTATTTTATGTTTGTAGCATGTATTTCTATTGACGTTCTAAATAAATGGAAAATAAAATTTAAACTGTAATCGAAATTTGAACAGTGGCACGGGATTTTTTTATACATCCTAGAATGGCAAACAAGCTGACGGCCCAACTGATGGAAAGTGGTAACCGTCGCCTATAGACATGAACAGTACCATGGACATAACAGAGTATACTGTTTCGCCCATGATATCCTCCATGCGTTGCCATTCTTGAGGACTCAGGTGTTATTCCTCTGTACCCTGTAAATTCACGCCATATCTCACCCTTCAAACCGAAACACAGCCATGCAAACACAACTGCTTCACGGTAGAAACACGAATGGGACAAAGGTGGCCAAGCAAACGACTTTTGTACAAAGTCTCCCTCTGGTCTGGACTTATTTGTAAAGCTAAAAATAAATAATATTTTGCTATTGATTGTATTCCTTTATTTCAAATCGTCCAATCAATTCAATTGGGGGAAAGGGATTGTTAGTAATGGGATCTAACTGACCCATTGCCAGCAGTGCCCCGCCAGCGTATACCGATAGCGCAGATAGGTTTACCATTCCATTATCACCCATTAAAAAAATTAATTCAATTACAGTTTTTATTCTACGAGAAAAGAACATATTTTTAATAATATTTCTTTCATAGCAACACTGCGTATCTGGGTATTTGTATTTACAATTATCTACTAAAGATTATCAGCTTTATATTTTAAAGTTGGGTAAATTAAATATGGCACCCACAATAGTAAATGGGTGTCACCTTTTAATGAATCATCGGGTTACAATGATAAGGCTTATCTTACTTACCTATTTTAACAGGTCGCCCTTGTCAATGATTTTTTTTTAATAAAATATATTACAAATATTTAGTTCCTCAAACGAAGGTTAGAAGTATATTTTTTTTTTATATCGAAGTTTTAATTTGAAGATACTAGATGGCGTTGTTAATCGCTACAAGTCGCTAGTAAAGTTTTCTTTTGTTTCAATGGCCTGCCCTAAGAGAATTTATTAAATTTTTCCATACATTCCTACCAAAGTGTTTGTATTCATTCAACATCATGGGTAGTAAATTTTTCACTCATGTTACCTAGTTGTTCAATTAGGGGAAAGGAATTGTTAGTAATGGAGTCTAGGAGCCCTATTGGCAGCAATGTACCCCAACCAGGTCAACCTCCCCATGGTCTCCCCTGTAAACTATCCAGCTGAATTCCAAGTATCATCACGATGATCTAACTGACCTACTTTTTACATACTCGCCTATCATCCCTCACTGGTGTCCCGCCAACGTATACCGATAGCGCAGGCGGGGTTACCATACCATTAGCAAGCATAAAAAAAAGTAGCATCATATCCAGAGAGACTACCATTTTCCAAAATTTCGAAGCCGAACGAGACACAAATTTGACGTTAAAATTATATAATAAATATCGGTTAAAAATTTTTAAAAATTTTAAAATATCGTTCCTTTTGACCTTTATAGAAGAATATTTGACGAACGAAATGTTACTGTACTGATTTCGGTATGCATATACAATTTGCAAAATCATTTTATAGTAAACTGCCGAGGTTTCATTTTTGATACATACATATGCTTATCTGTACTTATAATAAATCTGTAGAGAGGTCAATTCTGTACATGAAATATATTTCCAAAATAACTATCAGGCGGTGATTAGTGATCGATACTGATGCCAAAAATGCAATCAGTAAAATTTTTGTCTGTCTGTCTGTCTGTATGTTTGTTATAGAAACAAAAACTACTCGACGGATTTTAACGAAACTTGGTACAATAATTCTTTATACTCCTGGGCAGGTTATAGTATACTATTCATCACGCTACGATCAATAGGAGCAGAGCAGTGAAGAGAAATGTGTCTGTTACATCAAACCACTGAACCGTGAGCAAGGACATAGGATACTTATTTTACCAAAAACGACGGAAACGCGGACGAAGTCGCGGGCAACAGCTAGTAGACAATAAGAGTATACTATAACCTGCCCAGGAGTATGAAGAATAATTGTACCAAGTTTCGTTAAAATCCGTCGAGTAGTTTTTGTTTCTATAACGAACATACAGACAGACAGACAAAAATTTTACTGATTGCATTTTTGGCATCAGTATCGATCACTAATCATACCCTGATAGTTATTTTGGAAATATATTTCGTGTACAGAATTGACCTCTCTACAGATTTATTATAAGTATAGATAGATTTTGTCAGCTAATTGTCAAATTAGCTGACTCGTTTCTTTTTATCAGTGTTCTATATACTTACGCATACAATGTACCTTGACGTATTGTTTAATAAATAAAATGAGTGTTTACATATTAAAAACATGTAAAAATTATAAAACAAAATAAATATAGAAGTTATAAAGGTAACACAACACTCATAAATATTTATAACGCAAAATTGTATGAAAAAGTTGTATTATATTGTATGACACGCCTTTCTCGACGCATTTGTATGGAGACATTCTATCTATATAGGGAGGTAAAGGGATTGTTAGTAATGGAGACTGGGAATCCCATTGCTAGCAATATACCCAACTAGGTCGACCTCCTCGCGGTTCCAGCTTGAAACTATCATGGTTAATTCCTGATGAACTCATCACGATGGGCTAACTGGCCTGTTTTCATTCTCACCTATCACCCTTCACTGTTGCTCCGCCGGCGTATTCCGTTAGCGCAGGCGGGGTTACCATACCATTTTCACCCATCAAAAAAAAAAAAAAAAAAAAACTCTATCTATATAATCTCCATTATTGTATCCGATAAACACTTAATTATTATTATTATTAACAATATTTCATTATTACATAACAATAGAGATATTTTCTAATACGCTAAATAACTTACACTGTGCATTTACGTAGGTAACCACCAGTAAACTCAAAAATAACTCTTTATAAGCCATGTTGCACAAAGTTCACTATGAGAGGGTTATTAAAAAAAATAATCCTTCGAACCGCTGCCACGCCCGGTGGTTTTCGGATCGATTTATTTATTAAATTCGACCGCGTATCCAATAAAGTCCACGCAAACTGTACCTAGTTCATACCTGAACTGATAAAAGTTTATCTTATCAATGAATTCAGTGTAAAGGGAGTGATATAAGTATGTAACGAACATTCGATAAGGATTGTCGTGGTGTTCCGCTGAGCAATATATTACGTACCTGTACGTAAACCTACATCTACGCTAATATTACAAAGAGGAAAGCTTTGTATTTTTGTGTGTACGCATGTTTGTAATGAATAAACAAAAAAAACTACTTTGACGATTTCAAAAATTCTTTCACCATTAGAGAGCTACATTCACTATGAGTGACATAGGCTATATTTATTGCTAAAAAAGATTAGCGATCCTTACTGAAACTTTAGTAACGTAATTCAAAAGTGTAGAAACAATGCTATAAAATATCTTCGGTCGCGTGCGCTGCGGAAACTGTTGGTGATAGAACAAAAGTGTGTTCTACAATATTGAAGAAAATGTCAATAACTATAAAAAACTTAGCGATACTATACGTCCAACTATTAACGTTATGTCACAATAATCACATTTTAAAATGTTGTAAAAATGTCCACCCGTGCGAAGCGGGGACGGGCCGCTAGTGGTTTTATAAAATGAGTAAGATTTCCTTAAAATATGATTCAATGGACATTTACTTATGAGTTATTTGATAAACATATTGTTAAAGACTGGGTATGAGTAATGTGGAAACCGATCCGATATCTATATATTGGGTTTCTCTGGACATTGTTGGCGGGAAAAAGGTTGTCACCCATTTCGATATCGCCCATATCGGTCGGATATCTATTTTTTTTTTATAAAACTTAGAATGGCAAACAAGCTGACGGTCCACCTGTTGGATAGTGGTAACCGTCGCCTATAGGGGGGAAAGGGATTGTTAGTAATGGAGACTAAAAATCTTATTGCTAGCAATATACCTAACCAGGTCAACCTCCACGCGGTTCCCCCTGGAAACTATCATGGTTAATTCCTGATGAATTCATCATGATAGGCTAACTGGCCTGTTTTCATTCTCATCTATCACCCTTCACTGGTGCTTCGCCAGCGTATCCCGTTAGCGCAGGCGGGGTTACCATATCATTTTCATCCAACAAAAAAAAAAAAAAAAACCGTCGCCTATAGACATGAGCAGTGCCATGCACCTAACAGAGTATACTGTTTCGAAATTCCCATTCCTGAGGACTCAGGTGTTATTCCTCTGTGCCACATGCTTATGTCCATAGGCGACGGTTACCACTTTCCATCAGGTGGGCCGTCAGCTTGTTTGCCATTCTAAGTTTTATAAAAAAAAATTAAAAATATGTTTTAACGCCAGTGCACATGGGGCCTGATTAAGGGTTAAACAAGCGAGAGAAATTTTTAAAATTTCATCAAATTTGTTGTTTTTGAGTTTATCCATTCATCATCACCATCATCTCAGCCATTACCCGTCCACTGCTGGACATAAGCCTCCCCCATAGACTGCCATAAAGAACGGTCCTGAGCCACCTGCATCCACTGACTCCCTGCAATGCTTTTGAGGTCGTCACTCCATCTAGTGGATCGCCCTACACTGTGATTGCATACAGGGTCGCTACTCAAATACCTTTCTTCCCCATCGGTTGTCGGTTCTTCGAGCTATGTGACCAGCCCATTGCCACTTCAGCTTGCTAATCCTTTGGGCTTTTTGCTGTTTTTTTTTTTTTTGACAATTATCTCATTTCGGATTTTGTCACGCAAAGAAGCCCCTCTCCATAGCCCGCTGAGTAATTTTTTTTAAGAAACTTAGAATGGCAAACAAGCTGATGGCCCACCTGATGATAAATGGTAACCGTCGCCTATAGACATGAGCAGTACCATGGAAATAACAGAGTCTACTATTTCGCCCATGATACCCCCCATTCCTGAGGACTCATGTGTTATTCCTCTGTACCCTGTAAATGCACTGCTATATTGCACCCTTCAAACCGAAACACAGCCATGCAAACACAACTGCTTCACGGTAGAAACACGAACGGGACAGAGGTACCCAAGCAAACAACTTTTGTACAAAGTCTGGTTGAAATTTGAAGCTTTTATCCATTACTAACACGCAATTAAATCCTTCTTTTCATAATATTAATATAAACTTGTATAGAAATAAAGTTATGTATGGTTCAAGGTTAAAAATGTATGTATCATAGATTTATTATCAATGTTTAATTATAAATGCATTTGCATGTTGCAATATTAGATCGCGTGGTCAACGTTGTGTGGACAGTCCTGGCCTCTAACAGGCATTTACTTTTAAATATAAAATGTATATATTTTATTTATTTAACAAATAGAACTTTGCGGTTTATCTTTAGAACAATTAGACCTTTGAATAACTCGCAAACTATTTTGTCACTCCATACATCCCTAGTTAGAAGTTCACTTGAGTACTGTTCTGTTATTTGGTCTCCCTTCTATCAGAACCATATTGTCAGAATAGAAGCAATTCAAAAACGCTTTGTTACATTCTTGAGCACTAAGTTTGGTCTGAGAAGAATCTATCTATCTGTCTATTTATCTATCTATCTATTGATCAAGAACTCTGGTCAAGATGCTCACTGGAATTCTTCAAAATATAACTGGCTGCTAATAAAATCGCAAATGTAACTGGCCACTAATAAAAACGAATCTCATTATGTACTGTTAAAAAAAAAAAGAATTACCATTTGTTATTATTAAGAATATAATTTTCCCGCCCAATTATGTACGCGTATATATGGTTCCGTTGATTTTTAAGAAAATACATATTTTTTAACGTTCCTGTATGCAAATTTACTAGAGGGAGACTTTGTACAAAAGTCGATTGCTTGGATACTTCTATCCCATTCGTGTTTCAACCGTGAAGCACTTGTGTTTGCATGGCTGTGTTTCGGTTTGAAGGGTGGGATATGGCGTGAATTTACTGGGTACAGAGGAATAACACCTGAGTCCTCAGGAATGGCAACGCATGGGAGGTATCATGGGCGAAACAGTATACCCTGTTACGTCCACGGTACTGCTCATGTCTATAGGCGACGGTTACAACTTTCCATCAGGAGGGCCGTCAGCTTGTCTGCCATTCTAAGTTGTATAAAAAAAAAGAATACCGTCACATAAATCATTGATTGGTGAGAATTATCGTGTATAGTGTCTTAATAATGGGAGAAACTATCTCCATGTCCTGCAGCCGGCCATCTCCATCAGTCTGATTCCGGTGTGAGTACTATTTTAAATAGCACCTTGGATCGGATTACAAGTACTGACCTGGTATACCATTATTTTATGGGTATTTGTTGTTTTGTAATCAGGAGATCATCAGTACTATCATTTCAATAACCATTACCTGTCCACTAAACATAGGCCTCCCCCATAAACTGTTCTATGGAACACTCCTGCGCCACCTGCATCCACTGACCTCCAGCAATGTTTTCTAAGTCGTCACTCCATTGTGTGGGGTTCGTCCTACCTTCAGGAGAATACCGTTTGTGGTGAAACACGCTCATTGGAGTGGTTGTTTACACGCCGCCCCATTAAAGACTTTGTACTCGTTTGCATGGGTACCTTTGTCCCACTGTGAGCAGTAGTGCTCGCATGGCTAATACAGGTTGAAGGGATATGAGATATGGCAAGATACGGTGGCATATCACCATGGTATTATATTATCTGTGAACAGAAGTACCATGGTCGTAATAATCTGTGATGTATAGCAAAACAAACGCAAGGCAAACAAGCTGACGGCCCACCTGATGGAGAGTGATAACCGTCGCCTATAGACATAAGCAGTACCATAGACATAACAGAGTCTACTGCTTCGCCCATGATATCCCCATGCGTTGCCATTCCTGAGGACTAAGGTGTTATTTCTCTGTACCTTATAAATTCACTGTCATATCCCACCCTTCAAACCGAAACACAGCCATGCAAACACAACTGCTTCACGGTAGAAACACGAATGGGACAGAGGTGGCCAAGCAAACGACTTTTGTACAAAGTCTCCCTCTGGTGAAACTTCCCATCAGGCGGGCCGTCAACTTATTTGTCGTTCTAATATGAATAAAAATTCTAGGTTAGCTGTCATGTGGCAGAGGAATTGTTCAATAACTTATGATGCCCACAGCCACTTTCTACCATCGTACGGCTCGCCATCGATAGGGAGTTCATCCTCATATCCTACAGCCTCAATGGTCGCGTACTGCGTGGTTTCAGAGATGTTTCCTCCCACGAACACTCAGGTTGTGGAATGAGCTCCCTGCCGAGGTTTTCCCAAGAGACTACAGCATGGGGTTCTTCAAAAGGGGGGTAAAGAGGTTTCTTCAGGGTCGGCAACGCACGCGTAATGCCTCTGGTATTGCAGGCGTTCATAGGCTACGGTAACCACTTACCATCAGATGGGCCGTATGCTTGTTTGCCACCTCAGTGGTATAAAGAAAGAAAATTTCATAAGGAAGTCGTTAATATGTACTGAAATATAAACAATTGGAGAGAATAGTCATATATAAGCCAGTAGTTGCCACGCTTAACAAGCGTGATGGCAACCGCAGTTAGGCTTCGGTGATGTTTTAAGAGGGACGCTGCTGCCCATTCCTCTCCCATTAAGTCCATGGCATATTCTAGACTAGAAACATACAGCAACAAAAGTAACGGATCAATATTTTTATCATATAAAAAAATCATGAAATGTATGTATGGCGTTTGCTGTAATGATTGCTTAATGACGGCGTTGCGTGATCAATTTGCACGTAATCATTAAATAATTGTTGTCATTCATTTCATGAAAGGTGCAACGGTTAAAATACTTTCAAAATGGACGCTTTCGTTTAGACTTAAATCGGTTGTAAACGTCGCATATAAATGTACCACTAAATATTTTTGCACCTACTTCGTATTTTGCTTTGAAATTTTTTAAATACAATTCTGCCATAAAAATTTAAATTTTCAGTTCAAACCGAAACACAGCCACGCAAACAACTGCTTTATGGTTGAAACACGAATGGGACAGAGGTACCCAAGCAATCGACTTTTGTACAAAGTCTCCCTCTGGTGACATTTATTAAGTGATATTTTCAAACGACTTCAAAAACAACGATGTTCTCAAATCAGTTGTATTCTTTTACGTCTGTAACCTCAGGATACCGTTGTTTGTAAACCACTTTCGACTTGATCTGAAAAGACATACTTTTAAACTAATTCCGTAGAAATTTAATCAAAATTGATTCAATAGTTTAGTTTTAAAACCAAAATAACTGGGTTTTCCACGATCAAAATGGGTATTTTTTTTCGTAGAAAAAATCTTTTTTTTTTTATACAACTTAGAATGGCGAACAAGCTAACAGCCCACCTGATGGAAAGTGGTAACCGTCACCTATAGACATGAGCAGTACCATGGACTTTGTTGCTATTTTTTTTGCCCAATTCTTAAGGAAAATTATTTAGATTCCCTAATAAAATACACGTCATTTTCAGTTTTTTTTAATAGTTGGCAGTGGAGTGGTTACCCTCCCTGCGCTAACGGTAAACGCTGAGAGGACACCAGAGACAGATGATAGGTGAGAATGAAAAGACAGATCAATTAGCCCATCGTGATGAATACACCTGGAATTCATCAGGATGGTTTCCAGGGAGGACCATGTGGTGGTCGACCGGATAGGGTATACCGATAGTAAGCAGTAGTTCATATTACTAACAATCCCCCTCCTTCGTCATTTCCAGTTAGACAAAAACAACTTTACAATCGGATATGCAAATGTATTCATTGTACTCACAATATTCACTCGGGGAGACACGTCCCCGACCACGACCAAGACCAAAGAACAGATGGCCGGTGTCCGTCGCGAGGAGTTGTGTACGCTGCGGTAAGGAATTCTGCCTCTTCACTACCATACATGGGTTCAATCACATCGCCGTGCCAGGAAGACATTGGACCGAACGGTTAGCAATATTTTTATAAAGAACTAACTAAATACAGAAATAATTTTTCAAATCCTACTGGTAATTCCAGAGATTGGTGCGTTTAAACAAACAAACAAATAGTTTTCTATACAACTTAGAATGGCAAACAAGCTGACGGTCCACCTGATAGAAAGTGGTAACCGTCGCCTATAGACATGAACAGTACCGTGGACATAACAGAGTATACTGTTTCACCCATGATACCTCCCATGCGTTGGCATTCCTGAGGACTCAGGTGTTATTCCTCTGTACCCAGTAAATTCACGCCATATCCCACCCTTCAAACCAAAACACAGCCATGCACACAACTGCTTCACGGTTGAAACACGAATGGGACAGAGGTACCCAAGCAATCGACTTTTGTACAAAGTCTCCCTCTGGTGAAATAATACCACTTTATTATATTAGTATAGATTTATAACAGTCGCAACCCGCCTTTTATGCAATTTGTCATAAATGCAACTACTCATATACCTAAATCCCACATTCTCTCCCACAAAGTGACATCCTATTCCTTCCTCTAAACTCCTTTGAAAAACCTTTCAAAAATGTACTCAAAAATCAACAATCAATGTGCCAACAATAATTGCCCAGAGCAGTGACCTATAGGCATAAATTCTCCATTGAAAAGGACCAATATTGCTCAATCCCTATTGTGCGAAAAGCGGAGAATCGTACATGTTGGAAGGCATTGGTAAAGGCCTATATCCAGCAATTAATAGATACAGGTTGAAATAATGATGATAGCATACGTAAATCGTCATAATCGCAGCTCGTCATGTACGTAGTTTGTCATAATTGCAGCTCGTCATATATGTAGTTTGTCATAATTGCAGCTCGTCATATTCGTAGTTTGTCATAATTGCAGCTCGTCATGTACGTAATTTGTCATAATTGCAGCCCGTCATGTACGTAGTTTGTCATTATTGCAGCCCGTCATATATTTAGCTTGTCATAATTGCAGCCCGTCATATACGTAGGATGTTATAATTGCAGCTCGTCATATACGTAGTTTGTCCTAATTGCAGCTCGTCATATATGTGGCTTGTCATAATTGCAGCTCGTCGTCTACGTAGTTTGTCATAATTGCAACTCGTCATATACGTAGTTTGTCCTAATTGCAGCTCGTCATATACGTGGCTTGTCGTAATTGCAGCTCGTCATATACATAGTTTGTCATAATTGCAGCTCGTCATATATGTAGTTTGTCATAATTGCAGCTAATCATATACGTAGTTTGTCATAATTGCAGCTGATAATATATATTCAGTCAAAGATTGATCACTAATATGGTGGAAAGTTGTGGATTTTCTGTTAGTAACACTGGTGATCAATCTCCGAGTGTTGGCAGTCGTACACATATTAATGGTAGCGGAATTCAACCAAATAATTCTAATTAAATAACCAGATATACATAGTTTGTCATAATGACAGCCTGTACACTGTCAGGAAACAACAGGTAAGGATATAATGTACTCCATTCTCCAATTCTTCTAGAGTGCTGTGGGTGTGCTTAACTGTGGGTGCGATATGGGGCGCGATAGGAGTCTCATTGGGACAATGGCAACGGTACAACGAGAATCCGACCGTTGTGACCCTGGAAAAGGATTTCAGGACTTGGATGTTCAATATGCCCGCCATCACCGTATGTAGCAAGGTAAGGAAGTCTACAGGTATAGATTTGGGAGAAAGGGATTATTAGTATTGGGGATCTAACAGCTTCATTGCTAACAATATACCTTATCAGGTCGACCTCCACGCGGTTTCTCCTGGAAACCATCTTTATTATCTGTGAAGAACAATGACATGTGAAAATAATAAAATCGTATAGAAAATAATATATATATTTAAAAGCCCGACTGGCTAAATCAAAAATACTTGGTTGCAGGACCGAGTAGACCCGAAGAAATTAGAGAAGACTATCACGAAATACTGGGGCGTCAACCAATTGGATGCCAAGTACGAATATTACAGCCAGTTTGTCAGCACCGTGGCCAACTCGGACCTGTTCCACCTGCAAGAGTACGAGACGTATAAGGATGACGAGAGCCTCAACGTAGACCTTTATCAGCTGACTGTTGATGTGAGTTCATGCTCGAATTTTTTTATACAACTTGGCAACTTTCTACCATCGTACGGCTCGCCATCGACAGGGAGTTCATCCTCATGTCCTACAGCCTCAATGGTCGCGTACTGCGCGATTTCAGAGATGTTTCCTCCCACGAACACTCAGGTTGTGGAATGAGCTCCCTGCCGAGGTTTTCCCAAGAGACTACAGCATGGGGTTCTTCAAAAGGGGGTAAAGAGGTTTCTACAGGGTCGGCGACGCACGCGTAATACCTGTGGTATTGAAGGTGTTCATAAGTTACGGTAAACACTTACCATCAGGTGAGCCGTATGCTTATTTGCTACCTCAGTGGTATAAAAATAAGTAAACATTTTGACGGTTCAAACTGTTAAAACTGAACATGTTTTTAACACCAGAGGGAGACTGTACAGAAGTCGTTTGCTTGGACACCTCTGTTCCATTCGTGTTTCTACCGTGTAGCAGTTGTTTACATGGCTGTGTTTCGGTTTACTGGTGGGTTTTTTTAGTGAATTTACAGGGTACAGAATAACGCCTGAGTCCTCAGGAATGGCAACGCATGGGGGGTATCATGGGCGAAACAGTACCCTCTATTATGTCCACGGTACTGCACATGTCTATAGGCGAGGGTTACCCCTTTCCATCAGGTGGGCCGACAGCTTGTTTGCCATTCTAAGATGCTTAAAAAATTTAAGGTCCCTCTTTTACAATCTAACTCGTTTTCAATCGATTTCAAAAACAGAGGAGGTTTGTAAATAAATTGCATGTTTTTTTTTATTTTTGTTACCTCATAACTCTGTCATTTATAAAGCGATTCGAAAAATTCTCTATTTATTTAAAAAGATACGTATATATATATATATATATATATATATATATATATATATATATATATATATATATATATATATATATATATATATATATATATATATATATATATATATATAAATATATAAAATCGTGTCACGGTGTTTGTTACCAAACTCCTCCAAAACGGCTTTACCGATTTTTATGAAATTTTGTGTGCATATTGGATAGGTCTGAGAATCGGCCAACATCTATTTTTCATACCCCTCAATGATAGGGGTGACCCGCCCCTAAATATATTATTTTTATTTTTTTAACAATTTTTTTTTATTTTATTACGATTAAGCATTGAAAAATACATACAGCTTCAAATTTTTACCCTTTCACGATCAACCCCTGTTTTTTAATCGCGATTTTTATATTCCGCAAAAGGGTTGCAAGATGGCGATCAAATATAATAATTGTAGTACGAGAAATTATCATGCATAGTTCTCGAAATAATGTATATGGTAAAACAACGTTTGCAGAGTCAGCTATTATATATATATATATATATATATATATATATATATATATATATATATATATATATATATATATATATATATATATATATATATATATATATATTGGTTGCACAAAATTTTTATTAAATTCATTTCAGTTGTTAAGTTTATAAATTAATATGTATTTTATATTTTTGTTCATTCTATTTCTATTTTAATGTTTCTTGAACACAAAGTACTCTGTGGTTGTCTCTAAATGTGGAACGTAATTTTAAATAAAAAAAAAATCTAAATTATCAATGTATTTTATTTTCAAAAGCGTACGAATCCGAAGCCTGTCGTTAGTTGATTATGAACTGGTGCACAGGTGATGCCAGAGTTTCTGGTGAAGCCAAGTTGGGTTCACGGGCTGGACATCAAGTGGACACCCACTATGACCGAATTAGGCGCATGCTACGTCACCAACTCGGTTGCAATCGCCGACACAGCTATTGTGTAAGTAAATGACTTTACCAAAAGGAGATTCGGTACAAAAGACCTTTAAATAAAATAGTACACTATTGTTGATATTGAATGTACTTACTATTATTTTCCATAATGTTCCTTTGTTTTTTTTTTCAATAAACAGCTTTCTATTTGTAAGCCAATTCGAAATTTAAATTAAAACCTTTTATTAGTTACCTCCTTGGTAGATATGTTTCGAAGTAAAAGGTCATTCCATTTTTAAATTACAGGACAGATATGAGTTTACATAGTAATTTATCTGGCCGCAAAACACGACAGATATGGATTTTCATACGACTTTTGCTGGCCGCTGCCCGCATGTATCTGGCCAGTACGGCAATTTTCATTTATCTCAAAGAAGATTGTCAAAATAACGCTCACATTTCCAAACATGTTTGAGAAAAATATATTTCCTTTGTTCAGGAAACCAGATGTCAACGATACAAAACTGTTCCCGCTAACATGCAAATACTCATCTCTCAGATGCTACGTGCTGCTCGAGATTGTCAATGATACGCTGGTAAGATTCTGTGATTTTGAGTCAATCCAACTATTGAGAGGTGGGGGGAAAGGGATTGTTAGTAATGGGGTCTAACTGACCTATTGCTAACAATATACCCTATCAGGTCGACCTCCACGCGGTTCCCCCTGGAAACCATCATGATTAATTGTAGTGGAAGTCACGGTGGGCTAACTGACCTGTTTCATCCTCACCTATCATCCCCCACTGGTGCCCCGCCGGTGTATACCGTTCCATTCTACCATTCTATTTTCGCCTATTAAATAATAAAACAGGCACTGTTTCTATGGAAAATCATTCCACCAGATGTTCACACACTCCCCGTACGACGTACTGGACTCGTCAGTGCCACCGTCGCTGACGGTGCGGTCACTAGACCGGAACATAGAGTTGAGTGTTGCGGAGACGAGGTGCGGGAAGGGGGTGCGGGAGCTGTCGCCGCTGAGACGAGGCTGCTTGTACACGGACGAACCAGTACAGGCTGGCAGGAAGGTATTCTGCCTACGTGCATACGTGCATACATACATACAATAAACACATAATTCTTTCATTAGTTCATTCATTCACACAGCATGTTATTTATCCATCCGTCCATTCGCCCATCCATCCATCCGTCCATCCGCCCATTCGTCCATTCATCCATCCGTCCATTCGTCAATTCGTTCAATCGTCCATCCGTCCATTCGTCAATTCGTTCATTCGTCCATCTGTCCATTCGTCCATCCGTTCATTCGTCAATCCGTTCACTCGTCCATCCGTTCATTCGTCCATCCGTCCATCCGGTCCTTCGTCCATCTGTCCATTCGTCCATCCGTCCATTCGTCCATTCTTCCATCCGTCAATTCGTACATCTGTCCATACGCCCATCCGTCCATTCGTCCATCCGTTCATTCGTCCATCCGTCCATTCGTCCATCCGTTCATTCGTCCATCCGTCCATTCGTCCATCCGTTCATTCGTCCATCCGTTCACTCGTCCATCCGTCCATCCGTCCATTCGTTCATCCATCCATTCGCCCATCCGTCCATTCGTCCATCCGTCCATTCGTCCATCCGTTCATTCGTCCATCCGTTCACTCGTCCATCCGTCCATCCGTCCATTCGTTCATCCATCCATTCGCCCATCCGTCCATTCGTCCATCCGTCCATCCGTCCATTCGTCCATCCGTCCATTCGTCCATTCGTCCGTTCGTCCATTCGTCCGTTCGTCCATTCGTCCATCCGCCCACCCGTCCATCCGTCCATCCGTCCATTCGTCCATCCGTCCATCCGTCCATCCGTCCATTCGTTCACTCATCAATAGAGGAGTGAACGAATGGACAAAATAACTAACTAATAGCCCATCCGTCCGTCTGTCCAATCGTCGAATCATCTATTCGTTCATTCGATCTGACCAATCGAGCATTTATTAATTCATCTATTGGTCTATTTATCCATTTGTCTAATCGTCGTCCATCCATCCATTCATTCAACTAAATCGTAAACTTATTCTAGGTATACAGTACAAACTCGTGTCGTCTCTCGTGCAGGAGCAAGTTGGCATTAAAGCTTTGTAAATGCCGCCCTTTTTACTATTTTTATGAAGGCAAGTTTACATTTTTTTTTTTATATTTTTAAACCATTCTATACGCTTTCTAACGCTATATAAAAACTAATTATAGGCAACTAACAACCGTTAGCTGTCCACTGCTGAACGTAGGCCTCCCCCATAAAGTGGAGTTTTGCCAATAGTTGCCACGCTTGGCAGACGGGTTGACAACCGCAATTAGGCTTAAATGATGATTAAAGAGAGACGCTGCTGTCCATCCTTCGACTATTAAGTTTAGTCGCCTCGTACGACACCCATGGAAAAAGGAGTGGCCAATTTTATGCCGAGCCCGTAGAGCAAAATGCATACCAGAGGGAGACTTTGTACAAAAGTCGATTGCTTGGGTACCTCTGTCCTATTCGTGTTTCAACCGTGAAGCATGTTTGCATGACTGTGTTTCGGTTTGAAGGGTGGGATATGGCGTGAATTTACAGGGTACAGAGGAATAACACCTGAGTTCTCAGGAATGGCAACGCATGGGGGTATCATGGGCGAAACAGTGTACTCTGTTATGTGCATGGTACTGCTCATGTCTATAGGCGACGGTTACCACTTTCCATCAGGTGGACCGTCAGCTTGTTTGCCATTCTAAGTTGTATAAAATAAAAACATAAAAAACACCCAGGTTAACACAAATAGGCATATTCATGTATACAAATGTTTGCTTGGAATAGGCATTAAATGTTATAAGAAGATACCGAAGGATATTTCGGATCTGCCTTTTAATAAATTTAAAACTGTTATTAAAAAACACTTATTGAACAAAGCCTATTACACACTAAACGATTACTTGAATGACAATCGTGCATGGTGTTAGTTCATGTTAGATCATGCACGGGCTTTTAACGACCATGTAACTTTATAACATACATAGTACATTTAAATAAATATACATAACGTTAACAGAGATTTAAAAGAGTAACTGTTCAGTTACTTGCGGGCTCTTCTCAACAGGTTTTTTTTTATACAACTTAGAATGGCAAACAAGCTGACGGCCCACCTGATGGAAAGTGGTAACCGTCGCCTATAGACAAGAGCAGTACCATGGACATAACAGAGTATACTGTTTCGCCCGTAATACCCCTCATGCGTTGCCATTCCTGAGGACTCAGGTGTTATTCCTCTGTATCCAGTAAATTCACGTCATATCCCACCCATCAACCGAAACACAGCCATGCAAACACAACTGCTTCACGGTTGAAACACGAATGGGACAGAGGTACCCAAGCAATCGACTTTTGTACAAAGTCTCCCTCTTTCCGAACTCTACAGTAGATTAAGAAAAAATGACGATTTAAAAGTGCTTGTAAGCAAGTCTATTTGAATGGAGCTCTCTCTTTCAGAAGGTCCAGCTTGCACCCCGTCTGGTATGTGGTGTTTGGCGACAGTGTCCCATCGTCTGGTCAACAACGATGGTATAAAATGCTCATGCACTGCACCATGCCTTGATGCTGTATATAAGGATATCTCGACAAGTGAACAGTTTTGGTTAGTACAATTAAGTTAGTTTTGGAAATTACAGGGTACGAAGGTATAGACATTAAGGTGCGTGTGCGTATGCGTATACATGTACGTGTGCATGTGCATCTACATGTACGTGCGCGTGTGTGTGTGCATATACGTGTGCGTGCGCGTGTGCGTATGCGTGTACATATACGAGTACATGTGCGTGTTCATTTACGTGTACGTGTGCATGTGCATGTGCGTGTGCTTGTGAATGTCTGTGTCCAAGTACGTGTGCGTATGCGTGAGCATGTGAGTGTCCGTGTCCATGTACATGTGCGTGTGGGTGTGCGTAAGCGTGTGAGTGGCCGTGTCCATGTACATGTGCGTGAGCGTGAGTGTATGCGTGTGCATATACGTGTGCGTGGGTGGGTGCGTGTGTGCGTAAATTTACTAACATTAACAACATTGTTACTAATGAATATTAATGGACCAAAAAGTCGGAAATAAATTATTATTATTATTATTATTTCAATCAAAACACAGCCATTCAATTACGTTTTCATCTCAGCTGAAATACGAATGGAGGAACTTCACCCACACACATTACTTTTGTGCAAAGTCTCCTTCTGATAAATGAATGCCAGTTTTACTTGTACCCTAATATTTAACTACACGCTGTTTTTTTTTTTTTGATACAACTTAGAATGGCAAACAAGCTAACGGCCCACCTGATGGAAAGCGGTAACCGTCGCCTATAGACATGAGCAGTACCATGGACATAACAGAGTATACTGTTTCGCCCATGATACCCCCCATGCGTTGCCATACCTGAGGATTTAGGTGTTATTCCTCTGTTCCCTGTAAATTCACTGCCATATCCCACCCTTCAAACCGAAACACAGTCATGCAAACACAACTGCTTCACGGTTGAAACACGAATGGGATAGAGGTACCCAAGCAATCGACTTTTGTACAAAGTCTCCCTCTGGTTGTTGGTTTCAATATGCCTTCCATCATTACCAGGACCAGCGGGCAGTTTGTGGACCGTGGCTCCGTGAAGTACACGGTGCAGCCACCGCGCTCGCGGTACACCAGGGAGATTGTGTTCCACTTTCAGGATTTAATTGGTGAGTGCATAATATTCCGAGGCCATTATTTTTTTAGTTTATTTTTTTTAATGTTTTTTAATACTACGTAGGTGACATACAAGCAATATAGCTCGTCTGATGGTAAACTGTTACTGTAACTTAATACTAGAGCTTTTTTTTATGGATGAAAATGGTATGGTAACCTCGCCTGCGCTATCGGGATACGCTGGCGGAGCACCAGTGAAGAGTAATAGATGAGAATGAAAACAGGCCAATTAGCGCATCATGATGAATTCATCAGGAATTAACCATGATAGTTTCCAGGGGGAACCGCGAGGAGATCGACCTGGTTGGGTATATTGCTAGCAATGGGATTCTCAGTCTCCATTACTAACAATCCCTTTCCCCCTAGTAGTAGGAGTTTAATTTATCCCACTCAAGGAAAGACAAAGGTACTGAGCCATACAGCCTAATTTTCTATATCCGGGTTATAACAAGGCGGAGTTGCCATATCTTCTTCATTAATCACAAAATACTTATAAGCTTTAAAAACTCTTTATTTAATGTAAACGTATGGATGTCTTGTTTTATAAATCTCCAAATACAATTAATTTACAAATGTCATTAGTAAGGCATAAAGCATATTGCCAAACATTCTACACAAGCAGCCCGTGGGCCAACTGCACACAGGCCTTACTCAGTGCCCTACGAATCCAGTACAATAATAGTTTATTCTCAAACATGTTTGGAAATGTGAGCATTATTTTGACAATCTTCTTCGAGATAAATCAAAATTGCCGTACTGGCCAAGATACATGCGGGCAGCGGCCAACAAAAGTTGTATGAAAATCCAAATCTGTCGTGTTTTGCGGCCAGATAAATTACTATGTAAACTCATATCTGTCCTGTAATTTAAAAATGGAATGACCTTTTACTTCGATACATGGCTACCAAGGAGGTAACTAATATAAGATTTTATTTAAATTTCGAACTGGCTTACAAATAGAAAGCTGTTTATTGAAAAAAAAAAAACAAAGGAACATTATGACGCGTGAAAAATTATTATTGTTCGTTATTCGTCATTGAATTTAAAAAGTAAAATTGTGTTTTTGATTTCCGCGCATTGTTTGAGAAAAGTACTATACAAGCTTTGGCCACAACTAGGCATTGATGGACTCACGTATTTGTGCCTCGGTTACACCTCGGCCCACATTTGTACGTTCGTCCATCAATGCCTCAATGCAGTTGCTGGCCGCTGCAGTAATGTACTATAAAGTGCTGTTGGGGCTACCTCGCTTTTGTAGCGCCTCTAGCATGTTTGCTCAATCTCGCGTATATGACTACTACGCTATAAGGAGAAAGAGAACTGCATCATTGCTACACAGGGTTAGGACAAGCACCAACAGCGTTCTAAAAGTAATAGGCGATAAATATAACTCGCCTATAATTGGGCATTTCATTCAGATGCTGTTCTAGTCGGCTGGCTCACATCTGAGGGAACTGCTTTATTTAATTTGCTTTTCTTTTTTACTAACATAGTTTGTAAGAAAACTGTTACTAACAAAATGGACCAAACTGTAGTCTGAATAATAAAGTACAGATGAGAGCTTTGAGAAGTATGTGTGGTATTACTTTAAAAGATAGAGTATGAAACAGTGTGATTAGAGAGAAGTGTGGACTGAAAGACGATGTAGTGACAAAAATCGAAAAAGGAATGTTGCGTTGGTTTGGTCATTTGGAGAGGATGGATGAAAGAAGAATTACGAAAGAGATTTATCGAGCAAGAATGAATGGAGATGTCGGTAGGGGCCGCCCTAGACGGACGTACGTCGACCAAATAGGCGACGTGCTGAAGAACGGGCCAAATTAAAAGTACCCGTAACCGGTGAGCGTGTATGACAAGATTGATGAATGTGGAAGAAGCGAAAGAGGTTTGTTTGAATCGAAGCATTTGGCGTTCCATTGTTTCTGCCTACCCTAATGGGAGACAGGCGTGATAGATATGTATGTATGTATGTATTATTTACATTGCATTATTTATTTCTCAGCTTTTAGCGCTGGTAATTATACTACACTTACAGGTACGTGACCAAGTAAGTGCAGTGTGTATGTTTGTATGGAAGGTTATGTTTGTGTATGTCGGGTGGCTACTTCATCCTCATCTATATCTAAGAATTTTCTGACTATTCTGCAAGTATTTAATATGGCAGCCTTTTGTAGGGAGATGTAGAGATTTTTTCGTAGACCTATTTGTTTTAGACTATGGTGTAAATGGTTGGGAATGACACCTGTATATGAAAGGACTATCGGTACTATGTAAACTTTTTCCTGTTTCCAGATTCTTGTGATTTCATCTTTAAGTTCAGCGTATTTGTTATTATTATTATTATTATAAAGTATTAAAAGAGTATTTTAAAATTCATCAATTGAGTAGATGCACCTTTCCAACAAAAGTTGTATAAAGTTTTATTTCCAAAATTCTCCAATCTTCGATAGCTTTTTTAATGCATTGGGTAATTTATTATATAATTTAACCGCTTGAAATTTGGCGCCGTGTTTCACTATATTTAGCTTTGGTTGGACATCATATGCAACATCTTTCCGTCTAGAAATCATGCGTATATTTCTCTCTTCTGTCATAAAAATTACAATACACTCCCAGAGCGTACGACGTGTCTTCAAAAATAATCAATTTCAGTATCATTCGGCGGTGCAGCTGGCTTATTCCTCGGCGCCAGCTTCATCAGCTTCGTGGAGATCCTGTACTTCGTATTCGAGAAGGTCATCGTGCTAATCACCAAGCGGAATTTGGTGAAAGAACAGAAAGTCCAAGTATGTTGTAATCTAGTTACTTTTCACCATCAACTTTGGGCAGATTATTGGTACAGAATGGTATGGTAACCCCGCCTGCGCTAACGGAATACGCTGGCGGAGCACCAGTGAAGGATGATAGATGAGAATGAAAACAGGCCAGTTAGTCCATCATGATGAATTCATCAGGAATTAACCATGATAGTTTCCAGGTGGAACCGCGTGGAGGTCGACCTGGTTGGGTATATTGCTAGCAATGGGATTCTCAATCTCCATTACTAACAATCCCTTTCCCCCCATATCTCTATATTAAGAAATAATAGAATTTCAACGTGCCTCCTACCAAATTGTTTATAATTACTGCTCTCCATCCAAAGGTTGTCTGGAAGAGATCGCTCTTAGCGATAAGGCCGCCCATTGTTTTCTCACTGTGATCATTTCTTGTAATTGTTTATATTTATAATAAGTTTACTATTGTAATCTTTTGGAGAAAACAATAAAGAGTATCTATCCATCTAAAAGCATATAAGTACTTACAGATTGGTTTTATAGAAATTTTATCAAAATCGATGCAGCAGTACTTTCTTTCGACCGACGGATTGGTCGACGGATCGGTCGATGGATTGATCGACGGATCGGTCGACGGATCGATCGACGGATTGGTCGACGGATCGATCGATGGATTGATCGACGGATCGGTCGACGGATTGGTCGACGAATTATTAAACATATTGTTCAAATCGGCTATTCCATTCAATAGATATTACGAATTTAATAATTCATAGAAATAGAAAAAATAACGCTGTCGCGTTGTACATGTTATTCGTACCTATTTTAGCGGTGCGGAAGAGGGGCAGGTGGGGGCGGGCACATCTATGAAATAGCTAGCTAGGTAGGTACAGATAAAAATGTAAAATGTTGTAAAAATGTCCACCCGTGCGAAGCCGGGACGGGTCGCTAGTATACTAATCAAAGAAGTTATTTTAAAGAATCAGTTATTTTTTTTTTTGTTTTAATGGGTGATAATGGTATGGTAACCCCGTCTGCGCTACCGGTATACACTGGCGGGGCACCAGTGATAGATGACTGATGAGGATGAAAGCAGGTCAGTTAGCCCATCCTGACGAATTCAACTAGAATTAGCCACGATGGTTTCCAGGGGGGACCACGTGGAGTTCGACCTGACAGGGTATATTGCTAGTAATGGGGCTGTCAAACTCCATTGTTAACAATCCCTTTCCCCTCCGCCTAGTGTCATTTGTGCTTATAGAAATATACTTTGATAATAAGTACATTTAAACATTTTTTTTTTATAATTGTTTTACATTTCGTTTGATTTCAGGAGAAGAGAGCAGTTGTACAAAGTTGTGAAAAGAAACGCATTCTTGAGCTCAACAAGATACTCGAACAAGGAAAACGTTACGAACCGTTTAAAATGTACTAAATTGTATAAATTGCAAGAGAGGCGTTTATCAACTGTTACCTTTATATAGATAGATAGATAGATACTCCTTATTGTTTCCTCCAAAAGATTACAATAGTAAACTTATTATAAATATAAATAATTACAAGAAATGATCATAGTGAGAAAACAATGGGCGGCCTTATCGCTAAGAGCGATCTCTTGCAGGCAACCTTTGGATGGAGAGGAGTAGTTATAAACAGTGTTATATTTTTTATTTATTTACCAGAAACTAAATCTTGCCAATACAATTGATAACAATATTCAACACGGCTATATTTCGCCAAACGGATTTTAGTGCAACGTGGCAGAGAAGCCGTGTGGTCCCGGCATAGAATAAGCCACCCGTTCCTTTCCCGTTGTGTCGTGTCGACTACAGAAACTAAATGGTCGACAGATGGGCAGCAGTGTACCTCTTTTAACATTCCAAACTAAAGCTAAGCCTAACTGCGGTTGCCAATCCGCTTGCTAACGTTCCACGTGGTCCCCCCTGGAAACCATCGTGTTAAATTTCAAAAGAATTTATCACGATGGGCTTACTGCGTTACCTGCGTTTCATCCTCACCTATCATCCCTCACTAGTGCCCCTTCGGTGTATACTGATAGCTCAAGCGGGGTTACCATACCATTATCACCTATTAAAAAAAATCCTCATGACCTTCGATCCTATAAAGGTAGTATCTAAGCCGAGATGCTCTCAAAAACATGGTTAAAAATAGGAACAGTTTTCTGATAAATAAAAACGTGATCAAGTCAGTATAAAGGGTTCAAAAATAATACATTTCATTTTTCTTGGGGAATGTTGCTTATTTTAATAAATATATACTGTCACTAAAATACATTCTCAAATAGCAATATGACATGACGTCAACAGCTAGTCATTTTTGAGTTGCGACCTTAAAATGACCAAACTATGACGTCCCATTATCGTCACAGACGTCACCATAGGTCGCGACCTAAAATGACCAAACTATGACGTCCCATTATCGTCACAGACGTCACCATAGGTCGCGACCTAAAATGACCGAACTATGACGTCCCATTATCGTCACAGACGTCATCATAAGTTTTCTGTTAAAGAAAATTACACTTTAATCTCAAATCTCAAATAAATCAAAAATTGTAATAATAATTAAAACACATTATTGAACGAAAACGTTGTATTATTAAAAAAAAAAAATATGTAACAAAAAGTCCGAAAAGTTGGCGTTGAGTCTGTAAACAAAAATATAGTAATTAATAATTATCTACATTTTCCGCTTCGCAAAGAAACTGGGCGTCTACCATGAAAAGTAATACCGAATTTTCGGACTCATTTCGTATTTTCTTTCATACCAAAGTCGGCCCAGTGAATGGAGCTTAATATTTTGTTATTCATAAATTCTACCATAAAAGTCCAGAGAAGTAATATTTTAATATTTTTATTATTTTTAAACAGTGTTAATTATGTAATTTTAACATCAAATTTGCGTTTCGTTCAACCCCGAAATTTCGAATAACATTTGATGGTATCCCCCAGTACAGAATTTACACCAGAGGGAGAGTTTGTACAAAAGTCGTTTGCTTGGCCACCTCTGTCCCAATTGTGTTTCTACCGTGACGCAATTGTGTTTGCATGGCTGTGTTTCTGTTTGAAGGGTGGGATATGGCGTGAATTTACATAGTACAGAGGAATAACACCTGAGTCCTCAGGAATGGCAACGCATGGGGGGTATCATGGGCGAAACAGTATACTCTGTTATGTCCATAGGCGACGGTTACCACTTTCCATCAGATGGGCCGTCAGCTTGTTTGCCATTCTAAGTTATATAAAAAAAAACACAGTTAAGTTTGCTTCCGTTTAATTCCCATATTAATTTTCCACTTCATAATTGCCTAGTGTAAGTTGCACAAAGATTTACGGTGAAACATGGAAGTACCATGTTTAGTTCGTATTGAAACCTAACAGCGCCTCTAGCGGATAGTAACGAAAACCCCTTTTTTTATTCTGTTTCCCCTATGAATAGGGAAGGCAAAAGGAGTAAGCCTATACAGCCGAAACCTCCAATTTCTTTTTGATAGGTGAAAATTAAATGACAAGTCTGCCTTGATTTGATAGATGATACACTTGACATTATTGATATATATGACATTATTTTATATGTAACTTACAAGTGCAATAAAGAAAATGTATGAAAATTGAATGATAATTGAAGAATATACACTGGTTAGTTTCCAGGGAGGGGGGGGGGGGCACCTGTAAGGGTATATTGCTAGCAATGGTGATGTTAAACCCTATTTCTAACAATTCCCCTTCCCTCCCTTTTTACTTTTATTACCGTTAAGTTTAATAACAGGGATTTGACCTACGCCGCGTGATCCCGTCATAGAATAAGCCACCTCTTCCATTCCGGGGAGAAGGGATTGTTAGTAATGGAGTTTGACAGCCCCATTGCTAGCAATATGCCTCATCAGGTCAGCCTCCACGTGGTCCCGCCTGGAAACCATCGTGAACAATTCTCGTTGAATTCGTCACGATGGGCTAACTGACCTGTTTCATCCTCGTCTATCGTCCTTTACTGGTATCCTATCAGCGTATACCAATAGCGCGGGTGGGGTTACTATTTCATTATCACCTATAAAAAACCCCTTCCATTCCTATGGGTGTCGTAAGAGGCGACTTAGGGGTCTTAATAGTCAAGAGATGGGCATCAGCGTCCCACTTGAAACCTCACCCAAGCTTAACTACAGACCTAATCCGCGTGCCAAGCATGGCAACTACTTGCAAAGCCCCCCAATAGGGGGAGGCCTATGTTCAGCAGTGGACAGTTAAAAGCTGATATGATAGTGACGATTAAGGGGTTTTGTCACGCAGAAAAACTTATAACACTACGCCCTCTGTGATCTATAGTATATAAAGACGCCAGCTCCCCCCCCCCCCCCTCCACTTCCCTCTTGGAAGATAATTTTCAATAGACTATTGCCTATCATTTAACTGAAGGCACAACAGACACAGCAGTCTACTTGTGACTATGGGAAAAGGAATTGTTAGCAATATGCCCTATTAGATAGACCTCCACGTGGGTTCCCTCTGGAAACCATCGTGAACAATTCTTGTTGAATTCGTCACGATGGGCTAACTGACCTGCTTTATCCTCACCTATCATCCTTCACTGGTGCCCCGCCGGTGTATACCGATAGCGCAGGCGGGGTTACCATTCCATTATCACCCATAAAAAACCCTTAAGGTGGTTGAGCCGTGGTCATTTTTGTACAAAATATGTTTATAACACACGCTGTATATAGTATAACGGTATTTTGTTAACAACCAATACCAAAGACAATCCAGATAAATTCTTAAATCTCTCATAAACCATACAACACCAAAGTCTAAAAGGTACTTCGACTCCCGTCTCTTGACGGAAGTCGAAGTGCGGTGGCCTAAACCGAGGTCCGGGCCGCTCTGGATCTGGCACCCTTGGCGTACGCCGCAGTTTATCGGTAAGAGTCGACACTCTATCGCTTCCCTCCTACGGGCTTGGAGTGCCATCCACACTCACCCCTGCATACATCATCATCTTAATCGTATCAGCCTTTAACTGTCCACTGCTGAACATAAGCCTCCCCCTAGGGGAAAGTACTTGTCACACTTGGTAGGCGCATCGGTAACCACTCAGGCTTTAGAGATGTTCTAAGAGCGACGCTGCTGTCCATCCCTCGCTCTCCCTTAGTCGGGTCTTACGACACCCACGGAATAGGAAGACGTGGCCTATTCTATGCCAGGACCACACACGCGCCAGATAAAGCTGCAAAGACCATCTGCAGCTAAAAGCATGTACAGGTCGAAAAAAGGTCAAAAAAGAATAAACAGGTTTCTTCAGGGTCGGCAACGCGCGTTCATAGGCTTCGGTAACCGCTTACCATCAGGTGAACTGTATGCTTGTTTGCCACCTCAGTGCATTAAAAAAATTTATGTACTCCATACGAATGGACGACGAAGTCACCAGTGAAAATTTGTAACAATACTGTATCCTACCTCTTGAGCAATGTTAAGATCTGGATCTTCGACGATGAATTTTATAGCGTCTGTCGCAGCGATGGCAGCGCTTGAAGGAGCCGGAACGGGAGCGACATCGCCACAGGTAACTGTCCAGACAATTTAACAAGGCATAGGTAATATGGATAACGGGGGGGAAATGATTGTTAGCAATGGAGTTTAACAGCCCCATTGCTAGCAATATCAGATCGATCTTCAAGCAATTCCCGCCGGAAACCACCGTGGTTAAGTCATATGAAATTCGTTACGATGAGCTAACTGATCTCCTTGTGGGGAAAAAGGTTTGTTAGTAATGAGATGTAACAGGCTCATTACTATCAATATACCTTAACAGATCGACCTTCACGCGGTTCCCCTGGAAACTATCGTGGTTGATTTTCGATAAGTAGACTTTGTACAAAAGTCGTTTGCTTGGCCACCTCTATCCCATTCATGTTTCTACTGTGAAGCAGTTATGTTTGCATGGCTGTGTTTCGGTTTGAAGGGTGGGATATGGCAGTAAATTTACAGGGTACAAAGGCATAACACTTCAAGAATGACAACGCATGGGGGGTATCATGGGCTGTTATGTCCATGGTACTGCTCATATCTATAGGCGACGGTTTTTCATCACATTGACTGTCACTTGTTTACCATTCTAAGTTGCATAAAAAAACACGATAGGCTGACTGATCTGCCTTTTCATACCAATAACCTGTCACTGGTGCCCCGCTAGCGTATACCTATAGTGCAGGTCATACCATCCTAATATCACCTCGGTGGGGGGAAAGGGATTGTTAGCAATGGAGTTCGACATTGCTAGCAATATCAAGTCGACCTCCACGTGGTTCCCCCTAGAAACCATCATGAACAATTCTTGTAGAATTCATCACGATGGGCTAACTGACCTGCTTCATCCTCATCCCTCACTGGTGCCCCGCCGGTGTATACCGATAGCGCGGGTGGGGTTACCATTCCATTATCACCCATTAAAAAAAATATATCACCGCGGTAGAGTTGTTATACTGACCGTCCCCGGCGGCAGGAGCGCGAGCGGCGCTTACGCCGGCCGTAGCGCCTGCGCCGCCGGCAGCTGCACTGCCGCACCCTGTACCGGCGGTCACCGGAGCGGCATCGTTTGAACCTACCACTTCTACTACGACAGCGGCTGCAAATACACGCAATATTGAATTAATTGAGAACGTTCATAACGCCGTGTGGTCCCGCTCGGCATAGAATGGGCCATCCCTTCCTTTCCCGTGGGTGTCGTGAAAGACGACTAAGGGAATAATGGTCAAGGGATGGACAGCATCGTTCCTTTTGAAACATCACCAAAGCTTAAATGCAGTTGCAAACCCATTTGCCAAATGTGGCAATTATTATCAAAACACGCCTTATATGGATGGCCTATGTTCAGGAGTGTCCAGTTTACGGCCGAATGTGAAAATAATGACGTTCCTAACTTCACTTTGCCGAAGTGTGTCAAAAGTAGACATGAGCAGTACCATGGATATAACAGAGTATACTGTTTCGCCCACGATACCCCCCATGTGTTGCCATTCCTGAGGACTCAGGTGTTACTTCTCTATACCCTATAAATTCACTGCTATATTCCACCCTTCAAACCGAAACACAGCCATGCAAACACAACTGCTTCACGGTGGAAACACGAATGGGACAGAGGTGCCCAAGCAAACGACTTTTATTCAAAGTCTCCCTTTGGTAGATTCAATATATTCAAATTACTTGCAACACGAAAAAAAAATATACAAGCATTGTTTTTCTTTAAAACATGTGTTGTTAAAATTCCGTCAGCAAAAGTGACGTTTAGCTGACTTTTTTTTATACAACTTAGAATGGCAAACAAGCTGACGGCCTACCTGATGTAAAGTGGTAACCGTCGCCTATAGACATGAGCAGTACCATGGACATAACAGAGTATATTGTTTCGCCCTCATGCGTTGCCATTCCTGAGGACTCAGGTGTTATTCCTCTGTACCCAGTAAATTCAAGTCATATCCCACCCTTCAAACCAAAACACAGCCATGCAAACACAACTGCTTCACTAGATTATGATCTGTTTTTGACACTTGATGCTCTATCTATACGTAACAGTACGTTATGCAAATTTTTTGCACCAACCCTCAACAACAGCAACACATGAAGGAGAGGAGGGGGAGAAGCAATTGTTAATAATTCCCATTATTAATAGTTCCCACTAGCAACCCCACTACAACATACCCTGTCGGGGGAAAGGATTGTTATTGGGGAGCTTAGTCCCCATTGCTATCAATTAACCCTATCAGGTCGACCTCCACGCTGTTCCCCCTGGAAACTATCGTGACTAATTTATCGTTGAATTCGTCAGAATGGGCTAACTGACCTGCCTTTTTATCCTCACCGCATAACGCAGGCAGGGTTACCGTGCCATTTTCACCAATAAAAAAACATACCCTATAAGGTCGACCTCCATGCGATTGCTCTAGGAAACCATCGTCATTGACTCTTGTTGAATACATCACGAGGAATCAACTGACTTGCTTTCATCCTCACCAATAATCTCTCACTGGTGCCCCGCCAGCGTATACCGATAGCGCAGGCGGGGTTACCATACCATACACAAGGGTTTCAAAGCAGGGGTAAAAAGATTGTTAGTAATGCGTACTACCACTCCCATTGCTAGCAATATATTGTACAATATACCAGAGAGACTTTGTACATAACTCGTTTGCTTGGCCACCTCTGTCCCATTCGTATTTCTACCGTGAAGCAGTTGTGTATGCATGGCTGTGTTTCGGTGTGAAGGGTGGAATATGGCAGTGAATTTATAGGGTACAGAGGAATGCATGAGGGTATCATGCGTGAAACAGTATACTCTGTTATGTCCATGGTACTGCTCATGTCTATAGGCGACGGTTACCACTTTCCATCAGGTGGGCCGTCAGCTTGTTTGCCATTCTAAGTTGCATAAAAAAAAAGTAAAAATAATAATATTTTTTTAATGGATGATCATGGAATGGTAACCCCGCCTGCGCTAACGATATACGCTGGCGGGGCACCAGTGAGGGGTGACAGGTGAGAATGAAAAGGTCAGTTAGCCCATCGCGATGAATACACTTGGAATTCATCGCGATAATTTCCAGGGGGACCACGGGGAGGTCGACCGGTTAGGGTATATTGTTAGCAATGGGACTGATAATCCGCATTACTAACAATCCCTTCCCCCCAAATTCTAATTATTAGATAACATACAAGGCACTTACCCTTCTCTCATAGTAAAATTACTTACAAAGATTCGTATCAAAGAAGTTGGTTACCATTTTGAGTGTATCACTTACGTTTTGCACATTCTAAAACAAAACAATTGTTACCTTACTAACATTATAAACAAACTGATGCCTGCGACTTTGCCCGCGTGGTATTTGCTATTCCTGCTGGTCTACCGTGAAATGAAATGCCGAAATTTCGGACTCAATTTCGTGTTTTTGTTTATACCAAAATCGTACCAATAAATGGAGTTTAACATTTCGTTCGTCATACATCCTATCGTAAAAGTTCAAAGGAACAATATTTTAACATTTTTAATATTTCCAAACGGCATGTATTATGTAATTTTAACATCAAATTTCTGTTTCGTTTGGCTCCGAAATTTCGGAAAACATTTCATGGTAGGCTCTCTGTTTAGTACGTATCGATGTATGTGCCTACCTATTTATTACGTCCGGGAACACTGGACCAAAATTAACAAATGACGGGTCGTTTTCACTCTTTGTCTTAGGTTGAAATGAGTTTACTTAAGTAGGTTCCGTACAAACGTACAAACACAGATAAACAAAAAATTTGAAAAAAACTCAGTTTTTAGCATTATTTTTTTCTATGTACAGACATTCGATTTCTACAGTTACGAAATTTTTAATAAAAAATCTCTATTACCCCTCTGACCGGGCGTCCCGCGATTTCCGCGTGCAGTAGCTACTACTGGTAGTTTAAATTCCCGCATCCCGTCATTCGACGTGCTCGCATTTTTTATATTTATTGACGTTGTTATCCAGCGATTTTCGTTTCGGTACATTTATTTATTTATTTATTCATTAGTACATATATGTGTACATGGCGGACTTAATGCTAAAAGCATTCTCTCCCAGTCGACCATAGGCAAGTGTCAGAATACTCGAATGCGGTACCACGGGACCGGGACGGTTACCACTTTCCATCAGGTGGGCCGTCAGCTTGTTTGCCATTCTAAGTTATATAAAAAAAAAAATACAGCTAGTAAATAAATTAAAACACGCAAAATGCTTACTTCCGTTTCTGACGATATCTTGCCATAATGCTGGCTGTGTGGAGTGTCTAGAAATAAAAATATTAAATATATACTCACGACTAGGTATGGGCACAGATAATATAATACTTAGTATGGATAACTAGCAATACACTAGGGGGGGAGGGATTGTTAATAATGGAGAGTAAGGGCCCCATTGCTAGCAATATACCCACCAACCAGGTCGACCTCCACGTGGTCCCCCCTGGAAACCATCGTGCTGAATCCCAGGTGTATTCATCACGATGGGCTAACTGACCTGTCTTTTCATCCTCACCTATCACCCCTCACTGGTTTAGGTCGAGCTCCACGCAGTTCCCCCTGGAAACGACAATGGTTAATTCTTGTTCAATTGGTCACTATAGGACTAACTGACCTGCCTTCATCCTCACCTGTCACCATTCACTGGTACCACTCCGTATAACAGTAGCGCAAGCAGGGTTACCATTCCATTATCATCCATTAAAAAAATGCATACCTAACCGATATCTATATGGGGGAAAGGGATTGTTAGTAATGGAGACTGAGAATCCCATTGCTAGCAATATACCCAACCAGGCCGACCTCCTCGCCGTTCCCCCTGGAAACTATCATGGTTAATTCCTGACGAATTCATCATGATGGGCTAACTGGCCTGTTTTCATTCTCATCTATCACCCTTCACTGGTGCTCCGCCAGCGTATCCTGTTAGCGCGGGTAGAGTTACTTTACCATTTTCACCCATCAAAAAAAAACCGATGTCTGTATATTGTATTTCACTGGACATTGATGATGAAAAAAAATTAATCACCCATTTCGATATCGCCTATATTAGTCGGATATCTATTTTCGAATATGTTAAAAATCTGTTATCCAAAAAAAAATATTGGATTTTTCCAATATTATTTTGTTCGATATTAGTTACCAGTATATTTTTTTTATACAACTTAGAATGGCAAACAAACTGACGGCCCACCTGATGGAAAGTGGTAACCGTCGCCTATAGACATGAGCAGTACTATGGACATAACAGAGTATACTGCTTCGCCCATGATATCCCCCATGCGTTGCCATATATATGCTGTAACTAAAATATATAGATATTACTATATATTAGCCACGCTTACTCACGACTACAATCCCTGATGGAGTAGTCAGAATCTTTGGTCGAGTGGTCCCATAGTGGAAATCGTAATCTCGATATGTTCACATAACAGAAATATTATAAATATGAAAATGGGTGTATATTACCTTTTATTATATACCTTTTATTAAAAATAAATAATAGCCATTATATTTATTATCTTCTTATATATAAAATTCTCGTGTCACGGTGTTTGTTACCAAACTCCTCCTAAACGGCTTTACCGATTTTTATGAAATTTTCTGTGCATATCGGGTAGGTCTGAGAATCGGCCAACATCTATTTTTCATACCCCGCAATGATAACGGTGACCCTCCCCAAAAATTTTTTTTTTGTATTTTGACAAATTTTTCCATTTTTATTTTATTATGATTTAGCATTGAAAAATACATACGACCTCAAATTTTCACCGTTTTACGATCAACTCCTGTTTTTTAATCGCGATTTTTATATTCCGCAATAGGGTTGCAAGATGGCAATCGAATATAATAATTGTAGTAGGATAAATTTTCATGTATAATTCTCGAAATAACGTATATGGTAAAACAACGTTTGCCGAGTCAGCTAGTAATATATAAAAATATGACTGCGTAGTACCGCCATAGAACAGGCCACCTCTTCCTTTCCAATGGGTGTCGTAAGAAACGACTAAGAAAAGGCGGAGAACGAGCAGCAGCGTCCCTCTTAAAACATCTCTAAAGCCTAACTGCGGTTGCCAATCCGCCTTTTTTTTATACAACTTAGAATGGCAAACAAGCTGACGGCCCACCTGATGGAAAGTAGTAACCGTTGCCTATAGACATGAGCAGTACCATGGACATAACAGAGTATACTGTTTCCCCCATAATACCCCCAATGCGTTGCCATTCCTGAGGACTCAGGTGTTAATCCTCTGTACCCAGTAAATTCACGCCATATCCCAACCTTTCAAACCGAAATACAGCCATGCAAACACAACTGCTTCACGGTTGAAACACGAATGGGACAGAGGTACCCAAGCAATCGACTTCTGTACTGCTTGCCAAGCAACTATTGACAAAACTCCCCAAGGAGGAGACTTACGTTCAGCCGTAGACAGATGATGATACCATAATATCTAAAATAATTTAAAAGTCTCGAAGGATATCTCCGGCAATCCAATGCGGAAATGCTGCAAGTGTCATGGGGACCCTTGGGCCGGGCACGGATCATGAATGGGACTGATCCTTATTTTTTTTTTTTGTAATTCTAAGAAGTATATTAATTTTATATATAAAAGTCTAAACTATTACTTTCTCATCTGTCAGACGGTGTCATCTATTTCAATCATGGGTCGTGTCAGGACTAAGACCGTGAAGAAAGCGGCCAAAATTATCATTGAGAAATACTACACACGGTTAACCTTGGATTTCGACACGAATAAGAGAATATGCGAAGAAATTGCTATAATACCCACTAAACCCTTGCGCAACAAAATTGCAGGGTTTGCAACTCACTTGATGAGGCGCCTTCGACACTCGCAGTTTCGAGGCATGTCCATAAAGTTGCAAGAAGACGGGCGTGAGAGACGTGACAATTACGTTCCAGAAGTTTCTGCCACGAACATGACATTATCGAGGTAGATCCCGATACCAAGGATATGTTAAAAGTCCTTGATTTCAATAATAAAAGGTTTTGCAGCTTACACAGTTGGCCACTCAAAGTGGTTATGGGGGCGGCAGACGTAATTAAGTATAATAAATAATTACTTACCTTTAAGATGTAAAAAAAAGCTATAAAAAATCTTTTCACATATTATTATTCACATACTTGTCAAAATTACAAAAAATATGTGACATATTTGTTGACGTAATAAGGTAAAACAATACTTCTAAATTCAAACGCGGATGTAACTGTTACTTTTTTGCTATAAAACCTACATGTATATTCACTTTTGAGTGCTGTGTAGTACCAGCATAGATTAGGCCACTCCTTGCTTTCCCATAAGTGTCTTAAGAGGCGACTATGGGAACTTAAGGTCAAGAGATTGGCAGCGTCGTCCTCTCACACCACCCCGCCAATATATAAAGAGCTAAAACATCTAAATTCTCAGGAATGGCAACGCATGGAGCCTATTCGTAGGCATATTTACATAGGGACAGGAGGGCCGTGCCCACACTAGAATGCAAACAAAGCTTTGCAAAGATATGTTTTAGAGCAAACATGCACTAGTTTTACGTTTGGCTCCATCACGTAATCGGCCACCGCTTCCTTTTCCGTGGGAGTCGTAAAAATCGACTAAGGGAACTTAAAGCTCGAGGAATGGGCATCAACTCTTAAAACATAAAAGCCTAACTTTTTTTTATACAATTTAGAATGGCAAACAAGCTGACGGTCCACCTGATGAAAAGTGATAACCGTCGCCTATAGACATGAGCAGTACCATGGACATAACAGAGTATACTGTTACGCCCATGATACCCACCATGCGTTGCCATTCCTGAGGACTCAAATGTTATTCCTCTGTACCCAGTAAATTCACGCCATATCCCACCCTTCAAACCGAAACACAGCCATGCAAACACAACTGCTATACGGTTGAAACACGAATGGGACAGAGGTACCTAAGCAAACTAACTATGGTTGCCAATCTACCTGCCAATCGTGGCAACTACCCCCTTATGGAGAGGCCAATATTCAGCTATGGACAAAAAATAGCTCATGTGATGAGAATGACTACATTGACGATACCTTGGACTCCATAATGCATCATGTAATTTCTACCATATTGCCCTTGCTGCCCATCTGATGCAAAGTGGTAACCGTCGCCTACAGTTGCCTCGTTTGCTATTCTAAGTTGGATGAAAAATATATAAATAAAACAAAGGTACGAATAATTTTATAAATATATTATTATATACATAATTTATTGCTTAAAATTAATTTTATATCCTTTGGTTTCAGGATCTTGTTCCATTTGGAAATTTTCTGTCGACAAACCGAACGGTTTCAAAAGCATATTGCCTAGGTCTTTTAATTTCCCTAGCATTTCTGTTTTTAGTTTTTCATTCTTCTCCTCTATGAGCGGCGGGAGGCGTACAGTCGCTTTCAATGCTTCTTTGTGTCCTGGATCTAATTCTAGAATCTTCTTGTAATCCGCTAGACTTTCGTCCAATTTATCTGTCGCTTCGTAGGACTGTGCTCGTCTGAAAATTTAACGTTAAAGCATTGTGTTACTTTAGGCCAGGAGTAGGCAACCTCTTGGCAAACCAGGGCCACTTAGTGGCAAAGAGAAATAAATATAATTTTGGTAAACGATCTCTAAATATGTGATAATGGGGGGAAAAGGGGTTGTTAGCAATGGAGTTTGACAGCCCCATTGCTAGCAATATGCCTTATTAGGTCGACCTCCACGTGGTTCCTCCTGGAAACCATCGTGAACAATTTTTGTTGAATTAGTCACGATGGGCTAACTGACCTGCTTCATCCTCACCTATCATCCTTCACTGGTGCCCCGCCGGTGTATACCGATAGCGCGGGTGGGGTTACTGTTCCATTATCATCCATTAAAAAAACTGACCTGCTCTTTAAGGGGGAAAGGGTTGTTGGTAATGAGGTCAAATAGCCCCATTACTAGCAATATACCCTGTCAGATCGACCTCTACGTGGTTCCCCCTGGAAACCGTCGTGGCTAATTCTAGTAGAATTCGTCAGGATGGGCTAACTGACCTGCTTTCATCCTCATCAGTCATCTATCACTAGTGTCCCGCCAGTGTATACCGATAGCGCGGACGGGGTTACCACACCACATTAACGGGTGATTATTAAAAAAAAACACCTGCTCTTTCATTTTCACTCATCACCCTCACTGGTACCCCGCAAGGGTTCCATTCAATTATCATCCATTAAAAAAAGTACGATATGGTGTTAAACAATCAAGCTTGGTGAGATGTTTCTAACAAATAAAATCATTACCTAATATACGCTTTTACATATTTTTCGTCCAATTCTATAGCCTTTGTACAGTCTTTGATAGCTTTACTGTACTTTTCAAGTTTCATCTTGGCGGCGCTCCTGTTGCAGTACAGGACCGCGCGTAGCTGTGACCACTGCAGTGGACAGATTTTCAAACCTGTTAAAGACAAAGATCATTTTAGTAACATAATTACTAGATGGAGACTTTGTAAGTCGATTGCTTAAGTACCTCTGTCCCATTCGTGTTTCAACCGTGAAGCAGTTGTGTTTGCATGTCTATGTTTCGAATATCATATCGGTATCATGGGCGAAACAGTATAGTTTGTTATGTCCATGGTACTTACTGCTCATGTATATAGGCGACGGTTACCACTTTCTATCAGGTGGGCCGTCAGCTTGTTTACCATTCTAAGTTGTATAAAAAAATAAAAATTAAACTAGCATTTACCAATGACTTCGGCCACATAACCGAGATATGTTTACTGACCAGGATAAATGTCATCATCCCATATAGTATATGTATACCAAAATTTCATCGTGATTGGTTAACTTTTAATAAATTCACTTTCACAGGGTTGAAGAGATTGTTGGTAATGGGGAAGTTATCCTTGAGTAACTCTATCCCACTTTACCTTTTTTATGAATAAAAATGGAATTGTAAGCCTGCTGGCGCTATCAATATACACTGGTGGAGCATATAAAACACCTGATTATCGAGGTGATGGGTGAAAAGGAAATCAAGTCTTTTACATCACATATAAACCTACCAACATTGATTTTACATTGACTATTCATCTTATTTTACTTAGAAATTTATAAATACATTTTTGCCATAAAAATCCAAATCTTCAGTGACAGTTCAATAAGATTTATTGCATAGTTAATGTTTCCCATCTGTTAGAATATAAAAACAAGTACACTCAAATTTTCTGCTCCCTCCCATTCCATTCAACCTGTCAGCGAACGCGACGAATTAGAGCTACCCAAAATGACATTCCAGAAAAAACAAACATCATCGATGGCTGGCGGCCGTTTCGCGCGTTCACAACAAAATAATCATAATTAAGGTGCTTCAGTTTGGTATTCATACAAAATTGTGGCTAAAAGTGAACCTAGGACGATCAACAACCTATACACTTATAGGCAGCTCCAGGCAAACTACAACAAGAATATTCCGTAAGTCCTTACCTTTCTACATCTTGTCTGTACTTGTTCACTTGTGCAGGTATTTTACAGCAGTAATAAAGCCCTATTTTAAGTTTCTACAGTCCACTTAAATCTTTTTTCATACCACCTTCACTATCAGAGAACTTATTAAATAACCAGTGGGAAACTTTAAAAATGATAAAATTGTTTTTGGATTTTTTTTTTTAATTATATTGCTCTAATTGTTAACTCAATTTATGAATGGTCTTAATGCAAGTTGGACTTACACCCCATATTTTTATTAAAGTGGGACATACCTTCAGTGTATTTGTCTATGCTTCGCTCGTACTCTGCCACTTTGAATGCATTATTGCCTGCCACCTTCAACTCTTCGGCGACCAGTCTCCGTTCCTCCTTCTGGTCATCAGTCAGGTCCACTTCGGCATCCTTGAGTGACACTTCGTCTATTGAATCCGAGTCACTCTCATTGCTTTTGTCTCTGTCTTCGTAATCATCATCAAAGTCTGTGTCTTTGGGAATGTCTGAAATTCAAAATTAAGGGAATTACATTGCATATCTAGTCTCTATAGATATTGCAATACATGTAGGGTACCATAAGCATCAGTGGGTTCTATTATTTTCTTTTTATGGGTGCAGATGGAATGGTAACCTCGCCTGCACTATCAGTTTAGACTGGCAAGGTACCAATGAAAAATATAGATGAAGATGAAAACAGATAGAATGAAAATAGATATGATGAATTCCACAAGGATTAAACATGGTAGTTTTTAAAGGGAACTGCGTGAAGGTCGTCCTGATAATATATATTTCTAGCAATGGGGATGTTAGATCCCATTACTAACAATCCTTTTGCCCCTATAACCAATATTAAAAATTAGTTTATTGCAATTAATTTAAAATACTACAGGTGTAGTGCTTCTTTAAAAGCACTATTTATCGCAGTATAAAAGGGCGAGGCCATTGTTCACAATGTACAAATAAAAACAAAATTTTACCTTCAATTTTCTGTGTATGCGTCGTGGGCGGAGCAAATTCTTCTATACTAGAACCTGGGTTTATCACATTCTCTTCTTTCGGCTCCTCTGTGCTTAAACTAAACTCCAAATCCTTTGTTAAGTCCTCTACAATTTGTTCATTTGAAATTTGGCTAGTACTTTTTAACCTATCAGACATTGTTGGAATAGATTGCTCCCCTTTGGACAGAAAAAAAACGCAAAATTACAATATGACTGAATTAATCAACTGTCTTTAATCTATGTTTATTTGATATTTTAAAAAATAATTGTAATTCTATTAAAATAAAACGAACAATGATTAAGATTTTTCTATGATATTTTTGAAATATCAATAATGTCAACTTTAACAATGACAGCCAGCGACAGCTATTTGTCATTTCGTTCAGAACCAGATTCGAGAATGTTCTATTACTGAATAATAATTATGTACCAGAAATTTTTTATGTCAATCATATACACAAGTATTGTTGATAAGAACTTCTAATTGATATTAAAGTAAAAAGTAAAATTTATAAAATAAACATATACGAAATAATAATTAAAAAGATGATAATCACTGAAACTACTGATTACCGAACGTGCATTTAATACATTTTCATATTACGCAGAAAAGAATTAGCAATTGACTAAAAATGTAATAAATTTTAAATTGTTTAATTAATAACAATTTTAATACACTAAATTATTAAACTAAGAAGTATTATTTTAAAGTATATATTATATGTTATATAATGCTTTATAAACTACCTGATATAATATAATTCACATACTTACTCATGTAAAACGGAACAAAACACAAATTAACCTAAAATTGCTTCCAAATAATTTAAGGTCAAGTTTATTTCTTATTCGTTCTTTGATATCACAATATTTGCGTACGTAATCATATATACGTATATAGTGGACAAATTATTAATAATTGTATTAACGGTAGTAATTCAAGTTTTAATCACAAAATGAATATAGCAAGAATATCTTACAGAACTTTACTGAAAACATTCAATAGTCCTAAAAGTTATATTAACAAATACAACTATTTAGGCACTAGTTTTAGTAACCACGGTAGTGCTGTTCCTTTGTCCACGACCAAATTGAGGTTAAAAGATGAAAAGTAAGTAGCTCTTATAATTTGAAATTCGAATTTTAATAATAAAAAAAACATTAAATCTTAGAGACTACCAGAGGGGACTTTGTACAGAAGTTGTCTCGGGGAAAGCGCGGGAAACGTTTAAAAAAGCGGGAGTGTTTTTTGATCTTCTTTAAATTAATTTTATATTTAATTATATAAGGATTAGTCTTTTTTATATATTGTGTATTAGATTGTATATTTAATTGTATATTTTGTAGTAATAGTGTTTGTTGCTGTAAATATTGGTAAGTAAATTACCTATATTAACATTATGGATCCACCTATAGACCCTGGGGGGACAACCCCCCAGGTGTCTGCAAATATAACTATTCCATTCAATAATAGTTTTGATATATTGGGTGAATCTAGTATGGACACAGATGGTTCTAGCGTTGCAAGTTCTAAACGTAAGCGAGTACGTGGTGAACGTCGCATTTGCAAACATTGCAATAAAAAACGAAGGAGGCACACCAAGGGTCTTGAATCTAAAATTAAAGATAGTGATTGTCAATGTATTGAAGATGAGAATCAAACTCAAGTATCAATACCAGTTGTAAACAATACCGAGTCTGTTAAACCTGCTTCTCCACCCAGTACTTTAAGCAGAACTTTGTACAATGCCGAGGATATAGCACCTTATGTCGTTCATGTACAAAAAAATGAAACACATCCTAATGATAACACTACATTACATCCTATTGCATTTGGTCGCTTTTTACACACTAATAAGATAAATAATATAGTGAATGGTAGCCTCAAAAGAATAGGAAGAAACCGTTTATCGCTTTCTTTCTCAAATTTTGAAAATGCAAATGCATTTTTAAATAATAGTAACTTAGAGACACATAATTTTAAGGCATTTATACCTTCTTTCCATGTAACCCGTATGGGAATTGTGAGGGGTATTCCTAAAGATTGGACAGAAGAGGAAGTAATCCAAAATATATCAGTACCGATAGGTTGTGGGAAAATTCTAAAAACCAGAAGAATAAAGAAAAAGACAATTAATGAAGGACAACCAAGTTTTATTAATACTGAAACCATTGTTATTACTTTTGATGGACAAATATTGCCAAAAAGAGTATTTATGTTTTACACATCATTAACTGTAGATTTGTACATTTACCCTACTATCCAATGCTATAACTGCTGTAGGTTCGGACATGTCAAGATGCAGTGTCGTTCAAATCCTCGGTGTTATAAATGCAGGCAAAATCATACAGGTGATAAATGTGAAGTAGATGAGGAAAATGTTTCTTGTATCTTGTGTAATGGTTCTCATTCAGCAATTAGTAAAAAATGTCCTGAATATGCACGTCAGAAAGCCATTAAAGAAACAATGGCCCATAGTTGTGTTTCTTATGCTGAAGCATCAAAATTTCATCCTCCAACTTCTAAACTATATTCAGATGTATTAACATCATCATCTCCTTCCAATAAATCTCATTTTCAATCTTCTTTCCTTAAAGAGAAATCATCATTACCACATATACAATCATCATATAAAAAAACAGTTACACTTAAACCACGCTCTCCTCAAAAAATACAACAAGGATATGATCGTTCTGCCCATGAAGCCATAGTTAAGGAATATAATATTCCTGCTCCCTCTAATGGTTGTGCATTATCATCAAATAATATTGACAATAATCAATCCATCATTGATATTATTCTCATGCTTATTAAAGTGTTATCGCAATCGAAAATGATACAAACAACTTTACCACCGTCCAACGATGCCATGTACAATGTATTTTCTCAATTATTAACTTCTCACAATGGATTACAAAGTCCAAATAATTCAGTGGAACTGTCGTAGCATAACAAATAAGAAATCAGACTTATTTTATTTGATTAATAAATATAATCCTTTTATAATAGCTCTACAAGAGACTTGGTTAAAGCCAGGATATCCTTTTAGGATTTCAGGCTTTACAAGTCTCCGTGATGATAGAGCTGACGGATATGGCGGTGTTGCCATATTGGTCAAAAACTCCCTTCTTTTTTCTTCTTTTTCGCTTCCTGTATATAGCGGCATTAATGCAGCTGCTATAATTATAAATGGTATCTGTTTTGTTACTTTATATATTCCTGATCCTACATGCCAAATATATTCACAACTAGAACAATTATTTTCAATTTTACCTAAACCTTTTCTCGTAATGGGCGATTTTAATGCTCAGCACCAATCGTGGGGCAGTTCTACTTCTAATTTTTATGGTGGAAAACTCCTGACGATAATTGACACTTACAACTTATGTATTATTAACTCAGATGTACCGACACGTAGAACTGCACCGAATGAAGGGTTTAGTGCTCCTGATATTTCAATATGTTCTTCTGATTTAGCTTCTTCACTGTCGTGGTATCCTCATTCCTCTACCTTCGGAAGCGATCACTTTCCCCTCATTCTTTCTTTTCCAATTTCCATTCCCTCAAGTCGAAAGAGTGGTCCTCGACTTAAATATAATTTATCAAATGTAGACTGGAATATTTACAAATAATATTTAGATAATAAAATATCGGAGTTACCTATTGTTTACCATGGAAATGAACATCATTGTTGTAATAACTTGATAATTAATATGAAGGAGGTTGCTGATTTATTATTTCCTGTTAAAAATAGTGCTTCAGGGAAAATTCCCTCCCCACCTTGGTGGGACAAAGATTGTACGGAAGCAATTAAAAATCGTAAAGAGGCTGAAAAAAATTATAATAATTACATGACATCAGAAAATTTTGAAATTTACACCGCAGTTTCACGTTCTACTCGAAAACTACTGAAAAAAAAAGAAGTTGGAAGGTTGGAGAAGATTTTGTTCTTCTATCTGTCCAGAAGTTAATTCATCAGTCGTTTGGAATAATATTAAAAGATTCAGATCTGCCTTTAGTGATCATACATCACGTTCTGCACTCGATTTAACTTTAGCGAATAAATTTTTAGATCGCCTTGCTCCTAGTTATGTGCCGGAATGCCTTTACAATATTTCTCTATCCGTCTCTGACGAATTATCCGAACTTGAGTCTCCTTTTACTCTTGTAGAACTTAAAGGTGTTCTAGCTTGTATTAAAGACTCTGCACCGGGAGAAGACGGTATACCGTATTCCTTTTTTAAAAATGCTAGCGATGCGACATTAATTTACTTTTTAAATATAATTAATTCCATAATTATTTCGGGAAATATACCTACTTCATGGAAGTCTCAGATTATTATACCATTTCTAAAGCCTCATAAACCACCTTCTGAACCATCTTCATACCGTCCTGTTGCACTTTCCTCTGTCTTACTAAAGCTAGCTGAACATTTAGTGAAGAACCGTCTAGAATGGTTTTTAGAAAGTAATAACTTACTATCCCCGAACCAGTTTGGTTTTAGGAAAGGTAAGAGCACCTTAGATAATGTGAGCATTCTTATTTCAGATATTCATATAGCTTTCTCACAAAATTTGTCAATCCTCTCAGCCTTTTTAGATATAAATTCTGCCTATGATAATGTAATAATTTCTATTTTAAAAACTAAATTACAAGCTTTAAATGTACCGGTAATGCTTTCTAATTTCATTATTAATATTTTATCACAAAGAACAATACATATGGATCTAGATGAAGATACCAAATTATCTAGAACAGTATGGAAAGGCCTTCCACAAGGATCTGTTCTCAGTCCAATTTTATTCAACATATACACATACGATCTAGAATCATTCCTTGATAAATCCGTAAAAATTTTACAATATGCTGATGATCTCTTATTATATTTTATTGCGAAGTCCATAGAATCTGCTTCTGCCAAATTATCTGATTCATTAGATTTGTTAAAAACGTGGTTAGATGCAAATGGTCTTAATCTTTCTGTAACCAAGAGTAGTGTAGTTTTGTTTTCAAGAATGAGATCACCGCAACAAATTAAGGTGCTTTATGATAACTCATACATTCCTATAAAGACTGAAATTAAATTTTTAGGTATCGTGCTAGATAATAAATTAACAGGTCTGTCCCACTGTAATTATATTTCCACGAAATGTGAGCGTAACCTTAACATTCTTAGGTGCCTTGCTGGAGTTTGGTGGGGAGCACATCCCGTTTCACTAAAACTTGCTTATAATGGTCTTATAAGGAGTGTCATTGATTATGGAACTTTTTTGTTAGCTCCAGGAAGTTCATTTGCTTTTAAGAAATTGGATTTAATTCAATCAAAGGCCTTGAGGATTATCTCTGGAGCAATGAAATCAAGTCCAATCAATGCTTTACAGCTCGAAGTCGGTGATCCACCTTTGGTTTTAAGAAGGCAATATTTATCTGATCGCTTCTTTTTTCGTTGTTTACAATTATCTGATCATCCGCTTATTCAAAAGTTATCTCAACTACATATCTTTATTTCGTCTTCATCTTATTGGAAATATAAAAAACCTCCATGTTTAATACAAAGTTATGAAAAATATAAATCCATAGAATCTCCCACTTTTACATCGTCCTGTTTTCCCATTTATAAATGCTCATATCAATCTTTAGTTTTATCTCCTAATATTAAATATGATTTTGGGTTATCAAAAAATGATTCAGAATTGAATGCCAAATTTATGTTTATAACTGACATTGAATGGAATGAATGGCACTACATCTTTACTGATGCATCAAAACCAGACAATAGCGGTTGTGTAGGTGTGGGTGTGTTTCATTCACAATTTAATATCGTTCAAAAAATTAAACTTCCACCGGAATCTTCAGTTTTTACCGGGGAATGCTATGGTATTTTAAAAGCTGTAGAATATATACTTTTAATGAAATTACATAAGGCAATAGTTTTCACTGACTCTATGAGCTCTTTGCAAGCTCTAGCCAAATATCCGTTTAAATCAAAACCAGTTTATCCCATTATTTGTGACATAAGACAAAGTCTTTATCTTTGCATGTTGAGAGGGTATTCCGTTTCTTTTGCCTGGTTACCAGGACACAGTGGTATTAGCGGCAATGACAAAGCTGACCTTATTGCAAGAGAGGCTGTAACTTGTGGTGATATGTATCCGTATCATAATTACTGTAGTGACCTAGCTTGTCTCCCAAAAATATATTTAAGGTATGCCTGGAAGGAATATTGGGAAAAAACAAGTACAATAAAAGGAAGATTTTATCGCCTTATACAACCCGATATTCCTTTCAAACCATGGTTTTGTAAATTAAAGCTTGGAAAGACCGCAACAACTATTATAACTCGTATGCGTCTAGGTCACGTATGCACACCTTCTCATTTATATAAGCTTGGTATTGTACAAAGTTCGTCGTGTAATTGCGGTGCTGAAGTGGCGGACTTGAATCATATATTCTTCTCATGTTCTAAATTTGACCACACCTCCCTTTTTAATCATCTCCGATCCATCCGTGTTCCATTCCCAACTTCTATTCTTACTCTACTTTCTTCCAATGATCCTATTATCTATAAAATACTATCTTCATATATATATGATAACAATATTAAGATTTAGTTATATTACATGAATACATTTATAGTTGCATTAATTATAATTGCGTCTCCTATATATTTATAAGTATATTCTCATATGTACAAGTATATCCTTCATATCCTATAAATATCCTAGACCTAATCCTTATCCTTTTTAAATTCGTTTGTGTTAGGTATTTTTATTACTATTATCGTTTCCCCGTTTTGTTCTTGGCAAAATACCCTAATATCGGGGTGAACGCCACAAAAGAAGAAAAAAAAAAAAAAAAAAAAAAAAAAGTTGTCTCGGTCAACGGGGATCCTTTTTTTTGACGGATAGTAATGGAATTCCCTTTCTGTCCTATCGGTATACGCTGGCAGGGCACCAGTGAGGGATGATTGGTGAGAATGAAAAGGCAGGTCAGTTAGTCCATTCTGACGAATTCAACAATAAATTAATCACGATGGTTGCCATGGGAGACCACGTCATGGGAGGTCAACCTCATAGGGTATATAGCTAGCAATGGGACTGATAGTCCGCATTACAAACAAACCCTTCCCCCCATGGATATCTTTAGCTCTTTTTGAGTCCTGTTCCACTTGTATTTCTGACATCAAGCATCTGTGCTGACATGGTTGTATTTTAGTTTGAAGATAGGGAAATGACAGTGCTATTAAAAAAAAATTATGATGAGGTCTATCAGGCCCATTGCTAGCAATTTTTTTTAAATTATAATGCTACTCCCCTTGCAGCATGCATAAGAGTAATGTTCATCGTTTCTATCTAAAAATAATCTACTTTTTACTAAAATAAATTAATTTAATTTAATTGTATAATAAAACTCCACATCCATCTGCCTGATCACCCATGATCACTATGTCAATTTTATATTTCTTTTCTTTTATATTATTACCCGCCCATTATGTACTTTTTATTAAAACAAATTGTGATTTGTTAATCTTTGTTGAGTGCCCACAATACAAGTTTGCTTAGTGTGGGGCCTATCGTATCTTGTGTTTGTAACTTTGTGTTTTTGTCAAATAATAAATTTCTGCAATATGCCCTAATGAGAAAGAGATGGGCAGATGACATAATAAAGACAGCAGGAAAAAACTGGACAAGAATTGCTATAGATAAGGAGAAGTAGAAAAAGATGCAGGAGGCTTTTAGCCTTGGGGACCACTGAAGTGGATAAAAAGCTATAATAAATAATAATAATAATAATGCCCTAATAGGTCGACCTCCACGTGGTTCCTCCTGGAAACCATTGTGAACAATTCTTATTAAATTCATCACGATGGGCTAACTGACCTGTGTCATCCTCACCTATCACCCTTTACTGGTGTCCCGTCAGTGTGTACCGATAGTGCGGGTGGGGTAACCATTCCATTATTACCCAATAAAAAAAAAAAATTTCTATTGCATCATTATTTTAACTTTACACTGCTGTCATCTATTTGATTTTTTATCAATAATCAATAATGATAAATGAATGATAACAGATTCTTTTATTAGTTACATGATTCATGGCAACTAACAAACAATGATAGCTTATTCTATGACAGTTTTTAGATAATCAAGAGTGTTTTCCATAAAAAAACTGTCTTTAAACTAAACTACTGTATTGATTTTTAATAAAATTTCTACAAGACCTCGTGAGAGAATGTGAGAAAAACTGTGTTCTCCGCGCTTAGCCTCTCATTTGGGCCGTTGTGCGTTTCTACAAGACTTATATTTAATAAAATTTCTATAAGATGCTGTGTGTACCCCGGCATAGAAATGGCCACCTCTTCCTTTTCCGTGGGTATCGTAAGAGGCGACTAAGGGAGGGCAAGGAATGGGTAGCAGCATCCCATTTAAAACATCTCTAAAAGCCTAACTGCGGTTCCCAACCTGCTTGACGTGGCAACTACAGACAAAACTGTCCCTATGGGGGAGGCCAGTTACGTCCAGTTAACAGCTGAAATAATAAAAAAAAATCTATAAGTTTATACTTTTAGGTAAAAAAGATTTTATTTTTTAAATCATTTTACAACTGTCAGAGTTATGAGGTAACGAAAATAAAAAAAAAACACAATAGAAAGGAGAACCTCCATCTTTTTGAAGTTCCATTTTTTTTTCTTGCGACTTCATTCCTGTGATTGGTTTATTTTTTTAATAATAATATGTGTGGAAAATCATATCAACAGCCTACTCTTCGAACTAAGTTGAGATAAAGCACTATGACAGATGGACAGACAAAAGAGACATACGAGAGTCCCTTTGTAACTTTTCAACCGAATTGAAAAAGAAAGAGGTTTTAACTTTGGTTGTGTTTTTTTATGTTTATTACCTCCGGTTGTTTTTTTTTATGTTTATTACCTCCGGTTGTGTTTTTTTTATGTTTATTACCTCCGGTTGTGTTTTTTTTTATGTTTATTACCTCCGGTTGTGTTTTTTTTATGTTTATTACCTCCGGTTGTGTTTTTTTTTATGTTTATTACCTCCGGTTGTGTTTTTTTATGTTTATTACCTCCGGTTGTTTTTTTTATGTTTATTACCTCCGGTTGTGTTTTTTTTTTATGTTTATTACCTCCGGTTGTGTTTTTTTTTATGTTTATTACCTCCGGTTGTGTTTTTTTATGTTTATTACCTCTGGTTGTGTTTTTTTTTTTTATGTTTATTACCTCATAACTCCGTCAGTTGTGAACCGATATGGAAAATTCTTTTTTATCTGAAATGATATACTTACAGATAGGTCCTATACAATTTTTTTATCAAAATCGCCTCAATATTAAAGTTTTTAGATAAAAGTAACTGGTTTTTTCACAATGGAAGTAAATTTTTTGTTTGTGGCACACAATCTTTAATTATTATTTTTTTTTTTTACGTAAACTCAGCGTTAGCTGGTATATACGCTACTTTGCGTATACTGCACTTACAAGCCGAGACAAAATAAGTGCAGTGTGTGAGTTTTGTGCGTGTGCGCGCCCATGCGTACATGTGCACGTGCATGCTCACGCACCTATGGCTATGTGTATGCAACTATTACATTTTATGTCTCTGTGCTATTATGAAATGTTTCGTTTTCATTTATTTGCAGGAATTTTTGAACAATTCTGCAAGTATTCTATATTACAGCTTTTTGTAGTGTTTTACTCAGGTCTATTTCTTTCAGACTATGGTGTATATGTTTGGGTATAACACCTGTGGTTGAGAGGACAATGGGTATCACTTAAACTTTTTCTTGTTTCCAAAGTCTTGTTATTTCGTCCTTCATTATTATTATTATTATTATGAAATCCTAAAACTAAGCTAATAATTAATTATACTTTTCAGGGTTAAATTAACATTCATATTACATGATGGGAAACGTTTGGAAACAGAGGCGAATGTTGGAGACACCCTCCTAGACGTGGTAGTGAACAACGACCTGAACATAGAGGGGTACGGAGCGTGTGAAGGCACCCTCACCTGTTCCACCTGCCACGTTATACTGAAGAAGAAAGATTATGACAAGTATGTGGTTTGATGGCTTCTCACCAAATAATCCTAATCAAAGGGATTGTTAGTAATGGGGTCTAGCTTCCCCATTACTAGCAATACACCCTATCAGGTCAACCTTTGCTAGCAATATACCCAACCAGGTCGACCTCCTCGCGGTTCTCCCTGGAAACTATCATGGTAATTCCTGATGAATTCATCATGATGGGCTAACTGGCCTGTTTTCATTCTCATCTATCACCCTTCACTGGTGCTCCGCCAGCGTATTCCGATAGCGCAGGCGGGGTTACCACACCATTTTTACCCAGCAAAAAAAAATACACCCTGTCAGATCGACTTACTCGCAGCCCCCCTGGAAACCATCCTGCTGAATTCCAGGTGTATTAATCACAATGGGCCAACTGACCTGCCTTTTCATTCTCACCTATCATCCCTTACTGGTGCCAATGTAATACCGTTAGCGCAAGCAGGGTTACCGTTCCATTATCATCCATTAAAAAAACTAATGCCCTATTTCTAATAAACAATTAACGTCAGTTTTACGAGATAAAAGTTATAAATATTTCATTATATGCAAAGAAAATAACGTTTCAGATAACGGGCGTTATGTAAAATACGATAAACACCGCTTCTAATAATAGAAACGAATGCATTTAGTTTAAGATTTTGTTTTCCAAGACTTTTTATTTTACTGAAATAGGTGCTGTGACATGGACGTTAGACATGATTTTAGTTTCTTTTTATACAACTTAGAATGGCAAACGAGCTGACGTCCCACCTGATGGAAAGTGGTAACCGTCGCCTATAGACATGAGCAGTACCATGGACATAACAGAGTATACTGTTTCGCCCATGATACCCCCCATGCATTGCCGAAACACAGCTAAGCAAACACAACTGCTTCACGGTTGAAACACGAATAGGACAGAGGTGCTCAAGCAATCGACTTTGTACAAAGTCTCCCTCTGGTAAAATTTTTGCCCGTATTGATCATAAGACCTACCTGTTGAGATGCAGCATTGAGGTCGTTGAGCTCTAATTAATTGATAACAATTATTTGTTTATTACTTTTTAATTGCGTGTCTCGTTAGAGCTGAGACACGTGTCGCAAAATAAGCGTGTACAAAACGACAATCGAATATTGATGTCTAATATGGTTCTTGAACTTTGCTAGTAATAATGATGGTCAATCTTCGAGTGTTTGCAGTCACACACATACTAATGGTAGCGGAATTAAACAAAATGTGGTCCCGGCGTAGAATGGTCCACCCCTTCCTTTCCCGTATGTGTCGTAAGAGGCGACTAAGGTAGGGCAAGAGATGGGCAGCAGTGTCTCTCTTAACCCTTTTAGTGCCATTGATTTTTACTAATATCTACTTAAAAGTGCCAAAGAAATCTTTGTCGTGTTGATGTCATTTGCCCTTGTCTCTAAAAAAACTGTATCTCCTCCAAAAATTATCCGATTTTAATATTTTTTGTTACAGCAAGCTAAACAGCGACTGATTCCACGAGCGCCATGACGCTCGTGGCACTTTTAGTTGCAATGCGCACGAGCGTGATCGCGCTCGTCGGCACTCAAAGGGTTTTTTATACGGGTGAATATGGTATGGCAACCCCGCCTGCGCTAACGGCATACGCTGGCGGAGCACCAGTGAAGGGTGATAGATGAGAATGAAAACAGGCCAGTTAGTCCATCATGATGAATTCATCAGGAATTAACCATGATAGTTTCCAGGGGAAACCGCGAGGAGGTCGACCTGGTTGGATATATTGCTAGCAATGGGATTCTCAGTCTCCATTACTAACAATCCCTTTCCCCCCGCACTCAAAGGGTTAAAACATCTCTAAAAGCATAAGTGATGTTGCCAACAGGCCTGCCAAGCGTGGTACTTGTTGACAAAACTCCTTTAATGGGGAAGGCTTATGTCCAACAGTGGACAGTTTTAACTATGTATTAATTTTGTTTGCCTCTAGACCGCCCATTGTTGCCTCTTTTTGTCTTGTTTTTATTTAAGTCTTCATTTTGTCTGTGTACATATTGATAATCTGTTTCATTCTTTATGGGGAACGATAAAGAGTTGTCATTCGAATAACCAGTTATGGTTTTTATATATAATCCGCTAGATGGTGATGCACCAGTGGGGGATGATAGGTGAGAATGAAAAGGCGGGTCAGTTAGCCCATCGTGGTGAATACACATGGAATTCAGCACGATGGTCTCCACTAGAGACCACGAGGAATGCTAGCAATAGGACTGATACTCCGCATTACTAACAATCCCCTCCCCCCCTAGTCCTGTCCTACTAGGATGTCTACCTCTCTCGCTCCCATTGCCTAAAAGGCACATATGTATCCATTTGTCCTATATTTATCATATGACAATAATGTAATAAATAGGGAGGAAAGGGATTGTTAATAATAGGGTCTAACTGACACATTGCGGGGGGAAAGGATTGTGAATGGGGAGGTTAGTCCCCATCTATCAATATACCTTATCAGGTCGACCTCCACGCGGATCCTCCTGGAGACCATCATGACTAATTTATCGTTGAATTCGTCACGATGGGCTAACTGACCTGCCTTTTCATCCTCACCAATCACCCCTCACTGGTGCCCCGCTAGTGTATACCGATAACGCAGGCGGGGTTACCATTTCATTATCATTCATCAAAGAAAAACTGACCCATTGCTAGCAATACACCCTATCAGATCGACCTCCATGTGGGTTCCATCTGGAAACCATCGTGGTTAATTCTAGTGGAATTCATCACGATGGCCTGACTGACCTGCTTTCATCCTCGCCTATCACTTCTCACTGGTGCCCCACTAGCGTATACCGTTAGCGCAGGCGGGGTTACCATCCCATTATCACCCATTAAAAAGAAAAAAAATGTAATAAATATATATTTTTTATAGATTACCAGAGGAAGCATGCGAAGAGGAGCGCGACATGCTCGACCTGGCATACGGCCTGACGGACACCTCGCGGCTGGGGTGCCAAATCACCCTCACCAAAGACATGGACGGGCTGGAGGTGACTGTACCGGAAACAATCAATGACGCGCGCAGTTGATGACGTGAATTAACTAATTGGTAGTTAATTGTAATTTTATGGTACCCATTAAATAGAAACGGATTAATATTGGATCACAGGCTTAAAGCTAACTCGTTAGCGACATGTAAATGAATCTATTTAAGAATATAGAAAAAAATTTGGACAGACATTTCGAGAAACGCAAAAAATTTTACGACAAACTACGCAATTTGTTATTACACTCAATATTTTATATACTACTAGCTGACCCCGTAAACGTTGTTTTACCACTTATTGCGAACTATAAAAGTCGCGATTAAAACACAGGGGTTGATCGTGAAACGATGAAAATTTCAAGTTGTATGTATTTTTCAATGCTGAAGTATAATAAATATAAAATTAAAAAATTTGTCCTAAAATTAAAAAAAAAATATTTTGGGGCGGGTCACCCTTATCACTTACGGGTATGAAAAATAGATGTTGGCCGATTCTCAGACCTACCCGATATGCACACAAAATTTCATAAATATCGGTAAAGCCGTTTCGGAGGAGTTTGGTAACAGACACCGTGACACGAGAATTTTATATATAAGAAATACATATCTGTCACGCCTGTCTCCCATTGCGGTAGACAGAAACAATGGAACGCCGAATGCTTCGATTCAAACAGACTTATTTCACTTCCTCCACATTCATCAATCTTTACACGCTCGCCGGTTACGGGTACATTTAATTTGGCCCGTCGTCAGCATGTCGCCTTTTTGGTCGATTTACGTCCGTCTATAGCGGCCCCTACCGACATCTCCATTCATTCGTGCTCGATAAGTCTCTTTCGTAATTCTTCTTTCATCCATCCTCCTCCAAATAGACGATATACTATAGGACATATTAGGGCAGAAATTTCGTGAAATAAAAATTTTAGAAATGCAAAAAAATGGGTGACAATCTACGCGTCATATTAGTGTAGAGAGCTCAACGTCTCCTTTCATATTTTAAATACACTGATATCATTTTAACATCATATCAGCCATTCTCTGTCCACTGTTGATAGTAAATAAAAAAAAAAAAAACTAAAAACAAGTCTTCCTAACATGTCGATTCATTTCTCAAAATTTTATTGTTCTCTTTTCATACAAATCTAACAAAAAACTTCTATTTGTTTTTCTTTTGTCAAACTTGATTTTTATTCAAATTCTAACCAATTTTTATGTCAACCTTATGATTGATCAACCTTAAAGGTCAACCAATTGGATTAATGAGGTCATTTGTAATAATTTATAACTGATCTATATAGTTATATCAATTCCTTATTCCATTCCTGTTTTCAGTATTGAAGCTCTCTACTGAATGAGTGAATGTCTTAAATGCGTTTGCGCGATCATTAGAACCAAGCATACTCATTGACCTTGAAGGTGAAAAGGTCAACTAATCAAAAAGTTAAAATGTCAACCAAATTAAAAGGTCTATGAATTAAAAATTTAAAAGGTCAATCAATTAAAGTCTGTCAAGTTACTCTTAGTGCAGCTGTGCATCGCTTCCTTGTTAAATTTTTAAAAGTTAAGTAATTTTTGTATAATTGTTTTATTATAGTGATAGGTATATTAAATTTGAATTAAATAATATTATTATATTTAAATTTGTTGACCCCATATTTATGTGATTTATTTAAGTTTAATTTTTATTTCTACGCTTTTTATTATACCATAATTTATTGGATCCTGGTGTTATACCATATGTATGGCAGCATATTATTTTTTTTTTTTTTTTTATATATATAAACTAATATGTATATTTTAAAGCAAATTTTAACCTTAAGTTTCGTAAGTACACATTATATCTTAATATAAGAACAACCGGATTGACTTACGTGCATTTTGGTCACGTGGTCAGAGCCGCTCATGACTGAAGGTCCCGGATGGTTCAGAAACTAATCGAACTATTTCGACTAACTTATTTAAGTTGGTTGTTAACTATGTTTGTGTTATTGTTGCATAAAAATGTAATGTTTTTTTTTTTTTTATAGTAAACTTTTTCATAATAATTTTCATTTGTGATTTTAATAAAGCGAGAATCTTTTTAACGGAATGTTCATAGTTCGAGATTTTTCTTTTCTGTGTTGCGTTACAGGTTACACTTTAGACAAATTTTAAACTCGGTGTTTGTTACAATGATTTTGTAAAACACCAACTCTCATTACAAATTTTAAAATTTGTAAGTAATATTGTAATAAACGTTTTAAACTAGTTTTTAATTAAATTTAAATTTAATTATATTTGACATATATTTGTGCTAATTTTAATTTATATTATGTACCTATTCTTGTTAGGTATTACATGTTTATATGTATAATGGTATTGTAACTTCCTCTGCGCTATCGGTATACGCTAACAGGGCATCAGTGAGGGATGATCCTCACCTATCTTCTCTCACTGGTGCCCCGTCAGCGTGTACCGTTAGCGCAGGCGGTGTTACCATTATCATCCATACAAAAAGGCACAGAATTTATATTTAAAATAATATTGAATTGGTATTCATTGTATGGGGTCTAATTTTCATTTTATTGTACATTTAAAGAAATTTTATTAAAAAGTATATTTACAGTCAATTTTTTTATTTTAATCTATTTACCATAGCTTTTACTCGCGACTTCGTCCACGTCACTGGGATAAAAGTAACCTATGTCCTTCTTTAACCCATATATTATGTGTATACCAGAGGGAGACTGTACAAAGGTCGATTGCTTGGGTACCTCTGTCCCATTCATGTTTCAACCGTGAAGCAGTTGTGTTTGCATGGCTGTGTTTCGGTTTGAAGGGTGGGATATGGCGTGAATTTACTGGGTACAGAGGAATAACACCTGAGTCCTCAGGAATGGCAACGTATGGGAGGTATCATGGGCGAAACAGTATACTCTGTTACGTCCACGGTACTGCACATGTCTATAGGCGACGGTTACCACTTTCAATCAGGTGGGCCGTCAGCCTGTTTGCCATTCTAAGTTGTATAAACAAAAAAATTACGACGGATCTGTTCTCTCGACGTGTTATCAAAATAATCAACATGCAATTTTCTGCCACGACTAATACGATTTTCGTTTATTTTCCAATTATTGATGAAACCAATGTAAATGTATCCAACAGTTGTGATGTATTGTACGGCATAAGCTACGATAACATGAACATTGAAACACTACTATGGGTTTTTACTAGTCTATCACGTGAGTTATGTTTTTTTTTTATTTTTGATGGTTGAAAATAGTATGGCAACCCCGCCTGCGCTAACGTGATACGCTGGCGGAGCACCAGTGAAGGGTGATAGATGAGAATGAAAACAGGCCAGTTAGCCCATCATGATGAATTCAACAAGAATTATCCACGATGATTTCCACGGGTACCGCGTGGAGGTCGACCTGATAGGATATCTTTTATGAGAGATAACTTATTTATCTTTTTTAATGTGATTTTTTAATGCATGAAAATGAATGCATTAGTTCTGTGAGAAACGCCAGAGGGAGATAATAGGCGAGAAGGTAGTTAGGCCAGTTGGCTTATTTTGACGAATTCACTAGGAATTAACGACGATAAATTCCAGGAGGGCCCGTGTGTAGGTCGACCTGACAAGGTGTATTAGTAATATAACGATAAATATGTAAATACACGACTTCATACTCACATATCATCCTTCAATGATAGATATACCACCAGCATAATGAATGCGTGAGAAAGAACAAAAATCCGGACATTGCGGTCTCGCACGATCTTATGCACACAGTAGCGATACCATGTCTACCGATATATATTAAATGAAGTCTTTTTATTACAGCGATCATTGTCAATGCTAAACAGAGTATCCTACCGCACGCCATAAGAGAACTTCGAGCGCCAACATTTATTAAACATATAAATAAAGTAACTCCACTGAAGATGCGTAGCGGCAGTCATAAATACGCAATTTACGAAAACATGCTGCTGAGGAAAGCGGCCCCAATGCTCCCACCGAAGAAACATTTAATAATCGCTGTGTTGCCATATGAAAATTTATTCGACGAAAATGGTAGATTATTCCTTGAGAAATCAAAAAGTAAATACGATTCAAACTCGAAATATACACCATTTTCTAAAGTATCCGATGACGATCTCGTACCTGTTAAGAAAATAAAAGAAAAACGAAAGAAACGTAAGAAAATTGAGCAAATATTAATAGACATGTTACACAAAAAAGATAAAATGTATGGTAGAAACAAATTGAAGTTAAAATCTGATAAGTTATTGACTGATTTAGAAAAAGTATTGCCAGATATGAAAATGTATAAAAATGGTCAATATTTAATAATGAAATTATTACAAACTAGCGACCCGCCCCGGCTTCGCACGGGTGCAATGCCGCATCGCTATGTTCCTGCATTTTAAATCTGTAATATCTTCTGAAATATTCATTTAAATTGCACGCTGTAAAGGACCATATTGATCTATATTAAATGGACAATGCATTTAAGATACTTATTTGGATAAAAATTAATGCTGTATTACTTAAAATCACTTCGTAAATAAGCCATTTTTTCCCGTAAAATGTAAAGGATAAAAAATGGTTATTGTGTGTTATCCTTAAGAGATAGACATATACTATCGCGGACTTTTTTGTTGACCTTTTTAAGGTGTACAATACTGTAGTACATTATTTTGATTTATCTCGTGGGGTTCAGCCAGCGTTTGCAATGTAAGTGCAGAAATGTGTTTATTAACGACGTCACATTAGAAACCTCTAAATTTATCAGTGTTTCTCTACAATATTATGCATCTATTATACATATAAACCTTCCTCTTGGATCACTCTATCTATTAAAGCGCTTTAAAATCCGTTGTGTAGTTTTAAAGATTTAAGCATACATAGGCACGGGCAGACAGCGACAGCGACTTTGTTTTATATTATGTACCTAGTGATAATGAAAGACAAAAATAGCAATGATATTTAAATTGATAAATGACAATTTGTTTGACGAAAATGGAATGATTACAATTAAGAACCCAAAATATGAACAAGGCATATTAAAGTGTAACCTCAACTATTAAAAATAAAACAGTATCCAGTGAAAAAGGGATTGGTTTTAAAAAAATCTGATTCTATTATTAAAACAATAGATATAGAGAAACTTCGACATTAAATAGACGGTTTGAACATAAAAAAGGCGGGAACACAAAGTCAAGAAAGTACACCAAAAACTGTTTTTGAATTCTCCGAATTAGTCGCTTGATATTATAGAGAATACAAGAGATATAGTAATAATATATTAAGAAGTAACAGACAGCTCTTACGACTTTTATATATACAGTGGATTTCATTTATTACGACCTTGGTTGTAATGACAATTTGCCTATAGCGACGTTAAATCTAAGCCCCTTGAATTTAAAGCATACTTTAGTACAAAATTCATGTGGCTATAGCGACTTTGGATGTAACGCCTATGTATGGTATAGAATATGGTAGGTCACGGTAATGGCAAGAAAACGAAGACTTTAACAATTGGATTTTATTTTCGATTTTATTTTCGTTAAAAGGCGGAAATCATTTCAAAATTGAAAAACGGTGAAAACAATGCTGATTTGTGCGAAGAAAAAACTATACATGTGTACGTGTCTGTATCTCTTTACCTTTGCCTGTAACGACTTCCAGATATAACGACGAAAATAGAGTGGTCCCTTCATCGTCGTTATACCCGAAGTCCATATATATATATATATATATATATATATATATATATATATATATATATATATATATATATATATATATATATATATATATATATATATATATCACGGGAAAGGAAAGGGTGGTCCGTTCTATGCCGGAACTACGGGTAAATCCAACTGGAGTGGTTAAAATAATAGACATATATGTAATAGATGGTTTATATTTCTAATTATATATATATATATAATATCAGCCCTTGACAATTTCTTAACTGCATACAAGCTGCGCATACAGCGTGAACCCTGCTTTTACATTGTTTACAATATTATAGACGGATCCAGAATATTTATAAAAAAAAAACATTAAAAATATTAAGAGAATATAAAAAAAACAACGATAATACGATCGGAGGAAAGGGATTGTTAGTAATGGAGACTGAGAATCCCATTGCTAGCAATATACCCAACCAGGTCGACCTCCTCGCGGTTCCCCCTGGAAACTATCATGGTTAATTACTGATGAATTCATCATGATGGTCTAACTGGCCTGTTTTCATTCTCATCGATCACCCTTCACTGGTGCTCCGCCAGCGTATCCCGTTAGCGCAGGCGGGGTTAAAAATACATAGGATGAGGATATCTTTTCGAATTTATACATATACATATAGTATATATATATAGTCTGGATCCATCTTAATAAACATATTTTTAACTACATACACAAAATAAACCTTTACAAATCTGATCGCGGTATGTATGTCCAACATCCATACATACACTTCACGTCTATCAAATGGGGTAAGCGGAGGGAATGGAAAACGACCCGCTTTCCATATTTATTTATGGTATTTTTAATCTAGTGAAATAATGTAAAAAATGGTATTACTTAAAGGGACCATCACAGGATGAAAAGGCAGGTCAGTTAGCCCATCGTGATGAATACATCTAGAATTCAGCACGATGCTTTCCCCCCAGGACCATCATAGGAGAAGATACTATCAATAGAGAGGGGAGGCACTGTTAGTAATGCGGACTACCAGTGCCATTGCTAGCAATATTAACAGGTCAACCTCCTCACGGTCCCCATGGAAACCATCAGACCTACCCCCCGACGATCAGGTTCATAAAGGCACCTGTACACTGTTGTACCGCGGAGCGAATGTTAGGGCACTCACACACTATCTAAAATAACCGTCCCCGTATAAAATACTCGAGTTACAACCGGCACTTAAGTTGAGCGATTAAAAAGATTTATTTTTAAATGGCCCGCGTAAACGATACTGTTGCAAAAAAAATTTTTTTTTTTAATAAATGAATATATTTTTTTTTATCTTTTTTTATTTAGAGGCTTTTATCCTATAAGGATATGTCGGCCTCATCGTGCCCTAATTTTATAAAATACAACTCACATACTTGAAACATTGATACATAAATAAATAATACATAATATCTATGTAGTCTATTTTCATAAAGGGAATTATTGATACAAAAATATAGTAATTAAAGATTTCGCCATTCTGGAGTGTGGCTCTGCGTATATATTTGAAAACAAACCAATCTCCCGTCTATTGAGACTATATTACTGTATCAATACTTGCCTTTGTGTTTTGTATTTCGTACATTCGGATATCGTATGGTGAACATCATCCAATGTGTTACAAACATCACAATTCGGATTATTAACCTTTTTTTTTTATAAGAAAAGCGAATTTTGCCAAATGAATACAATTTATTTGCATTATACATTTGTCTTTCCTTTGAGTAATATTTTTTTTTGTATTTTCCTAATTGAACTGTCAAGTCTTAAAATCATTAAACGAAATTTCTAATGTAAGTAGTATATTCATTTATTTTAACATTTATTATATAAGTAGGTCGGTATTATATGTATTTATGTAATATTTTATTATATATTTTAATATTTTATTGAACTGTATATTTGTTTATGTATTAATAGTTGTAGCACTTCAGCTGCTCGCTAACGACATGCTTTCTCACTGTACTGCGTTGACTGGAAGAGATCTCTGTCAGAGATAAGTCCACCCTTGCTCACAACATTTATAAATACATTATTTTATATGTAAGTTACAAGTGCAATAAAGAATATATATATAGAAGACTATCATCTTTGTGTTCTCATTTGTTTGATATGTATACATAGTACAGTAAGACGTTGGGTCCTGCTGTCTCATTCTGTCTCGTGCATGCGGTAGCGATAACGTGTCTATCATTCACTAATATATTTAGCACGATATTATACTACGCAATACGGCGCAAGCGAATTGTTTCGCTGTTGGGCAGGGTGCGTGTTAGCTCAAACAGTGTCCTGAAGACAATTGCTGACAAAATGGACTGTCCCATCGTAAAATATTGGGTGGGACAGGTTATCAATGCGAGAGCGTTACGACCGCTCATTTACTAACATAGGTTAAGTCAATTTATAACTAACAAAATGGGCCTTATGTAGTCTGATTAAATAAATATTATTATTTTTTGAATTTTACTAAAATTCTCATCTTCCCTCTTAAGGAGAGGAGATGGCAACTAGCCCCCGGCAGAAGCACAGCCGGCCGGGGTTCAGTGCCCCAGGGAGAGAAACCGGCGTACAATGCGGGCAGAATCTAAGAGCACCGCTTTCTGCATCTTTCCCGGGAGTGAGCCGCCTCGGAATCCCAACCGTCTGAGATGTTGTTCCAGACTGGTTGGGATAAGACCGTTCACCGACATAACGATTGGGATGATTTATTATTATTATTGAGTCTAGACTCTCAGAAGCGATGACGTTGTATATTAAAAATACCTCTCCTGTCTTTAATTGAAAAAAAAAAGGCACTAAAAGTACTCTTTCGTTTGCGCAGGCCATAAAAAAATTATATGAACTTTCATTAGCAAAATAGCTAGTTACGTTAAGCTAATTTGATCCTAAATAGTACATATAGAAGGTTCATTTTAATTTAAAACCGATTAACGCCAAACTTATGTGACGGAATAATAAATACCTAACCATAATTATATAAATTCAATAAATTATAACAGACATATCGTCACAGTCGTAGAATACTGACGGATCTGACAAATATTACATATATAGATCCGTCGGTATTCTACCACTATGACGAATTACAAACTTACAGTTTTACCAACATTGTAGATTTAACAAAACGTGTTGACCAACGTAAATAATTTAAATTTCTCGTCTTTTTCCACTGGCTCTGTCTTAATATTTTTTTTTATTTCCAAATTAATTATAATAAATAACTTAAAAAAAAATTAAAAGCAATCAAATGTGAAGAAAAAGGCTTTGGCTTCGACAAAATAAGATAAAATACGAGATACTTTTATTTTTATTCTGTAATTCTAAATTCAAAATGTTTTTAAGACAAAACTTTTTTTTTTAAGTAAAGAGATATCACTTAGAAAAAAAAGCTACGAAACATGACAAAGGAACATATAATTGGTAAAACTGTAAAACTGATCGGATGTTCGAGTTTAAATTATAAAATATTACAAAATCTTATAAAAATTACCTTTAATTTTTTCTTTCTCCGACCAGAGATTATAATCGAGGCGAGATATTGCGTCATACGCAAAAAGAATTCATACAAAAACACAAAAAAAAAAAATCTAAAACACAATTAAAAATATAATTTGCGCAAAGGAAACACTAACACTCAGCCATTTTGGTTTGCATAGCAACATTGTTACGCCTTATTTTTTTTTTTTGTATTATTTTGAATTATATAAAATTTACGTGCAGAGTTTAGCATCGTTTTTAAATGTAAGGCATACATACCGACCGGTATTATCAACATAATGAATAACTAAAACAAGTTTCATTTAAGAAACTTCCAAACAAACAATCATAGGACTTCAGGCCAATAAATTTGAACATACACATGTCTTCCATCTCGCTTACACCCCAATAGGAATAGCCATAAATAGAGAGAGATGTAAAACAATAACGATTTATCCTCCATCCCCCTTACACTTAGCGGTTATGTGTAAATAAAGTTAAATTTATTGGCATCAAACCTTGGTTTCCACACTTTCATTGGACTAAAATAATAAAATTTTATTTAAAATTCAAAATATCAGCGCGTTCTTTTTACCATAGATAATGTACTATCTATAATGTTTTTTTTTAATTTGCAATGTAAGCAGGCAAAGGTTACAATATCATACAGCTTTAAGTTTGACAAATGTCGACATTAGAAATAAATGTCGACGCAATTGAAGTTAATTTTATTTTTTAGTCCAAGTACATCTCATTCAAGTACATAAAGGAATTCTTGCAAAACAGTCTACAATTAGAAGGAGTAACTCCACTGCGAATTTTCATCTCGTGGTTTTTCGCGCCTTTATCAATAGATATTGGATTTTTGTTCGGATTTTCTTCCCTCTTTAATTAATTTATTAATCCCCTTATTCATAAATCGTTAAACCTCAAATATATTTTAGCTATTTAATTGTTTCGTCCCTTTCTTTTGGGCTAAATTCTCAATTTGAATGAAAGTGACAAAACACTGTAACAGTTAAAGTTTGCTTGTTTGTTCTATTGTACCGTAAAGTCTTAAATTATAGGATAAAAACTCATTCTTTTAGGACAAAGTTCTTAGAAAAAAGAATGAGTACAATGGCGGACTTATCCCATAAAAGGGATTTCCTTTGTAGGAGATTACAATTTTTATTAAAATGGATTTGGGTTTAAATATATAGTTCCCGCGTGTTGAATATTAGTTTATTATTAAGATCACTTCTGCGACTTTTCTCTTCCTATTTATTATAAACTTTTCTCACTTTTAAAAAAAATTTTGATGACATTATTTTTCTTCCCATTAACTGGATATTTTCGCGCCTTTTTGCCGCTTGTAATTGTAATTATTCTCACCTATTATTCCCCTACTTACTTCAATTATTTATTTATGTTTTTCATGACTTTTTAAAATATTTTTCCTAGTACAATTTATTATACATTTTTCATAAATATGTTACAGAATCTCGGTATGGTGATAGTGTAAAAATACATCATCAATAATAAAATAGCATCATGCTTTCTGAATCTCATCATCATCATCGTCATTCTCTTGTCAACCATTAACTATCCACTGCTGAACATCATTTCTTTTTATCACCGAAATACCTTAAAAAGCAGCTAAGCCAACAGAAAAAAATCTAAAATAAAAGAGAAGGAAAACTCGACATGAGTCCCTATGCCAAACCGTCTGGCAAGCGTGGCAATAGTAGTGAAATTTTATATCTAAATATCTAGTATCAGCGATTTCATTTGTAGTGATTTTTAACAGTCTATATAACAGTTTAAATAACAGTTGTGACGTATGATTTCACTTAGCGTATGATATTTCACCAGTTATATGTGAAATATTCCAAGCGTAGTGAAGATACGACTTTATAAGTAAGACTTTACTTGTAAGAGATACGATGAGAAATTTATGCGCAGAAAAAACGACGCGATGAAAATTAACAATAAAATTAATTCACCCTTATCTCAAGTCTATATCTAAAAAAATTCTTTGTCTAAACTCAAATCATACAAAACAAAGTACATACTTTCTTTTCTAAAGTCTACTTTTATGCGGATTTTTTGAGACACAAACAAAATTTGGTAATATTTAAAAACCTACGAATACGGGGGCTTATTGCACTAACAGTATTGGTCACAAAATTAATTTCTTACGCATATATTATAGCATTGTTAACAAAATATGTTTTTATTTTTAACTGAATTTAAAAATAAAATTCAGCCAATAAATTACAAATATAGCGCCACCTTTAAACTGGCTATAACATGGAACTGTGACCAAAAATATAAAAATAACTATAACCAGCTATAACTAGTTATAGCTGGGTTATAGTTAATTATAACTAGTTATATCTTGTTATAACTGGTTATACTGCCGATCACAGGTGACCCCCAGATTAGTTTACCTACGTTACCATCCTCTCCTCACAGCAAACAGCCACGTTTCGGCCGAGACAGACTTCAGCAGCGACTTGCTCATCTCTCCTGATCGGGCTCGCATGAATTCCTCGCTGCGTTTTGTTTCTTCTGTCGTTTCATATCTAAATTCAGGAGGCAGCCTACAGCACCAAAGTAACTGAAATGAAATAATATACAAATATAGTATTCCAATAAGTTGGTTCAGAGAATGGCAGAATTGGTCACCGCTCGACATCGACAGGGAATCTATCCTCACACTTTAGAACCAGAATGGTCATGCACAGTGCAGTTTCAGAGGATCTTCTTCCCACGAACACTCAGGATGTGGAGTGACCTTCCTGCCGAGGCTTTCCCTAGAGACTACGGGATAGGATTCTTCAAAAAGGATGTATAAAGGTTTCTTAAAGGTCGACAACATGCGCGATCCCTCTTTGGCGTTACAGGCGCCCAGACTATGGTAAACCCCGTTTACCATCAAGGCACCGTATGCTTATTTGCAATCATAGTAGTATAAAGAAGTTTTTGTACCTTCTTTTCCTTTCGAAATAGGAGGGGTGGTGGGAGGAGGGACAAAAAGAAAATAACTTTTTAGATGCGTTTTGTTAAGACTGGCATTTTGTTTGTTTGTTTGTTAAAACTTATTGCCTAAAGACAAATAAAACAAATAAAATTCTTAAACTCTTTAAACATTTGATTGATTTTCATGAAAGATCTTTTAATACAACTGAAAATTACTGAAAAACTGACGACCCACTTCATAGAAAGCGCTATGGTATTTCTTTTATGGATTATAATGGAATAGTAACCCCACCCGCGCTATCGGTATACACCGGCGGGGCATCAGTGAGGCGTGATAGGTGAGGATGAAGCAGGTATCGGTATACCTACCTTTTCATCCTCACCTATCACCCCTCACTGGTGCCCCGCCAGTGTTTACCGATAGCGCAGGCAGGGTTGCCATTCCATTATCGTCCATTAAAAAAAAAACCGCCGGTGAGAACTAGTGGAGTATATACCAGGTATTCGTGATGAAAAAGAGCATAAGCAAATTTTTTCCCCGGTCACGTTAAGGTCAAAATTAACTATTATATTTTTAAATAGTAAATAAATAAGACAGCTGCTGATTTTCACCACCGTACAACCCGCCACAAACTAAAGTTCCATCTCAACCATCTGGACGAGTGGCGGTCCTCCAACGTGCGTTTTTCAAGGCACTTTCTTCCACGCACAACCACTCTTTGGAATCAACTTCCAGCAGCAGTATTTCCGTACCGATACGACATCATAACCTTCAAAAGAGCATATTCCTTTTTAAAAGGCCGGCAGTACACCTGCGATGCCTTTGATGTTGCAGATGATCATGGGCAGCGGTAGTCGCTTACCATCAAGTGAGCCGCATGCTCGTTGGCCCCCCTGTGTTATACAAAAAAATACTCACCCCTCATGTTCCAAAAAGAGCGCCTTCAACGCACCCCGGGACCAGTACGACATCGCGTACGAGAGGAGCTTCATCGATAGCGGGTTCACTCGCAGGAAGTTGCCGCAGAACACGACCTGGTGATGAGGTTATTATTGTTAGCAGCCGACTTCCTAACAGCATTTATAGAGGGGGGGGGGGGAGCATTACTAGATTTTTTCTATACAACTTAGAATGGCAAACAAGCTGACGGCCCAACTGATGAAAAGTGGTAACCGTCGTCTATAGACATGAGCAGTACCATAGACACAACAGAGTATACTGATTCGCCCATGATACCCCCCATGCGTTGCCATTCCTGAGGACTCAGGTGTTATTCCTCTGTACCCAGTTAATTCACGCCATATCCCACCCTTCAAACCGAAACACAGCCATGCAAACACAACTGCTTCACGGTTGAAACACGAATGGATATATATTTATATATGAATATATATTCTTTAAACTATAAACTGTGTCCAATATATAATCTAGTAATGTAAAATTTGTCATTGACAAATAATTGACATATCAAACATTTTCTATACACTAGCCTGCTATGAATTGAGAAACATAGCAACTGATGGTGTATCTTTCATTCTCTTTTTACTAATTATATTTGCGTAAGAAGAAAGGAGGCAAACATGTGATTTACAGTTTTTATTTTATCATTCCTTCTATGTAATTCCTTGTTCTTAGCTATTTACTAATAGCTAATTACATTCGCTTTGTTCATTTCATACGATCGTTCATTTCATACATTCGTTCATTTCATACATTCTTTCATTTCGTTTATTTCATACATTCGTTCATTTCATACATTCGTTCATTTCGTTCATTTCATACATTCGCTCATTTGGTTTATTTCATACATTCGTTCATTTCATACATTCGTTCATTTCATACATTCGTTCATTTCATACATTCGCTCATTTGGTTTATTTCATACATTCGTTCATTTCATACATTCGTTCATTTCATACATTCGTTCATTTCGTTCATTTCATACATTCGTTCATTTCGTTCATTTCATACATTCGTTCATTTCGTTCATTTCATACATTCGTTCATTTCGTTCATTTCATACATTCGTTCATTTCATACATTCGTTCATTTCGTTCATTTCATACATTCGTTCATTTCGTTTATTTCATACATTCGTTCATTTCGTTCATTTCATACATTCGTTCATTTCATACATTCGTTCATTTCATTTATTTCATACATTCGTTCATTTCGTTCATTCATACATTCGTCCATTTCGTTTATTTCATACATTCGTTCAAATCGTTCGCTGCGTTCATTTGGTTGGCTCCATTCCCCGTATCCGCTGCAGTGGCAGTGCATGTGGCCGTACCCGCTCGATGTCCTCGTTGCAGGCGCACAGCCGCGCGATGGAGCCGATGTTGTTGGTGATGGTGACGAGCGTGGCGCGCGCCAGGTCCTCGCGGGACACCTTCGCACGACGCTCCGCCGAGCACATGTGACCGAAGCTGCGGGGAGGGACGCTGTCTTACTCATGGGACGGTCGATCACATGGGAACACGAGACGTGGTCGAGTTCCAATGTGTGCGGGTTACCATGGCATTATCACCCATTAAAAAAAAACATACAAACGTATATTTGTTGTAGTCAAAACTCTTAACCAGTCAAAAGTACTATTGACTAGCAAAATCTACTTTTTTTTCAAGGTTTGCGGTACAGTATTTAAGACATCCCGTCCTCGCTATTGGATACGGGTGACGGAATGCCTATACAAGAGGGTACATGGTGGGCGCAGTTTAGACGCAATATTTGAGGAGCATTAGGAAGGCAGGTACCAGAGGGAGACTTTGTACAAAAGTCGATTGCTTGGGTACCTCTGTCCCATTCGTGTTTTAACCGTGAAACAGTTGTGTTAAGCATAGCTGTGTTTCGGTTTGAAGGGTGGGATATGGCGTGAAATTACTGGGTACAGAAGAATAACACCTGAGTCCTCAGGAATGGCAACGCATGGGGGGTATCATGGACGAAACGGTATACTCTGTTGTGTCCATGGTACTGCACATGTAAATGGGCGACAGTTGCCACTTTCCATCAGGTGGACCGTCAGCTTGTTTGCCATTCTAAGTTGTATAAAAAAAAAAAAGGTACTACGGCCGGATACTGCAACAAAAGAGTATGAGGTCGGCCCCCGAACTGGCCTCTGCTGTCTACCGGTCTCCAGTTCGAGGGACGACCGATCACCGGCCGTAAGAGATGACGCAGGGCGTCTATGAAAACACACCAGTCATGTAGTTGCATTAATCTAAAGTACTTTTGACTGAACAGGTCGGTCAAAAGTGGTTTTAACTGGAAATTATTGGTTATTAGTATTTTTGACTGCAAATTTGCGGTTAGGTTAGGTTTCTTTTTTTTAAAGGATGATAATGGAATGGTAACCTCGCCTGCGCTATCGGGATACGTTGGCGGAGCCAGTGAAGAATGATAGGTGAGGATGAAAGCAGGTCAGTTGGCCCATACTGACCAATTTAACAAAAATTAACCACGACGATTGCCAGAGCGTGGAGGTGGACCTAATAGGGCATATTGCTAGACAATAAAGAGAGACACTGCTGTCCATCCCTCGCCCTCCCTTAGTCGCCTCTTACGACACCCACGGGAAAGGAAGGGGTGGCCCATTCTACGCCGGGACCACACGAAGGTCGCACTTTTGTCTACGACGTATAATATTAAATCTTTTTAACGTATCCAATGTAACTTATGTACAATAAAGATATTAAAGTGCAATTTTTTTTGCCAAAAAACAAAGTTTATAAGACTATCTTTCAATTTACAACCAATGGCGTAGCTACCGGAGAGCTAGACGGGACAGTACCCCAGAGTTCCCAAAATCAGAGGGCCCTCGAACTCGTTCAAACTATAAGTTGAACTAGTGAAAATTTCTCCCACATTCGTAACATACGAGTACATTTTTTTTTATACAACTTAGAATGGCAAACAAGCTAACGGCCCACCTGATGGAAAGTGGTAACCGTCGCCTATAGACATGAGCAGTACCATGCACATAACAGAGTATACTGTTTCGCCCATGATACCCCTCATACGTTGCCATTCCTGAGGACTCAGGTGTTATTCCTCTGTACCCAGTAAATTCACACCATAACCCACCAAATTCAAACCGAAACACAGCCATGCAAACACAACTGCTTCACGGTTAAAACACGAATGGGACAGAGGTACCCAAGCAATCGACTTTTGTACAAAGTCTCCCTCTGGTGGAGGATGGATACATAAATCAAAACCCCCCTCCCCTTCCTATCCCGACACTATGACCCGCAAAAAATCTTGCATAAAATCAATACCTCCATCACCGGTTAATCCACACAATAGTATATAGAAAAACACACTTTATGCCAATACAATAAGGCCGAATTTCGAAACCAGATAGAGTACATTAAAACATTACCGATAGAGGTCCCGTGTATGAGGGTTTTATCGGTACATACAATACATTTAAGTCAAAAAATAAGGCAATATAAGTTATAGTAAACGTTCTTTATTCATTCAGTCAGTGAGAAAGTCACCTTAATAAGTCAGTCAGGGAGCCTAACACCTACTAACAGCCAGCCGTCAGTCAGTGAGCGAGCCAACAGCCCAGCCTATTCCCTGTTGACGACCAAATCCGCCGAGCAGAACGTACCTCGCATTGTCGTCGTAGATCGTCAGCCGTGTTAGTAATTGGTGTTGTTACTGAATCAGTCAGCCATGACAACACGTTAGGAAATTAAATCGACGAGTCAGTCACTGAGCAGTGTCAGTCAGCGAGCTAACCTTTCAGTCTCATTGCTTACCAATAAGAATATCATACCAACCTATATAGTTAGATTAACATATGAATTTATTCAGTCAGATATATAAAGGTCTGTCAGTCGGTTAGCCTAGTCAGTCAGACAGTAATTTGTCAGTAAGCCAGCGGTCAGTCAGTGAGCCAACGGTCAGTCAGTGAGCCAACGGTCAGTCAGTGAGCCAACGGTCAGTCAATGAGCCAGCGGTCAGTCAGTGAGCCAGCGGTCAGTCAGTGAGCGAGCCAACCGTCCCGTTACCTGCTAGCGACCAGATCCCCGGGCAGGCCGAACCTCGCGTAGTCCCCGCCGTATATGTCGCGGACGAGCTTGTCGACGGTGGTGTTGTCCCCGGAGGCGGCGAGCGAGATCGCCTCCTCGAAGCTGCTGCAGCCGGTCAGCAGGCAGCACAGGCCGAGGAACGTCCCACCGCCAAGACTGGAACATTGCATTTCAATCTATACTATTGTTATAAAGAGAAAAGATTTACCCCCTTATTCATAAAAACCAAAACCTACTGCTATAAATCTATTTTAACTATTACACTGTTTTGCTATGTCAGCAGGTAACCTGTTCCACAGTTGCGCAGCACGAAATGTAAACGTTTAAAAAAAAATGCGTCTTGCAAGAAGGGAGTTCTAAAACTTTGGACTGGAACAGGCAAGCACGCTTGGGACGTGTGGGAGGGGGCAGGATTTGAAACTGATTTGAAACAGGATTCTTTCATCTATAGAAAATTATATTATTAATGAATAACATAGGCATACATTCATTTTCACCTATCATCCCTCACTGGTACCATGCCAGCGTATACCGTTACCATTCCATTATTATCCTTTAAAAACATAACCCTGACAGAACCCGAGTACCTGGTGCCGCTGACGCGGTAGTAGTCGTCGGGCGCGTTCACCACCAGCATGGAGACGCCGCTGCCGATGTTCACCAGCAGGAACGGGTACGGGCTGGAGAAGTCGAACGGTTTCCGCACGTACATACTGAGCGCCGCCTCCGAGTACGGCGGCTGCGGGGATGAACACAGAAAGATAAAAAATCATAAATAATTTTTTTTATGCAACTTAGAATGACAAACAGGCTGACGGCCCACCTGATGGAAAGTGGTAACCGTCGCCTATAGACATGAGCAGTACCATGGACATAACAGAGTATACTGTTTCGTCCATGATACCCCCATGCGTTGCCATTCTTGAGGATTCAGGTGTTATTCCTCTGTACTCAGTAAATTCACGCCATATCCCACCTTTCAAACCGAAACACAGCCATTCAAACACAACTGCTTCACGGTTGTAACACGATGGGACAGAGGTACCCAAGCAATCGACTTTTGTACAAAGTCTCCCTCTGAAAATTCAACTTTGGTCTTGTGGTCCACCTTGGAAACCATTATGACTAATACTTAATTCATTTGTCACGATGGACTAACAGACCTGCTCTCATCCTCATCTATCACTCTTCACTGGTGCCCCGCCGGTGTATACCGATAGCGCGGGTGGGGTTACCATTCCATTATCATCCATTAAAAAAAAAAAAGAACCAATAGATAATTACGGAATCGGTGGAGGACTGGTGCACGGGCTGCTCGTCAGGGGGCGCCCAGTAGTAGCACTCGTGCGAGTTCATGCTGTCGGAGAACAGGACGCCAGCTATCAGCGCGTCCAGCTCGTCCATCTTCGACAGGCGCATGTTCACTTCCTGCAATTCAAACGGACGGCTGCAGACCAGGCGCGCTCAAACTTGATTTGCTGGTGATCTACCTCAACATTACAAATATGGTTAGACTATAATCGATCGACTCTGCATGTGTTTTTTTATACCAACTAATGAGGTGGCAATGAAGCATTCGGCCCACCTGATGGTAAACTGTTACAGTAGCCTATGAACGTCTGCAATTCTTGGGGTATTACGCGCCGCGTTGCCGACCCGAAAGAAACCTCTTTACCACCTCCCCTTAAGAAGAACCCCATGCCGTAGTCTCTTGGGAAAACCTCGGCAGGGAGCTCATTCCATAACCTGAGCCCATTCCATAATCTGAAACTATCATATATACAAGTTATATATATATATATATATATATATATATATATATATATATATATATATATATAGACCGTTCATCTGAATCAGCTGTTTTCGTTTCGGCCAACCTGTAACCCCCCTCTGCCCCCACCTCTGTATAATGTACCTTAATGAAATCCTCCTCGAACTTGTAAGCGCCGCCGCCGGTCGCGTATATGGTCTTCACCAGGTCGGCCATGCCCTTGGAGCGCGCCAGCTGCAGGAAGGCGCCCACCTCCGACGTGGGAAACCTTATGAAGTGCAGCGTGCCGCGCCTTCCTCGGATCGTCACGTTGTCCATCTGGTGAGGTGGGCAGGTCGTCATTTATTTTATAAACTGACTTTAAATTACTTAACACTAGCCGTTACCTGCGACTCTGTTCGCCCGGGATGTTTTTTTTTTTTATGAATGATAATGGAAAGGTTACCGCGCCTGCGCTATCGATATACGGTATATCAGTAACCTCCCCGTGATCCCCCTGGAAACCATCGTGCTGAATTCTAGATGTATTCATCACGATGGGCTAACTGACCTGTCTTTTCATTCTCACCTATCATCCCTCACTAAACCCCGCCAGCGTATACCGTTAGCACAGGCGGGGTTACTATTCCATTATCATCCATTCTCACCTATCATCCCTCACTAATACCCCGCCAGCGTATACAGCCAGCACCTACTTAGCTAGTTACCATTCCATCATTATCCATCCTCACTTATCATCCCTCACTAGTACCCCGCCAGCGTATACAGCCAGCACCTACTTAGCTAGTTACCATTCCATCATTATCCATCCTCACCTATGATCCCTCACTAGTACCCCGCCAGCGTATACCGTTAGCACCTACTTAGCTAGTTACCATTCCATTATCATCCATCCTCACTTATCATCCCTCACTAATACCCCGCCAGCGTATACAGCCAGCACCTACTTAGCTAGTTACCATTCCATCATTATCCATCCTCACCTATGATCCCTCACTAGTACCCCGCCAGCGTATACCGTTAGCACCTACTTAGCTAGTTACCATTCCATTATCATCCATCCTCACTTATCATCCCTCACTAATACCCCGCCAGCGTATACAGCCAGCACCTACTTAGCTAGTTACCATTCCATCATTATCCATCCTCACCTATGATCCCTCACTAGTACCCCGCCAGCGTATACCGTTAGCACCTACTTAGCTAGTTACCATTCCATTATCATCCATCCTTACTTATCATCCCTCACTAGTACCCCGCCAGCGTATACCGTTAGCACCTACTTAGCTAGTTACCATTCCATTATCATCCATCCTCACTTATCATCCCTCACTAGTACCCCGCCAGCGTATACAGTTAGCACCTTCTTAGTTAGCTACCATTCCATCATCATCCATTAATAAAAAAAAACCTTTTTTTAAGTCGATTGAAAATATCCACCGACCTGAAGGTGAACGTCGCGGCGTCCTGTCTTGCCGTACGCCGAGTTCCTGGTCAGGTACCGCCTGATGTTCTTCAGCACCTCGGTCTCCTTGTCCAGTTCGCGCCGGTTCGTCTCGCGCGGCTCGAAGTACACCAACTTAGTGAGGGTGCCGCCGATGTCCATACCGAACCAGGGCATCGCTGGAAACCATCATAAGGAAAGGAATTGTTAGTAATACCGACTACCAGATGCATTGCTAGCAATGTACCGTTTTTTTTATGGGTAAAAGTGGTATAGTAACCCCGCCTGCGTTATCGGGATACGCTGGCGGTGCACCAGTGAAGGGTGATAGATGAGAATGAAAACAGGCCAGTTAGCCCATCATAATGAATTCATCAGGAATTAACCATGATAGTTTCCAGGGAGAACTGCGAGGAGGTCGACCTGGTTGGGTATATTGCTAGCAATGGGATTTTCAGTCTTCATTACTAACAATCCCTTTCCCCCCGCAATATACCCTGTTAGGTCGCCTTCCACGTGGTCCTCTCTGGAAACCATCGTGCTGAATTCCAGGTCTATTCATCACGATGGGCTAACTGACCTGCCTTTTCAGGGGCGGAAGGTATTGTTAGTAATGGAGAGGTTAGTCCTTATTACTATCAATATTTTATTTTATGCAACTTAAAATGGCAAACAAGCTGACGGCCCACCTGATGGAAAGTGGTAACCGTCGCCTATAAAAATGAGCAGTACCGTGGATATAACAGAGTATACTATTTTGCCCATGATACCTCCAATGCGTTGCCATTCCTGAGGACTCAGGTGTTATTCCTCTGTACCCTGTAAATTCACTGCCATATGTGCCGGCTGTGTTTCGGTTTAAAGGGTGGGATATGGCGTGAATTTACTGGGTACAGAGGAATAACACCTGAGTCCTCAGGAATGGCAATTCATGGGGGTATCATGGGCGAAACAGTATACTCTGTTATGTCCATGGTACTGCTCATGTCTATAGGCGACGGTTACCACTTTCCATCAGGTGGGCCGTCAGCTTGTTTGCCATTCTAAGTAGTAAAAAAAAACTAGAAAATGAACAATTAATACATAATACATACGTGGCGTGTTGTTGTCGGGGGGTGTAGGTGGCGCTGGCTCCGCCATGTTGGAGTTCTGATTGCTCATAGGCGGCGAGTACGGCGAATGTCTCGCTCGTTTCAACAGTTTGTTCCTACAGTTGGAAAGAGATGGCATGATTACAGTAACATATCAGAGCGAGACAAATAGACAGGTCATTAAAAGAAAATATTTATATTTAAATAAACTCAGTTCGGAATGTAATTTTAGTTGAGAAGAACAGACAAGAAGCACAGCTATTGCTTTTTTAACATAACATGACAAATTCATATTAATAAAAGAAAGAAAAAAGCTACAACGGTAAAATCAATAAAATTGGGGGAAACGGATTGTTGGTAATGGAGTCTAACTGACCCATTGCTAGCACTACACCCTATCAGGTCTACCTCCACGCAGTACGTCCTGGAAACCGCGTAAACGATTCTTGTTGAATTCGTCACGATGGGCTAACTGACCTGCTTTCATCGTCATCTATCACCCTTCACTGGTGCTCCGCCAGCATATACCGTTAGCGCAGGCGGGGCTACCATACCATTTTCATCAACCAAAAAAAAAATTGGTTGCCAGAGGGAACCGTGTGGAGGTCGACTTGATAAGGGCGTATTGATAGCAATGGGCCCGTCAAACTCTATTGCTAATAATCCCTTTCCCCCCAGATGCTGGACGTTACTATTTCATTCTATCACATGGACGAAGTAGCGACAACAATTCCATTAGTAGAATCGTTTATATTCTATTTAGGTAGGCAGGATAGATAGATAGATATTCCTTATTGTTTCCTCCAAAAGATTACAATAGTAAACTTATTATAAATATAAACAATTACAAGAAATGATCACAGTGAGAAAACAATGGGCGGCCTTATCGCTAAGAGCGATCTCTTGCAGGCAACCTTTGGATGGAGAGGAGTAATTATAAACAATTTGATAGTTACCTAGTGAGAACTGGAAGCGGCGCCGCGCGGCCCTCCCGCCCGCACGCCGCAAGGCACCCCTCACACCGGTGAAGGCGCATCTGCACATAGGAACATTATTTTAATTAAGACAAAAATATATTTATTTAACAAAGTACCATAAAGATGTATGACTTTAGCCCTGGGGGGTGATATTGGCCCAAAATTGGTAAAAGTTTGAACCTCCCGCCAGACGGATCTCGTAGTCTTTACCGGAAAAGTACACGTGGCAATCGATAGATAGAAAAAAAAAATTGTAATAACCTAATAAAGACAAGTTGTTTTTTTCTTTTTTTAATGGATGATAATGGAATGGTAACCCCACCCGCGCTATCGGTATACACAGGCGGGGCACCAGTGAAGGATGATAGGTGAGGATGAAGTAGGTCAGTTAGCCCATCGTGACGAATTCAACATGTTCACGATGGTTTCCAGGGAGAACCACGTGGAGGTTGACCTGATAGGGCATATTGCTAGCAATGGGGCTGTCAAACTCCATTGCTAACAATCCCTTTCCCCTCAATGAGGACAAGTTGTTGATTTATTTGATGAAAAATTGTTTTTCTTACCAATACAAAGATTTGTGGATTATTATGTTTTTTTTTAATGGGTGAAAATGGCATGGTAACCCCGCCTTTTTTTTGTTTAACGTGTGGAAAACCTTCAGCAAGACCGTCCCATCTGCCGGAGGGAAGGCAGCTGGGATGTGTGGGATTCGTAACCACTAAAAACCACACGACGTACCTCGAGGCGCTTATGTTGGATCCCGGGTTCCCGTTTGTACGACTACCGAGTATCCAACGCGACGGCCCGCCCTGTAGGTGGTGTAGGGCAAGCCTCCTCTCTTAGTTACGGTGGGGAATGTCCCTCCTACCCTACCATCACAGGAGGGCACGGATACGTGCGCACACCTCCTAGGGTCATATGTAAAGTGTGCCTCATGGTAACCCCGCCTGCGCTATCTGTATACACTGGCAGGATACCAGTGAGAGGTGATAGGTGAGACTGAAAAGGCCGGTCAGTTAGCCCATCGCGACTAATTCTACGATAAATTAGTCATGATTGTTTCCAGGGGGAACCGCGAGGAGATCGACCTGGTTGGGGTATATTGCTAGCAATGGGATTCTCAGTCTCCGTTACTAACAATCCCTTTCCCCCCACTATGACGATATTATGTACTCCCGCCTACAAAATAACGTCACAGATGATTTTAAACGTTTAATATATTATTCGTAAACATTACCAACCTATTGATTCGTCCTCTAATGTTTTATTTAAACAATTGTAGTAGATTTACGTATGACATATGACACTTGAATGTATAAACAATGCGGTTACAATAATACAATGCTTTTAGTAATTTAAAAAAGATCTCTCGTATTTTTTTTTAAGACAAAGGTGGCGAACAAGCGTACACTTCACCACACATGTGATCAATCACACATTTGTACAAAGTCTCTCTGTGGTGAACCACAGGGAGACTTTGTACAAAAGTCGTTTGCTTGGCCACCTCTGTCACATTCGTGTTTCTACCGTGAAGCAGTTGTGTTTGCATGGCTGTGTTTCGGTCTGAAGGGTGGGATATGGCGTGAATTTACAGGGTACAGAGGAATAACACCTGAGTCCTTAGGAATGGCAACGCATGGTAGTATCATGGACGAAACAGTATACTCTGTTATGTCCACGGTACTGCTCATGTCTATAGGCGACGGTAATCACTTTTTCAGGTAGGCCGTCAGCTTGTTTGCCATTCTAAGTTACATAAAAAAAGCATTCAGCCTGTAGTCTTTAGGAAAACCCACGAAAAAGAATTAAAAAAAAAGAAGGTTCTTAGTACAGTTGCACTATTTTCTATGTTTATTACCCCATAACTCCAGGGGGGAAAGGGATTTTTAGTAATGGAGACTGAGAATCCCATTGCTAGCAATATACCCAACCATGTCGACTTCCTCGCGGTTCCCCCTGGAAACTATCATGGTTAGAGATGGGCAATCCACCTGGGTGGGTTTAAAGTCTGGTGGGTAAAAACCGGGTGTTTTGGGTTTATTGGGTTTAAACCCCATAAACACCCAAATTTTTGGGTGTTTATGATTTTGTACTTCATCATCGTCATCTCAGCCGCAAGACGTCCACTATACTGGACATAGACAATATTATTATGCAGCCTACAGAATAAAAAACTTTTAATTTGATTTTGAGTTTATTAAGAAAGAGATGAAAGTAAAATGTAAAACTACAGTCAATCACTGTCAGATTCAGAGTTATTACAAGCGATGAATTGTATAGGTTCGATAGGCTCTATTTCGTCTAAACTGTTATGTTCATTTACTTGCTCAATGAAAGCTTCTAAGGTATTTTCTTCATTAAACTGAATGTTTAAGATTATTAAGCTTTATGTTTAAGATTCCAGTTATAACAAATGAATGAAATTTTTTCAGTTCTTTCAGTTGTAAGTCGATTTCTTTTGTTATTATGTATGTAGCCTTGGATACTAAAGGAACGCTCAGTGGCTGCCGAAGTACAGGGAGCTGATAGAATACGAATCGCTACTTTGCTTAACTCAGTGGAACCACAAATACCTTTCCACCATATTAGGGGCTCAATGCTATCTAATGAGCTCCATACAAATCCTCTGGCCCAAAAGTTTTCTTTAGCTTTATAACACGCCAAATCTGCCATTACATTTGACAAACTTAAGTGTTGGCTTAAATTGTAGATAAACTCCATACCCTTAAGTTCTTCCTCTTGAGTAAGTTCGACTCCTAGAGTCCTGGGGTCTAGAATATATGCTGCAAAATGTATTGGCCTCATTGCCATATTGCATCTTGAAGATACTGATGTTAGAATCTGCTGTTTGCTTTCTTCGCTCAATGTCGAAATCTCATTTAATGCAAAACGTATCTTAGCTTGTACATCTCTAAATGTAATGTATGTGCGATGCAAACGATTCTGGTCGCTCTCTAAGTAAAATATGCTTTCAGTGACTGGTTCCAAAATACTTATACATTCCCCTGTCTTCGTCCAGAAATCATCACTTAGAATTAAATCTTTAATATCTCTTGAAATTACCACATCTTCTCTAACTGTTAATATTTGCAAAGCTATCTTATTTGCTTTCAAACTTTTTAACGAAGTAACATGACTTCCCCATCTTGTAGCACAAGGCAATTTTAGTGTTTGTGTAGAATCTTCACCCTGCCTTGATTTTATCAACAAGGAACTTAATCGTTGACTCCTTTTAACAGTTTTTATTATATTTATGGCTTGCATAATAAACACAGTTACTTCTTGTATCTTTACAATATCTTGGCACAACAAGTTAAGGATATGTGCACAGCAACCGAGAGGAACAACATGTGGATATTTGAGTTTTGTTAATTCGAATGCCTTTTGTATATTTCTAGCGTTATCGCCAATAAGTACAAGAAACTTATTTGCTCCATACACTTTCATTACTTTTTCAACTTCTTGGCTAAGGTATTCACTAGTGTGAGGATTACTTTCTGTATTCAAACTTTTAACGTATGCAGGTTGAGGTTTTGATATAAGAAAGTTTATTATTCCTTCATTTCTTAAATTAGACCAGCCATCGCACTGAAGGTGTAAGTAACTACAAGCATTTAGTTCCTCATTTAACTCAAAACGCATTTCTCTATATATTTTATCTAAGTATTTTGTCGCTAAAGCTTTACGTGAAGGTATTTTAAATTTTGGTTGCAATTTTTCGAAAAATTGTATCCATAAAGGATGTTGCACCATCGATAATGGCGTCCCTGTTACAAATATAGCTCTCGCTAATTCTGTTTTTATATGATCATCGGTGTCTTGAAACTCAGCATTTATTGTAGTGTTAGCAGACGACGAGGGGCTTATAAAAGAATCATTTGTCTCTATCTCTGACAGTCCAGACATTTTGGTTTTGGACGAGCTATCTTTTATAAGTTTCATAGAGTCTTTTAATGTTTCTGGAGATTTTGGACAAGTGATAAGATGTTGAAGCATTTTGGCAGCATTACTGAATTTGTAGACCTTATTACAAAGCTTGCAAGAAACAGACTTGTTTGGTAAAGTACGGTAGTGCTCCCATATGCGTAAATCTTTAGGTCTCCCCATTGAACCTAAAAAAATGAACGATGATTAGTTGGTCTGACGAAAATTCAACAATAGAGTGCCTATTTTTTTACAATGATTATTTCTTGTTATTTACAATAAATTTATTAAAAAAATAATAAAATAAATACAAAAAACCTTTGTAAAATTACATCTCCTCGGAGGATTAAACGCAGACGCTAGTTTATTATCGTATTGTTCTGTATTTTTCTCAGCAACTTCTTTAATTCGATTAGGTACTTACGCATATTATGTTAAAAATAAATATCTAGTACACATCTTAGGCTATCCACCATTATTATCCAATGACGACTCTCAGCTAACTATGCACTATCATCCAAAATAAACGTGTATGGAAAATTTTATCCCAGTCGGTTGAGGATTGAGGATAATTGCATCAACATACGAACATACCTACATACTTTTATTTACATAACGCAAGCTAAATAAAAGCTTGTAATAATACATCTAATTTTAAGTTAAAATTGTTAAGTGATCATGATATAATTGTATCATTCAAAAATCCACTTACCTTTAATTATTTCTTGTTAAGTATAAATATTATTTCAAATCTGCTCCCTTAATATGCACTTTTTTACTGCTTTTCCTACCTAACACGTTACCAGGAAGTCACGTTACCAGAGTCAGAGTAATAGTGAACACGTTTGACAGTGATTGTCGTCGCCTCATATTCAGCGTCGACGAATAGGGGAATCCCCAGTCATAATGTATTGCATGCGTGGCGGTCTTACTTCAAATCCATAAACAAAGAGATAATTACAGAACTCGATACTAGATGGCGCTGTTTTTGTTTGAAGAAAGTTTGCGGGCTAAAATACATAGAATTTCATCAATGACTTCCACAAAGAACAACATTTCTGTTTTTTCTAAGTCCGTATCTCTTCCGTATATTTCATAAGATATAAGCTTGGGCTACATTGTTATGCAACGTGATTTTGTCGCTGTCTTGCTAGCAGGGTTGACAGATATACGATTTAAATCGTACTCATACTATTATTTGTCTATTTTTTAATGTACGATCGTAAAGATTATGATCGTAATTCGCACAAAAACATACGACTTTTTGGTTACCTGGCAACATTTTTATTATGAAACGAACATGCTCACATCATCAGTCACATGCAACAATTTATTGGGGATTTCCCCTTCACATCTGGCAGTCCTGCTTGCTAGAATATAGGTAAGTCAGCCACAGTTACTGACGATCGATATTTAAAGGGTATTGTTTTTGTGCTAAATATTTCATAAAAACGTTATTTAATACTTTGTGGATTATTAATTTAGTTGATAATCACTGGAAGTAAAATGGATGCTAATTTGAGAGATCAAGATCTTCGTATAAAACAGTTAATAAAAGAAAATCTACGTAAGTACTCTTTTTATACCTAGGTAGGTAAGGTATAATAAACACAAAAGGTACTTAGATCGCGTGTGTTCGAAGCATTTATTCTAATAAATTTAATTTAAAATTGTAGAAAGAAAAAAATGTCTGCCAAGCCGTAGCCGAAGCCGATCTCCAAATATATTTGGCGATAGTGAGACCCAGTGTCCAGATGATTTACCCAGCGTCGTCGCAACAAAGAAAAAAAAACGAGGATAAAGTAAAAGAAAATTTACTGAAAGAAGAAACAAACTGTTCTAAATGCTTAATTTATGGAGAAGAGGATAAAAGAAATGAGTATTTCGGACTGTTAGTGGCTCAAGAATTTAAATATATACGGCCATGTGTGCGAACGAGGTGTTATGAAGAAATTTTAAAGTATCTACGGGAAGCAAAAGGCCAACATGTTGATCAACTGCAACATGAAAACACTGAAAATTAATTACTTTCATTTTATTATATATAGATTTTTAAAATTTCCTGAAATATTATTAGTTAACGTTTTATTTAATATTGTAGAATTGATCAATACAATTTATAAAAATAATTTATTGGTATTACTTACATATTTTCAAAAAAATACGTAAAAACCTATTTTTTTGGGTGATTATGGGAGTTTATGGGTGTTTATTGGGTTTTTACCAAAGCACCGGGTTTAAACCCGGTGCTTTGCCCATCTGTAATCATGGTTAATTCCTGATGAATTTTTCATGATGGGATAACTGGCCTGTTTTCATTCTCATCTATAACCCTTCACTGGTGCTCCGCCAGCGTATCCCGTTAGCGCAGGCGGGGTTACCATATCATTTTCACCCATCAAAAAAAAAACCTCATAATGCCGTCGGTTGTAAACCGATTTGAAAAATTCTTCTCTTTATCTTTTCAGATATACTTACAGATTTTATCATAATTATCTCATTAGTTTAATTTTTAAATAAAAATAACAGATTTTTCTATAACTAAAGTTGTTTGTATTTGTTTTTGCGGAACACAATCTTAAAATACCATATACTATATGTATCCTGCGGCTGCACTCGCATTAAGCAATACATAAAATATCCATTACTATCCTAATGGTACAGATGGGCAGCAGGGTCCCTCTTAAAACATCACCAAAACCTAACTGCGGTTGCTAAACCGTCTGCCAAACGTGGCAACTACTGTCAATACAATAGGGAAAGGCCTATTCACAAGTAGACAGTTTAACAGCTGATAAAATAAACAGCAAAAGTTAAGTTTAGGTAATTTCTAAAAATATAATACATACTTTGTTTTAACAGGTGATATGTAAAGTTCTTATTTAGTAAGTTAATGACATATTAAATATGCTAATTACATATTTAATTATATATTTTTAACGACATTCATTCGACATTAATATCATTTGAACAATTAAATATTAATAACTAATTTTTTTTATACAACTTAGAATGGCAAACAAGCTGACGGCCCACCTGACGAAAAGTGGTAACCGTCGCCTATAGACATGAGCAGTACCATGGACATAACAGAGTATACTGTTTCACCCATAATACCCCCCATGCGTTGCCATTCCTGAGGACTCAGGTGTTATTCCTCTGTACCCAGTAAATTCACGCCATATCCCACCCTTCAAATCGAAACACAGCCATGCAAACACAACTGCTTCACGGTAAAAACACGAATGGGACAGAGGGGTGGCCAAGCAAACGACTTTTGTACAGTCTCCCTGTGGTTCACTACAGAGAGACTTTGTACAAGTGTGTGATTGATGTATACACTTGTTTGCCACCTTTGTCTTAAAAAAATACGAGAGAACTTTTTGAGATTACTAAAAGCATTGTATTTTTTCAATGGGTGAAAATGGTATGGTAGCCCCGCCTGCGCTAACGGGATACGCTGGCGGAGCACCAGTGAAGGGTGATAGATGATAATGAAAACGGGCCAGTTAGCCCATCATGATGAATTCATCAGGAATTAACCATGATAGTTTCCAGGGAGAACCGCGAGGAGGTCGACCTGGTTGGGTATATTGCTAGCAATGGGATTCTCAGTCAGCATTGTATTATTGTAACCGTATTGTTTATACATTCAAGTGTAAACGAATGGTACAGAGGTGGTCAAGCAAACGACTTTTGTACAAAGTCTCCCTCTTCATCCAAATTACAGTTAAGTCCGATTCTGATTCTATTAATAGAATGTTTGGCTGTTTTTAACCGAGTTGGACTTAACCTCGATATGCTGATTAGATAAAGATTGACAGTTAAGTTGTTTAAACAAAACGCCTCGAATCACATTGTTTTTGCGTGACTGCGTTTGAACTTTTGCTTTAAAATGGTTTATTTTTAGTGTTTCGTACCTCAATGGAAGAAACGGAATCCTAACAGAACCATTTCGTTGTCCGTCCGTCCGTCTGCCAAGAGACTTTTTCTTAGGAAATTAGATATTTTTTATGCAACTTAGAATAGCAACCAAGTTAACGGCCCACCTGATGGAAAGTGGTAACTATCGCCTATAGACATGAGCAGTACCATGTACTTAACAGAGATAACTGTTTCGTCCATGATACCCACCACGTGTCGCCATTCCTGAGGACTCGGGTGTTATTCCTCTGTACCCTGTAAATTCACTGCCATATCCCACCCTTCAAACCGAAACACAGCCATGCAAACACAACTGCTTCACGGTTGAAACACGAATGAGAAAGAGGTGGCCAAGCAAATGACTTTTATACGAAGTCTCCCTCTGGTAAAACGTCTGTGGTCTGGTGGTTTCAAAGGGGCTTCCTCCTGCGAACGTTCAAGTCGTAGAATAATGATACCAATATCGCAGAGGGGAGGGGTAACTATTCCATTATCATCCATTAAAAAAAAACCACCCATATTTCCTTTGCCGCATTTTTTTTTTGTAATGCAAACTCTACACACCTGTTATAGTTTTTATCTAATCAATGGAACGTAATTTATCGTTGAGATATCTCAGAATTGGTTCGAAGCAGTGAAAGTATTTATCGAAAAACGTAAACGCCATATTTCAAATCATCACCAGCAAATCAGGCGTTGATTAATCCACTGCTGAACATAGGCCTCCCACATACTTTTTTTTTTTACAACAAAGGGGCAAACGTGTACGCAGCTCACCTGATAGTATGTGACTACCACCGCCCATGATCACCCGCAACACAAAAGGTATTGCAGGTGTACTGGCTGCCTTTTATATATATACATACACTACCGTAAGGAACAGTCCTACGTCACAGGGGGGAAGGGGATTTTTTTTGATAGGTGAAAATGGTATGGTAACCCCGCCTGCGCTAACGGGATACGCTGGCGAAGCACCAGTGAAAAGTGATAGATGAGAATGAAAACAGGCCAGTTAGCTCATCGTGATGAATTCATCAGGAATTAACCATGATAGTTTCCAGGGGGAACCGCGAGGAGGTCGACCTGGTTGGGTATATTGCTAGCAATAGGATTCTCAGTCTCCATTACTAACAATCCCTATTTTTTTATTTGATTGTTAGAAATGGAATTTGACAACCCATTGCTAGCAATATACCCTATTTATTAGGTTGACCTCCACGTGGTTCCCCCTGGAAACCATCGGGAATAATTCTTCTTTAATTCGTCACGATGGGCTAACTGACCTGCTTCATCCTCATCTATCATCTCTCACTGGTGCCCCGCCAGTGTATACCGGTAGCGCGGGTGGGGTTACCATTCCATTTTCAAGTATCAAAAAAAAAAAACAGTTATTGTATTACTAAGATAATCTGAAGTCCAGTGATATTTTATTTATTATCAATCTCACATACAAACAACATACTGTGACGTGCACTGCACGTGACTACGGCTACCGTACACGCGTATTACCATTAGCATGGCCATAATCTCGGCAAAGTAATATAAATAGATGTGACCTTTAGGCAATATGCCGGTTGAACTTGAGGCAAGTTCACGAGTCGCCGAGCGAGATAGGGTCTTAAGTGTGCTTGTAAATTTATTATAACGTCAATTATCGTATATCTATACATATAGAAGAAACAAGGAAGAAAATAGAAAAAAGAATAATAAAAGAAGTTAATATTAATAGTAAATTAATTTAATTTAATGCAATATTGTTTAATTTTGTGTTTCCTTCACTTGTATTATATTTGTACAAACTAAATATATATATATATATATCTGTCTTTTATTTCTTTATAGGAAAACCAGGGCTACACTAGAGCAAATAGATATAGTTTAGGATCACAAAATAAACCACTAATAGGTTTTCACAAGTAACAACAATAGGAATTAACACAAAAAAAAATACAAACAAACAAGAGGAATGAAAACAAAAAAAAAAATGAAAAATAAAACACAAAGTAAAAATTAAATGTAAATTAAGATTAAAATATGGCCTTC